CAATGGTCTAGATACAATATATCATAATATCCTCTAAATTTATGGCTTCCCTTGTAGGGCTCATAACTTTGTCAAATCTTAACCATTTTACATGATCAGACCACCGGTGGAATCGCCAGATTGAGTGCTATGTTACCACAAGCAACCGGTTACATAAATACCGGTCATTGTTGCACCCCATAATACCGGCCCACCCGTCTCCATTGCACCCTATCATGCCGGCCCACCCGTCTTCATTGCACCCCATATCACCGGCCCACTCGTCTTCATTGCACCCTATATCACCGGCCCACCCATCTCCATTGCACCCTATAATGCTGGCCCACCCGTCTTCATTGCACCCCATATCACCGGCCAGCTCGTCTTCATTGCACCCCATATCACCGGCCGACTCGTCTTCATTGCACCCAATAACACCGGCCGACTCGTCCTCATTGCACCTCCTTTACCGGCCCCACCCGTCTCCATTGCACCTGCTATACCGGCCCACTCATCTTCATTGCACCTTATGTACCAGCCCACCCGTCTCCATTGCACCTCATTTACCGGCCCACTCGTCTCCATTGCACCTCATTTACCGGCCCACTCGTCTCCATCACACCCCAGTTTCCCTGGCCCACTCGTCTATATTGCACTCCATTCCTCCGGCCCACTCATCTATCACACACTGGATTCACTACTACTATTCATAATTTCCTATATAGTACATTACTATACTACCATCTATACTATATACACCCGGCCCATCCGTTTGCCTTGGACACTCCACCCCCTCGGCCCACTCATCTAACACGGTACAATTATTGCCATGGGCCAGCACCGGGTGGCCCGTCTCTATCAGCACATTGTCACACCCGGCTGCCCGTCTGAGACGGGTATATGTTACTGCATTATGTGGAACATGCGCAGCAAGTTTTCGCTCTTCTGGGAGCAGGAACTCATTCTTGAAGACTCCGAGTTCGTCCATGCGAGTTTGGGTGAGGCGGGTACTGGGTATGAAGGCAGGAGGTGTGGGGGAAAGGAATGGTAGGGATGCGAGAGGGTCCTCTGGAAATCGGCGGACAATGCGTGCATGCGCCGGCATTGTGGTGGCGACGGGTTTCACCTTATTGGCGACCTTTTTGTAGGCGAAAGTGCAGCGTAGTGGGTTGATATCGAAGGAGCCTTTCAAAAGGTTTTGGGCAGCGGCTGATGCTGTGAGGGATGAAGTGGGAGCATTACGTTTAAAATCAGGTGCTTCGAGAGATTCGATAGCGCGACCTCCCTCCTTGTCGAGTTTGTCGCCCATGTTCTTGGAGAGCTTAAAAACCTCGAGGGGTTGGGCTGAAAAAAACGGCCGTGGTGAGGGCAAGTGAAGGATGTGGCCAAGGTCGGGGTGTAGTGGTGACTGTTCGGACCTTGCTATGGTCTGTAGGATCGTGGACGGAGACATGTACTCCGTTAGTGTCCTCAACTTTTGACAGACGCACGAGCCGCTGCCAGGGTCGCCCTAAGAGCAGGTGATAAGGTGCGTCAGGCACCACATAAGCATGGGCCCAGGTTTTGATGCCCTTGACATCTATTTCCAGCATTTCCAGACATCCTGCCATCTCTTGCGATCCTCTGTTGGCTGTCTGCATGCACATTCGCACGTCTTGGTTGATGGGTGTGTTCGTCTTCTGCCAGACGTCTTCTCGAATTACGACTATTTCGGATCCTTCATCCAGCAGCACGAGTTCTGAATGGGAGCCGTTCAGCGTTACACAAATTTCGCATAATGGTGTGGCGTGCTCGATCTGCAAGGGGGTGGTGCTGGTTGCTGCAACAAGGGCTTTTGCTGGGGGTATGGTGGAAGGTGCTGGTATTCGCTGGGTGCGGGAATGCTCAACCGCCTCTTTCCTCAAGTCTGGGCTGATCGATAAGAGGTCTGATATCGTTAAATGGGGAATGGGGGTGTTAAGGATGGCCTCGTAGAGCCATTTAGCTGCATCAGGTGAGTTTGCCTTCAACTCATACCGAAAGGCAGGTTCTTTCTTTGTTTTGATAGTGGCTGGTTTGACGGCTTCGGAAGGAGCGGGAATTGAGACGGTTTGCATAGGAAAGGCACTATCTGGAGTGTTCACCTTGGACTTGGACCGAGTGACGGCAAGTGCCTCAGCCGTCTGCTCATCCTCCTCTTCTTCGACCGTCACCATTACTGCGCAATTTTCTACGACTGGGTCACACTGCAGAAAGTACGATTCAGAAATGAAAGCGGAACTGGGAATGTCCGATGGATTAGGCTGCGAGCTAGGCTCCTGACGAGGATTTTCAATGGGGATAGAGTTTGATCCGGTGGCAGGCGTTGAAGGGGCGGCTGACGCATATCGAGTGTCAATGACCTGTTTGAACGTCTCATTTCCGAGTCGTCTTATGCGCGATCGGTCTGGATATGCGAAGTACTGTCCATCTCGAATAATTCATCCCGCCCGTAGGTATTCTCCAGCTGTCGAGCAGGTTCGCATGATGTGAGGTCCTCCACAAAAGAAACACGTAGGACCAGATGACTGTCCTGCAGAGGATGGAAGGGGAGGAAGAGGGAGGTAAGGTAATGAGTTGTGAGGGGAAACAGTGTTGACGAGCTGACGTGATTTCGGAGATGCCCATGCTTGAGCAGCTGCGGGAGCTAAGCAGACGAGTCGGGTGTAACACCCCAAATATGTGATGTCGCCAATGTCGAGTCCATGCATTTTGTGTGCTAGAGCTTCTACTTCGTCAATGGTGGTTTTGACTGGCACTGATGGGGGTGGCGTGAATGCTACTCGCTTAGTCTGAACCTCCCTTCGTACATCCCTTTTCTCTTCTTCTTCATCTGAGTCCCACGGGACAGTAGCTTTGACTTTGTTGGTACGTCCTTCCCGTATTGTCCGGATTCTGGTTGCAATGGGTTCGTTGAGGTCCGCAGTCGAAGGCATCGTCCGAAAATACAAAATGTCCTGCCTTGAGGACTTCCCCGAAGTCAGTGGCTTCTGTTCTTGAGTAGTTGGGGTCCTTGAGTTCGAGTCTTCTATCAATGGCGCGTCGAGTAACAGCCGGCAGTCCTTGCCAGAAATAACGATCCCGCTCTCACGTTGAGATTTTACTGTTGGCAACGAGCCAATGGGCAATAGGACAAAATTGTCGGTAGTATTGTAGCAGCTCGGTCTCCATTGATATATCATTCTCAACATTGCCAATAACAACTCATTCGAGATCACGAATGGAATAACGCTGTCCCTTGGCCGCTCCGGAGTATTGCGCTAAGATATTGGTTTTGAATACCGTGAAGTCTTTGCTTTCGTATCCCGTTAATGTTACCCAGAATCGTTTTGTTTCAATATCGACGTAGCGGACAATCAACTTGCATTTCTCAGCGTCTGTGAGTGCACACGCCGTTGCTAAATCTTCGAATAGCTCAAAGAACTCAAGGAGTTCAGAGGTTTCGCCATTGAAGGATGGCGCTTTGGTAGAGTTCGCGCCGGGCATTGCATTGATGCCTTTAGACGCATTGGACATGGCGGTTGGCAGTTGAGGAGGGGCTAGAGGGGCTGCAAATGAAGGCGAGGGCACAATAGATGGATTGGGAATTATGGTTGCGGGGGCAGGCTGCTGAGTTGCGATCGCGGAAGTCTGGGTTGGCAGTAATGCTTTTCGAAGGATGAATTCGGGTTTTGGAATGGGAGGGACGGTTGACGTGGCAAGAGTCTTTGGGATGATTAGGGTCTTGGGAGGAACTAGCGGGAGTGTAGGTGTTTCGGGATCGAATACGGCCGGTCTAAGGGTGAAAGTTGGCTGAGCGGTTATAACGGGAAAGGGTGAATTTGCATGTGGGGGAAGGTTCACAGTATCGTCGTCCGATAGAGACGATTCTGTCGGTCCGTCCGTTGCGTCTTGGAAAGGTCTGGCGCGTTGATCTAATCTCTGGCGCGTTGATCTAATCTATAGCGAGCTGGGGTAAAGGCCGGGGCGTCGAGGAATGGTTTTGTTGTGTCGGGAGGGGAGGTACTAAGGGCGTTGTAGGTGTTGGCACGGCTTCGGCGTTTCTTGGTTGAGGTGTTCTTCGAGGTGGCCAGTGCAGATGGCTCGTTCTGTTGGAGGCGTAGCTGTGCGTTAGGGTGGTAGTACTTAGTAATTGCGAGAATTCTAAGTTGGTCAAAAGACCGGGTTCTAGAAGAGAACGATCAGCAGATCAAGGAAGAGATCAGCGGATCAAACTCGGGGTGCAAGGGGTTGCTCGAGAACAATTCCCCTCGCGGTGGGCTCCAAATTTGTAAGGCTAGTTGTGAGTTCGAAGGGGAAATGTAACAAGACGAAGTAGATAAGTGACGAGCGCAACGGCGAACGAGACGAGTAGAGTAAACGTATATGTCGAGGACTTTCTGCGATGGTTTTCGATCGAGCTTGGAGCGGGGAATCAGCGTCTAGGATTCTGCTATAGGTATGAGTGTACATGGGCGGTTTATATACGTTTTCGAGTACTTGGCTAGACCTGAATGAGAATACGAAGCATATGGAGAGGTGAAAATACTTCGGTGAAGCAAGGAGATCGTGGAGCGTGAGCACAAGGTGAGATAACGAAAGAAAGTGAAAAGGAGATGTAAAGGAATGTATCCGCGTGACTCGGATGCGAAGAGTGACGCTCTTCGCATCAGTGTGTCACATGGACGAGTTCGAACGCGTGGCGATTCGATCGTCTTCATTTTGAAGCGCGGTCGGGGCATAAAGGATATTGAATCCTTACAGTAATAATCGTTGTCGGAAAGTAAAATGTGAGTAGAGATGTAGTACTACTGGTAAACGGGTGACACTATCTAGACATCTGTGGAACCAGCCTACTAGTAGGGTCGTTATAAAAAATCGCCCAACTAGTCATCGCGATTGGCATGAAGCTTGCTCCCCAACTACCACTGAAGCAGCATTACCGACCTTAGGATAGAAAGGAATATGAACCATCCGTGGCAAGGAAAAACCGCCAGTCTAAACTTGGCTCGACTGGAGATCAACCATCCACGTCAAAGAAACGTGACGAGGATCGCTTCCGTCTCTTGCAAGTCCACTCCAGAGCTGACAGGTAATATGTCGACAGTCAGGTGCCCGCTAACTCTACCATCGCTAGTCTCATATGTCTGACCTCCCCAGGTCAGATTAGTGGTATCTGTTGCATACCTACGGATAGCCTTAGCATTCAGACCGCGACGATCGATGAAATAGCCATACCCAATTTTCAGCGTCTTCACACTCATCTCCTTTGCAGTATTTCCGGAACCAGTGAAAGAAAAATCGATGTGAGTCGAGTTCCTCTCACCAGCGCCAACAAAGTATGCGATCGTGTTTATGAGCACGGCCTTCGAGAGGACACCGTTTTCGTAAAATGCATAGCCTGACACATCATTCTCGTCGATGACAATTTCGACTGCTTGCGTAGTTCCAGATGTCCCGATAGCCTCTGCGGCGATGATAGCGGCGTAGTACGGTGGTTGTATGTGTGGTGCCAGTGGTGCAATGGGAGAGCCATCGAGGATTGAGTAGTTAAGCGTCACGGGCTGGATCTGCGTAGGAGAGGCTTCAATGAGCGACACTGCATTGCCTCAATTGTGGTACCGACCAAATTGTACTTGTAGCCAATGCCCTCGTGGAAGTGTATGCGACTGATACCAATTTGTGTGGCATACAAAGAGTAGTCGAGTAACCAGAGGGCAGCGCCAGCTGTATTGCTGACATCTGATAGATAGAAAAGGACAATCATATGTAAGTCATTTATCGTCTGTTTATGTTGGTGATTTACCAGGTGCACCGTGGCAACTCATACCTAACAACAAGTTAGTAATCCTAGCGCCGTCAAGCAGTTCTCGAATGACAACTTACTATTTGTCTCCCCGAGGATATAGTTTAGACCATTGGCAAAGGTTGCCTCAATATCGGGGTTGAACACGGAGAGATTACCGCGGATATAGCTCTTGGTCATCAAATCCTGCAGCACGGCTTCCGCCGCCAGTACAGAACGAGCCACTGTACTGGTGTTGCGAAATGCTAACCAGGAAATTTAGCACACAATCCAGTTTCTAACGCCGTGTTTGACATACGTCTCGATTAGCTCGCCTGCAGGGGATTCAAGGATGCCAAGGTTGAATATAGCTTGAGGAGAGAAGCCACTAAGGTTGTTGTGAGAAGATCCAGCGAATGCAGCGCCGATCAATTTTGTATATGATGTGTTGGAGAGGTTGGCTGTCATCGACACGTTATACGCAAATTTCTCCCACCTTTATGCTGATCAGCACTACTCAGGCAGCCATCGTCATGAACTTACTCAGAGACATATTCTTGTACATTCCAGCTGCTGTTCACGACCACCATTGTCGTAGTAGAGATCAGCCTCGTTACCGACCTCGATGAACTTCAGCGTGATGCCTTTCTCTACTACAGCAGGGGAGGAAAATGCGTTCATGAGCGCAACAGTTTCGAGGTAGGTCGCCGTAAGGTTGTACTCCCTCAGGTTGACACCCCAGTGAACCTGCGTCCCTGAAGGAAAGGTCTAGTCAGTTGCTTGAGTGTCCTCGTAAAAATAGATTACCCTGTGGGAGATGAGAGATGATGTCATAGAAGCCTTGCCCAACAGTGATATTAGTGGCTTCTGGATATGGCGTGATGGCGGTCGAAGCAGGGAAAATATCTTCTTCGTACTGCGCTCTATTTAACACGCATGTCAATTCAATACCAAAAGGAATTTACTTCGATATCATAGCTGAAGTCAGTGTGGTCCTCCTGAGTCAGCACCTATTCTCACAAACGGAGGAGTGTTGGTGATTTGGACCAAGTTATCAAGGACGTTGTTGAAAAACGTGTTCGGTTCTGTCGTCCCTGCCTAATCGACCCATCTATCTTGCTCAATTGAAAGTGAAACGAGGTTGCCCTTAACTAATGCTGCACCCGAGGGCGCAACGAGCGGGATTGTAAGCTCGATCGCCGAGACCATGGGAGCGACGAGCATGAGGAAGTAAGCAACCCGCATAAATCGCGACATGATGGGCATCTTCTGGTGAAAAGCCATGAAATTTTGCAGGTCATATTTCTGAGAGCAACTTGATCATATGTACAATTGGAGAAGGGCCGGAGTGACCGAAACCACGATCCGACGCCGTCTTCACTGAGCCTCGTGACCGCGAACACTTATAGTACGCGCATGAGTGCATGCCGTGCATGTGTGCGGATGTGGTCACATTATGCAGTCCGTGACGAGGACACGATATACCCGAGGCTTCGAGGTCTGTTAAATTAGCGTGTTTTCTCCCATTACTGTTAATTCACCAAGCAAAAGGATTCTCCGCCGCATTTACGATCCAGCAATTCAGAATCGCAATTGGAAGATTACTTAATGGGAAAACAGTAACACTATCATGATGTTGACGATCGTGAAGTTAAAGGTTAAGTATCTAAGAATATAAGAAGGGACTGACAATTGAGGTATCGACGCCATCCGATAAGTAGCTAGGCGGATTTGAAGATGTGCAGGCAACGGCAGCGCTTCTTATATTTGGCACGGAGCATCACATCCGGAAAACTGCAGCGAGACGAGTTGCAATTGAAGGCGCATGATATTGGGTGAGCGAGCGACTCGCCCAATATCACAAGATACGCTGCGGTTGGTTTCGTTATCGGACCTCCTCGGGCTGACATGGAGCATCTTGGTAGGATCAACCATGCATCATCATTCGTCTCGTTTGGAACGGCGCGACGCACATTCTGGTTCCATTCTGCTAATTATCCTGATTTTTGCGCACGCCATCGTTCTTTCCAATCTGAGTAGACTGTTCCAATATGACGAACCAACCGATTGTCGTTCCATCATTCCGGGGCAGGCGGCCCGAATTAAGGCATGAGCCCTACTGTCGATCGTCGACCTGAAGCGTAGTCTGCAACACAAATGAATACATTTCATGATAAAGAGACACCCACGAAGCGGCCCATCTGTGAGGTCTGCGCACAAGCCATGATTATTTATTTCCTTGTTAGTGGAACTTAGACTGTCACCAGTGCGGTGGTTCGTAACCTGCAGCAACGTGGTTTCATTTTCGATGCATGAAGAGGAAGTCACTCACCCGTAGTGATCGATAGTGGGAGAGCCCGAGATGAACCAGAAGACGTCGGTAGTATCTTTCATGGGAAGTGCTCGGCGGCCTTGCCCTGAGTGCCAGCAGCAGTACACTTGAGATACTTGAGGGATGATAGTTGACTTGTTCAGAAACGTAGCGATACTCCTTCTCAAGTCTTAACGTATTGAGAGTGTTTAGCTCTGGATGGGTTGAGCATCTGATTGCAAGGGACGCATGGATGGTACTTACGAGCATACGATTAAAATTAAACGGTTTAGCTGTACATACGGGCAATGGTCGAAGAATAATTTGACATCGCAAATGCGGCCACAGATGCTATCCGTCGTTACGGATCTCTCCTGCAAGCAGCAACATTGACTATCAAATGATGAGTCCCCACGATCAGCAATCACAAAAGTGAGGCGCTCACGATACTCCGAGAACTCCATGTCCTCCGCCTTCATTCAAATAAGGTCGAGTGCACAGAGTCCGCAGCCAAAGAAAACTCACCATCCGCTGCAACATATTCGTCAAATCCATTGAAATACCATCCTTCAGCACAGACCACAGACTCGTGCTCGGCCTGTTATCTGAACTGATCGACAGCCTGTCTGCACGACCGATAGACACGGCAAGATGCAATAGGGTTTTCCCTGAGCCTAGTGGATGCACGCCATTGGGTGATATGGCTCTGTGCGATAGGAGTAGCCGTACAATAGCGACTTCGGATTTAAATGAGGGAGGGCAGGAAAAGCAAGAGAAACCGATGACTTACCGCAATCACAGCGAATAGTGAAGCAGCAGCGCCAGCGCTTGTTGAGGTCTCCATTATCGCAGGTTGTCGTTGCCAATTTCAGTGAAAAAGGGATGCAAGAGAGTGGGAACCAATATTTAAGTACGTAGATCTTCCGGGCGTTGCCGGTTGTATACGTTTGTCATCCGACCACGACGACCAGCTGCAGCGACTTTAATCGTATCTTCATGCTGAGCTCATCGTGTCTATCGGGTGACCCATCTGGTAGACCCAAGGAGCTCCTCACTTGGATGATATCCCACCCCTTTCGTTACTCTATGAACATCCAGGTCTCATATAATCGCTTCTTTGCCCTTGATACTCTTAGCTTCAGAGTGCCAGGGCTGATTTCATGATCTTCCTTCCACTGACCACAGCTCACCACGCTCAGCAACTTCATTTTCACGCCTGATCGCTGAGCTCCTTTTGTATACCAAATTGTCACGAATTCCGAATGGTTAATGTTGATCTGGTAGACACAAGGAATTCCTCGCCTGGATGATAAGCCACGGCCTCCGCTACTCAATGTGAAGGTCCTATGCGATTAATCGATTCTCTCGGCTTCAGAATGCCAGGGCTTACCACACAGGTCCTTTCTGCTGGCATGTGTTCACCATGTGCGGTAATACATTACATGCACGAATGTTTTTTTTCCATATTCTGACTCACCTCTTGCGATTTCCAATGACGTACTTCCTTCCCGAGACTTCAACCGGTCATTGCATTTGCAGCCCGACCACCCTGGAGGGCATGTATCATGCTGAAGCACCCATAGTGTTGTCCCTTCCGGTGCTCCATGTTTACCGGACGAACTTAAAGCCAAGCTTTATCTTGGGCAGAAGATGGACTTCGATCGTCCTGGTTGACGAACCTCGGCTGTGGTAACTCAAGATGAGTTTTAGATGTACACTCGGCTACACCCTTTCCTCTCGAAGGCTCTTTCCACGGTACCGAGTCTTGATCTCGCGTATTTCTCGCAACTTGCATCGCTTCTATTCACTTCGCTTTTAGCCCTTTAGTGTTCGCACTCGAATTATTTTTTATCGCCGACGCCCTCGAGCTTTGCACTGAGGGTGCGAGAATATATTATTGGTTACGCGGACACCCCGAGCTTGCATTCGGGATGTCTCGCTTCACCTATACTCAATACCGGCCGAAGGGCTCACGAAGTGAAGGGTGACACTGATTAACTGATGGTGACTCGTGAGCCTCGGTGCAGGTCAGAATAGTTCTGCCAGAGTCGTCAGACGCGCTAATGTTCGCGCCAGATTGGAGTATAACTGGAACTGGCTTGTTGCAATGCGAAGTTTTCAAAAGAGCATTGTATGCTGGTCGTCACTGGTCAGTTGTAGATAGTGTTCCGAGTGAGAGAGAGTGAAGAATGAAACATAGAGTAGTAGGCCACTAGGAGAGCAAACGTCTACGTCGGTCGTGAATGGGCAGTTGCTCGAAGACGAATACTTACGATTTCCGTTCCATTCCCACTGGCTGTTACTCGCAAATGAGATGTATATTGCTTGCACAAAATTAAATGGGCGAAATAAAATGTAATTGAGTAGGGGCTACTGAGTACAAGGCTAGTACTTATGGATGAGTCGGCGACACGGTATGCGTGCATCGCTTTGACTAATTTGGGTGCTAAAAGTACCGGAAAAAGTACCGCTCGAGGCCGAGTTTTGAAAAAATCGCACTGCAGTTTCATATACAACACACTAGTACTGCATGATATTGGGGCCATCACAGTAACTCTCATCACAGCCCGGGATCACACAGGAAACACTTCATTGTCCGAAAAAGTCATTTCGAATCTTTGTTGATGATCTGGTCCACAAAACAGCATTATACTGTAATAGCAACACTTACCGATATCAAAATGGTCGAACTTGCAAAGTTTCTGTGCCATTTCCACCAACGCCGCTCTTACATTCGCGTTCCTTTTTGAACACCTCAGTATAGTACAGTCTCTTCTGCGCTCTTACATTTAATTCCTCATAGATGGATCCCCGAACGCAGCATAATGTTATTAGTGGCTCTACTCGAGTCTGCGCCGGGCCTCGGGAGGCACTTTGTCCCATAAAGAATCCGCCTAATCGGGCCGCGGCTTCTCAGAGGTTTGCATCATTCGGCGCTCGACAGTGACTATCAAATAAATATCCTACAAAATGTGACCAAGTACTCACCGGTTCAAACAGGTTGACGTGCTCAGCGAACATCGTACGGACAAATTTCATAGCCCTGAACTAACATTCTAAACAAATTTATCCGAACAGTAACTACATTGGAATGGCAAGTGGCCTACCAGTGTGAAGCTGAGTAGCTGGGCACAAGATGAGCACTCCACAAGAAGGTTCGAGTGGCATGAGTAAGCAATTCTGGCACTATCAGTCGGAAGTATGGTACGAAATATTCCGCAGGCAACTTGAACTAGTACTCTGCTGAATATGGACGGATATATACAACATCAAAGGGCACAATAAGATAGTGCATCACTGATGCATCGCATCCTCTAGCACCATATAGTAAGCCTTGTGCATTACCAAATTTTTGCTACTTGGTCTATTCTAATGCATTAAAATGATAGTATGGCCTAGCAGTGTCTTGTTCCATAGCATTCCGACTCGCCTCTTGCAAAATTCACATCGTAACTGTGTGGGCAATGCTTGTCCTGTGTACACCAGTCTTCAGATTTCCAGATTTGACATGTATCACGGCATCTCTGTGCCAATATTCACGCGGACAACCCCCTTAAAGAGAGCAGGATGAGCCGACATCTCCTCGACATCGCCATGACCCTCCTACACTTGGCTGCAGTCCTGTTATTCATTCCGTCTGTTTGCGCCTCACTCAATTGTACCAGTTACCTTACACTCAACGTCAGCAACTCTCCGAGTCCACCCAGCAGCGACACCAGATCCTTATGGGACATCATCTGGAGCTGCGCTGCAACTATTTTCGCATGCACTTGGACTGCGATTCATCCTAATATTCCGGGTATGGACGAGAAGAAAGCTGCCGTTATCTCTCGTCGTCTATTCTCTATGGTCGTAGCATTGATCGCCCCAGAACTCGTGATCACCTGGGCCGCGCAGCAGTTTTTCAGTGCTCGTAGAGTTGCAACTGAGTTCAACTATCCCATTCGTTTGAAACATGAATTCGCGTTTCTTCATACAATTCAAGAATCAAATGAAAGACACAATCGAACCTCAAGCGCTCCTGGACCCGAGTTTACAGGTCGGTTTAATACATGCTCATACCCATCGGTTAGTGGCGGCTAACATTCAGTTGATGCCCTCACAGAATGGACAGTGACGCATGGATTTTTCGCGTGTATGGGCGGATTTATGCTCTATGTCGATGACAAACCGCGAGCCACTCTTACGCCCCGCGAGCTTCAGCACTTTATTAGTGATGGATCCGTGGACATGCCTGTCATCACAGAGGCAGATATAGAAGATCGAAGTAAGGGCGATGTACTATCCAAAGGTGTCGCTATTCTTCAGCTGGTGGGGTTCGTCCTCCAGCTTGTCGCCCGTTACGTCCAGAAACTTCCCATCACGCTGCTTGAAATCGACACCCTGGCTGTAGCTGCTGCGACCTGCATTGCCTATGGCTTGTGGTGGAAGAAGCCTAAGGATGTAGGACGTCCATATGTCGTCCATTGGAAAGCAACAACATCGCCAGGTCCCCTATTTTACGAGTATGTTGTCAATAGTCTTGCCTGGAATGGCTCTGATTCGTCTGCGTTCTAGCAAGGCAACTTCGATATTCTCCCGTGGAACTTGCGCTAGTTATTTTTTATCTCTCATTTACCCGATTCTCAGTATTTTGGAGGATGGATTTACATCCCCTCGTAGCTGTCCATTCACGTCGGGTTCCATCTCTAGGTGGTTATGGATTCGCGATTTATCAATGTTCTGATATTATACTCCTCGTGGGATGTTTGAGTGGGATGGTATTTGGAGGGATACATTGTCTGGGCTGGAACTTCTTATTTCAGAGGACACGCAGAACAGATATTATGGCGTGCGGCTTCCCTTTGGATGGCATGTGCACCACTATATATTTTTCTCAGTCTTGCTCATTTGACAGGCCTGTCATTGAGGTACCCGAGTATGATATTGGACAGAATCAAAATCCCACATATTCTCCGATATTTCTTCACAATGAGTGGAGTTATCAGCGTTCTCATACATATTCCTGCACGTGTTACACTAGTTGTACTTATGATGCTGAGCTTAAGATCACTGCCTCCTGGTGTATACCATGCAGTAGCTTGGACCAAGTTTATTCCACATTTGTAGGTTTTTTACGTGGCCTCTGTAACAGAGTATGACACCTTCCCTGGTTCTTGTGGAGTCATTGTCATAAGACTCATGACCGGAGGTGCGAGTACGGCTTGGGCAATTCGAACTTAACAGTAGCCCGCCGCTTCCCTTACATGCCGCACGGGTAACACTCAATGGTTTGCTACAGACGGGCATGTCGTGAGACAAGTATGAACTGCAGCAACGAACATCGTTCTATTGAACTGTATCTACGACAGCATCTAAGTAGATCTGGTGCAGGAGTGATATTCGCAAAAGAGCAGATACAGGGAATGTCAGCATCAAAAATTAACATGTACATTTGGCGAAGCTTTTCAGCGCGCCCCTGCAGCTCGAAAGTGAACTCAAAGGATCGTGAGCACGGAAGATGTCAAGACAGCATATCCTCCACCAAGGATGATCATTGACAATATCGATATGGTTACGTTTCACGTAGAATGAGGCACACCAGTCATGCTCGTTCGGCGACCCGTTGATTCAGCGTGAACATGCGGGAAAGCAGGAGTGGGTAGAATTTGTAGATCGCGTTGTGCAGTGGCGAAGGATGCTAGCATACCAGGAGGATAGACGAGGCTTCAGTGTTCGGTGTTCTACCGCGTTTGGGAGAGAGTACACCAGAGCCGAGGTCCAAAGGTGATCCAGGGATGGGCGCAAGCATCATGGCATCCCATTGACGAGGAGACATTATTCGTTCCATCCCTGGGAGCATTTGGGTCACCGTCATAGCTTCGAGGAGATAGGGATGCGTCTGCATTGCTGAAGTTATAGTTGGACGCTCTGGATTGAGACGAGCGAGCGATGGCGCGCATATAGTCTGTAGAAGGATATATGCGCTTTATTAGCCGGAAAACAGGACATATGCGCATCGTACCCTGTATTTTGGATGTTGAAATGGATATAAGTGCTTTACTTCCGTCTTGTGCTGCGATTGGTGCTGCGGCAAAAATAAAATGAGCGAAATAGAATGTGGCTAGTCTCAACACAAGACGTTCTATGAGCACTTTCGGGCGTTACCGGTGGTGTACTAGTATTTCCCCTCCTTTCATGATAATTTCCTGTATCTGATTACTGATCACCACACTCAGCGACTTCACAAATCGCCTTTCGTTTCCAAGTGCGCTTGCCTGAATCGACGGACACAAGGCTTCCAAATCCTAGGATCACGAGTGAGTACGTATTCTAGCTTATCATCCCTTCATATCTCTGAAGGGATCGCAGAGTAGCTGTTATGACCTGCAAGCGCTAGAGTAGCACATAAAATGATCGCGTCGTCCCCGCAAACTCCGATCAGCATCGAGCTCGTCCTCTCACCTGTAACCATCGCCTGCACTCGTATTCATTTGCCGGGGCAAGGCTCGTGGTTGTCGAGACACGTCTGGAGCGGGAAGAGAAGCACGAGCAGAACAAACCCTCATTAATCATTGATCTGGGACCATACTAAACGTAGTATGGACGGCTTATCAACAGAGGCAGAAAATGTCAGAGGATTCTGAGAGCGTTTCGGTGGTAGGTAGGCGGAGGAATTTTGTAAGTTCCTGATGCTGTCTGATCGTGGTTTCTTGTGAGTTTTGCCGATTTTTGATTTGTGGTTTCTGTCTTTTATGGTGTCTTATGTCGATATTGATCCAGGCACATATCTGGAACGAATATTGAGTTCATATTTTCCATTTTCACCCGCAGAATGCCAGCTGGATCCCCATGGTAGTCCTCGTTCTCGTTTGTGCAATTCTTATGTTTATTTCTCTGCTGGGTGAAGCACACTTTATTTCCTCCAGGCTGTTCCGGCATGGGACATTCCGCTAATAATCTTTTCGAGCGCGCCGCCGTACTAAGCCTAAAAAGTCAAGAGATTTGGCCTGTCTGTATGGTTTCCACGCACTCTTGTTGCGCGGATATCACACAAACAAACTATTTCCTGGATGTCATCGGCTGATGGCATGACATAACTGGAATGCACATAAGCTACGGTCAATTCCTTGCCAGTGTAACTACTAAATAGAATGTTTTTCATCCATGTATTCGCGAGCATTCATCCGCGATGTCCATCCATGAATCATTTACAGTGTTAAACAGCGTCCTCTATAAAAATAGGATCCACATCCTTCCAGGGCTGCCCACCCCCCATCTCCCACACCTTCTCCCTCTCTACCCAATATTCCAATCTATCCCCAGCCCTCGATGGCGTCCAGACCCTCTCCCCAGTATCCCCATCCGTCTCCGCTCTAAACCACCTGGGCCGATGCTGCGGCACCCGCCCCTCCTCCCTCGCACGCCGCGTCGCCCGCTGCCGCTCCTCTTGCTTCATCTTTAATCCATTCGCAAACTCATACTTCCCCATCTCAAACGCTCGCTGATCAGGTCGCAGCCGACAGTCCGTCGGGCACAAGTACGACCTCAACGTCGTGTCGGGGCAGTCGTTCAGCGTGATTGCGAAAGGCGTGAGGTTAAAAGGTGTAGTGGGCTTTTCAGAGTTACGCCAGAGGAGGATATACTCTGCGGTGTAGTTTGGCGAGGAGGGGCCGCTTACGGTGGCGTCGGGGTGTAGGAATCCACTGCCTGTGCCGACGGCGCGACATATGAGTTGGCTGTTCCATCGTCCAGCCACCTCGTGGGTCACTTCTCCGTCTGCGTCTCGCACGAAACCAGAGATTTCGTATGCGTCTTTACCTCGCCATCCCCTTGGTTTGAATGTCAACACACACTGGTCGCCAGTGCGGTGGTTCGTGACCTGCAGCAACATGGTTTCATTTTTCAATACATGACGAGGAGGGAGGCTGAGTCACTCACGATCATATCACCGTAGTGATCGATAGTGGGAGAGCCCAAGATAAACCCGGAGACGTTGGTAGTAACTTTCTTCCACGAGAAGTGCTCGACAACCTTGCCCTGGATGCCAGCAGTAGTACATTTGGGGTAGTCGGGTGCCCACTCTTCAGGCAGGAGGAGTTCGGCGTGCGCAACGCCAGTAGGACGAATCTCGAATGATTTGCCCATGAATTTATTTTGCGCGTCGACCTGGGGCAGATAGGTGTTAACGGACAGATCATGCGATATAAAAACGGATCAGACCTCTCCGTAATAATGCCAATATGGCGACTCTGCCCAACAAGCGGAGATAGGGGGATGGTGGCTGACTTGTTCAGATACGTAGCGATACTCCTTGTCAAGTCTAACGTATTCAAATGTTTCGCTCTGGATGGTTTGAGTATCTGCTTACAAGGGACGCGTGAATGGTACTTACGAGCATAGGATTAAACGGTTTAGCTATACGGCCAATGGTCGATGAATAATTTGACATGGCAAATGCGGCCACAAATGCTATCCGCCGGTGGGGGTCTCGCTCGCGAGCAGCAACATCGACTATCAAATGATAAGCCACGACAACCAGCAATCACATAAATGAGACACTCACGACACTCCGAGAACTCCATGTCCTCCGCCTGCATTCAAAATAAGATAAAAAAAATGCAGAGATCCACGGCCAGAGAAAACTCACCATCCGTTGCAACATACTCGTGGGCTCATTAAACATGACAGGGAAACTAATCCTCGTCAAATCCTTTCCGATACTATGCTTCAGCACCGACCACAGACTCGTGCTCGGCCTGTTATCTGACCCGATGGGTAAGCGCGTCCTCAAATCTTGATACCCAGCGAAATGTTCAACGTCCATGAAGGACAGCGCAGGTTGCGCGTGCATCGGGCTCGACAGCAGTTCGCTGACAACGAGATTAGGGAGTGTATTCGCCTCGATGGCATCAAAGAACTCGTCCTCCTCGTCCGTGTCGTAGACGTCTTCATCCTCCGGGAAGTGCCGGGACGTGCGCTGTGCAGTCGGCGTAGCCCCCTCACTTGCGGGTGGTGTTTGCGCAGGGGACACAGATGGGCCATCGACTTCCTCAGGCGGGGAGATGACAGTGATAGGTCCAGGGCGCACCAATGGTGAGAAATAGGACTCTTCTTCAGGAACGGTGTCCGATACAAACGCCATGGTCGCAGGACGTTGTCGGAGCATGCCACTACCTCCGTCAGTCGCACCGACGTCGAAGAATCTACTACCCCGTTTCCGAGATCGTGTGCGTAACTCTTGTTCCAGCACCTCGCCCTCACGCACGACCGTCTGCAAGCTCTCTTCCCACACGGTCTGCCGCTCGCGCTCACGCTGCAGCTGGGCTTTCCACCACTCCTCGCGGTCCTTGGCCATTTGGATATACTCATCTATCATAGTTTGTACGATCGCGAACGATTCCTTGAGCGCCGTACGGAGTTCTTGTGTCCTGGGTGCTGCGTCTGGCGGCAGTGCGAGGCTGGACAAAAGCTGGCCAGTGAGTTCCATCTGTGCTGCGGTCGAATTCCCGTGCAGGTCAAAAGTCGTATTGTGAGGAGGATGTTGTTGCGTCAGGACCGAAGCTGAAGAATTATCATGGTGGATTTCTTCATCATCCGAGGCAGGATGGCTTTTATCTGGCTTGCTCGGCTCAGGAGGTGGCCCGTCCTCCATACTCTCATCTGCAACACCCAGAAAGGAGCTTTGCGACCCCCCGCCGCGGGCACCCACATCCATTCGCCGCATCGACACCACCGACTGGAAGCTCGTGCGCAAACTCTTTGGCTTCAACGCATTCACCTCGCTCTCCCCGCTCTTCCGCAACGTTTGCTCCTCGCGCCGGGCCCACTGGATGCTCTTTGTAAGCGCCTGCGTCCACCCGGCGGCTTCAACGTGATGGTTAGCACGCATGTACCATTTTTGCACAGTGGTGTGTCCTCGAGATGGAGTCGAGTGGACCTCAAACCGTGTCTTGTCACCGCCTGGACTGAGCTTTACGATCGCAGTTTTCATGGCGATGGCACCACGGCTGGCGACGTCTTCGTCTTCTTGATGCCGGTAATCTGCAAAAGCTTCAGCACCGTAGATAAATGAGGAGGGGTGAGAGGTGACGGACATGAGAATACGCCATCTTTTAGAACAAACCACCTGGTATTATAGCCCTTGGCAACATTGGTATATTTGTTGAGATAACCCTTTAAGATTGGGGGCTCCGAAGACGGGACCTCGATGAGAGAGGTATCATGGTTTGCGACTATTCGTCATATTAAGATTGGTAGGGAAGTTGCGGAAGGAGAACATACATTGTCGCAAAAATACTCGTACGTGATCATCTTTTCCTGTGCCCTCGTACGCCATTTTTCCTCTGCGATCTCGCACGAAAACGCTCGCGCCCGCTCGCACGGCTAGTTCGATGAGGCGCAGATTTTTGCGCCTCGCTGCCTCGTGTAGTAGAGAAGTTCCAGATGCATCATCCAAGTAGGACAAATCCACCCCTCGTGCCCGTGGTGACTCGAGTAGAGCCACCAATGCCACGTTCGGGGATGCATCTATGGGGGATAAAATGTACGAGCGCAGAAGGGACCTGTATGAAGCGTTCAAAAATGAACGCGAATCTAAGGGTGGTGTTAGTGGAGAGGGCACAGAAACAGAGGGGGGCACGTGCCTTGTAAAGTTTGGACGACTTCCTTTCCCTTTGCCACATCCTTGCATGTCTTTCCGTTGTTGTCACGGAGGGTGTCATCAATGCCAGGCTGGTCAAGCAACACGCCTACGATGTCTACACGACCTAGGGACGCGGCAAGATGCAGTGGTGTTGTCCCTGATCCTGGTGGGTGCACGCCATTGGGTGATATGGCTCTGTGCGATAGGAGTAGCTGTACAGTATCGACTTCGGATGCGGGTGAGGGAATGCAGGAGTAGGAGGAGAAAGTGATGACTTACCGGAAGCACAACGAATAGCGAGGTGGAGGGCAGCAGCGCCAGTATTGAGGTCACCATCGACAGACTTTCGTCTATCCTTACCAATTTCAGTGAGAAAGGGATGTATGAGAGCGGGATCGCCTAGGGACGAGGGTTTGGGATGATGTAGGATAAGAGAGAGGTGGTTGCTTACCACTCCGAAGCGCAGACAGCAGTTTGACTTGGTGCAGGGGTTCTGTGACATCTGCTGTTCATAAATGACCGAATCCAAGGCCAAGAAGCTGGTGAACTCACCGGACCTGAGACTACGAATCGAGAAGGATGAGCTCATCATGCGTCCACCGCAATTCTGCGCCTGTAAATCCAAAATACAGAGTAGTTTTGTGAAACACGACCGAGTAGTCCTAGTATGCGATGAAGAGAAAAGCAGATGAGAAACAGAAAGCGAGTAATGTATGTTTAAGAAACCCTCTGCTGTCACTCCCGAAGCCGTTGAGTCGGAAGTACCTGACCAAGTCACGTGTCACTCACTTATTCGAATTTTACCAGCGCTAAGTACCGTGGAAGTACTGCTGTTTTACTTTTAGCACTAACTATCTTAAGTACCAACACAGGCCTATAGTGCTCGCCTGTTTTCAGAGCGCTTATTCCAGGACGTATCCTCCATCCTTGGCACGCTCTAAGCAGGCGCATGATGATAGGGCATTCCCATGATCATTTTCGCAAGCTCTGCCGCTATCGTCCAACAGCCAAACTCCCCCTGGTTTTGATAACAAGGGTCTATATAAAGCACAATTCCAAAGCGAGTCTCTGACTTGCGTCTCTTTCTGTTCACCTACTTCAAGCCATACCATGCGCGATATTTTCTCTTCTCCCGACGAGGAGAAAATATTTCAGGGTGATGTTGGTTCAGCTGAGCGCGCAAGCAGCAATGGTAGCTATACACCACCACCACCAGACGTCACACTCCACCGAGAGCTTAAAAACCGCCATGTTGCAATGATAAGGTATGTGTTGACCCTTCTGACTGTAACAGCCGCGTCACGTTCTTTTTAGTATTGGTGGTGTAATTGGCACAGGACTGTTCCTCGGGACTGCATCGGCACTCATGAATGGTGGTCCACTAGGCCTTTTATTAGGTTACATGTTCATTGGGTCTATATGTTACTGCGTGATGGTTAGTCAAGCGCACATTCTCAGACTTTCATTTGTCATTACTTCGTTCCTAGATAACGATCGGAGAGATGATTTCCTATCTCCCAGTTGCCGGTGGCCATATCAAACTCGCCGAGCGCTTCGTTGATCCGGCATTCTCATTTGCATTGGGATGGAATTTATGGTACAATTGGACGGTAATGTGGTCCTGTGGTTGATGTTCAAGTTTCTGAACGTCACACTCTCAAAAGGTAACATTACCAGGTACTTTCTTCAAATGGTCTCGCTACTGCTGCCGCTCATTATATCCAAGCTGAATTGTCAGCGGCGGCTACCATCATCAATTTCTGGCATCCTGGTGTAAACAATGCGGTATGGATAACAATGTGTCTCATTGTTGCTGTTGGGATTAACCTGAGCGGCGTTGGTAAATGCTCACGCGAACCGCCTTGTCTTCTGGCTCAATTTTTCCTGCAGGTGTGTATGGTGAAAGCGAATTCATATTCGCGTAGGGCAAGTTTCCTTCACAATTATTTCCTTTGTCTGACCCTATGGGCGAACCAGTTCTATCAAGGTTGTTACGATTGTCGGTCTCATCATCTTGGGGATCATTCTTGACCTTGGCGGCGGCCCGAACCATGATCGTATCGGATTCCGTTACTGGAAAGACCCTGGCCCGTTTGTCCAGTTTGATGGCATAAGTGGCATGACAGGTCGTTTCCTCGGCTGGTCTCGTGTGGTAACACAAGCTGCGTTCGCATATGTTGGGGCAGAAGTCGTGGCTGTGAGTTGTTAGCGTCCTTCCTTGACCCCTTGAGGTTGACATACCCTAGATGGCGGCTGCAGAAGCAAAAAATCCGCGCAGGAATTTGCCCAAAGCGATCCGTCGTGTGTATATCCGACTTCTGCTATTTTATATTGGTGGCGTCTTCGTAATCGGTCTGCTGGTACCTTCGAACAACCCCTTGCTGAACGTGAACTCCGATAATGCTTCTGCGTCTCCGTTTGTCATTGCAATCAATCAAGCTGGCATCAAGGGATTGCCTGCGGTAAGTATTATGTTATAAAACAATGCGGCTCTGATGCCCCTGTAGGTGATCAACGCCGCTTTACTGACATCAGCCTGGTCCGCTGCTTCCAGTGACCTTTACATCGCTTCCAGAGGCTTATGTGAGTGTCTATTCATGTCTGTGTCTGCATGCAACTCAATCTGCTAACAGATGGCCTCGCCGCCTCCGGCAACGCCCCAAAAATCTTCCTCCGCACCTCGCGCTCCGGGCTTCCCTATGTTGCAGTAGCTACATGCTCCTGCTTCGCCCTCCTCTCTTACATGGCCGTCAACACGAGCTCCGGAACTGTCTTCACGTGGTTCTCTAGCATGTGCGCTACTGCGGGCCTCACGACCTGGTTCGGCATCGGCGTCATTTATCTCCGCTTCCGGAAGGGCTTCCTTGCACAGGGGCACAAGACATCCGAGCTCCCGTACTCCTCTCGGCTCCAGCCTTTTGCTGCGTGGTGGGCTGTTGGCGCATCGCTTGTGACGCTCTTCGTGAGTTTTTACTTCTGCGCCTGCGATCTAAGGAAGTGGTAGTGCGATCTTTGGGCTGATCGGCTCCAGTTCAGCGCATGGGAGGTCTTCCTAAGAGATAACTGGTCAACAGCGACATTCATCACGAATTATCTGCCCATAATGTTTTTCCCCATTTTATACGGTGTCGTCAAGATCACGAGGCGGGCACCTCTCGTCAAGCCAAGCGAGATGGACTTCCATTCTGGCATCGCAGAGATCGAGGCCATCACGTGAGACTCTTTTATTTGCTTGCAAAGTATTAGCCAGGCTGAGATGCTCGTGTCACAGGCATGCAGACGTGCCCCCAAGGAATATGGTGGAGGCATTTTGGATGTGGCTTGTGAGTTTTCCTTCGGGGATGGTGGTTGGTTTGCTAATCCTTCTGACAAGATGTGATGATTGCGTTCCACGTTGTCCGATATCATATTAGGACCAAACAACTGTTCCCATGTCATAAATGTCTGAATGTCGCTGGCAAGCAGGTTGTTTGCGCTGTTGAACTTTGATGAGTGATTCTAGGGAAGGGTACATTTGAAGGTCCTCGTTTCAGGGTGCGGCTGGAACACTGGCTGCATCATGTCTGCCAATTACGATTGCGGCGACTTGAAGCCTGCCAATTATGGATGCGGTGATTTTGTCTGCCTTGAACATTCCGATAGATACTTTGGAAACGCAGGGTTTCTAGTCTCGTCACCAGCCGCCATGATTTGCGTGACGACTGGTGGACCGAAGAACCTCACACTATTGCCGTCGTGTAAATATAAGGTGGTTAATCGAGTTTCCAGGATTTCTGGAAATCTTCTGGCGTACGTATGTCCTACTTTTCACACACTTACTGCTTCGAATCGCAGATGGGTTAGACTGCAGTATCACTTACCAGGCTATGTTGTACCAACTGTGTGGCAGACTCGGACGCAGGCTCCGGTGTTACTTATTTATTTCCGTTTCCGCCAAAGGTTGCTTGCGAGTAATCTCCCGTATCCAAGGTATTTGCCTTCTTCCAATTGGTGGGATGTTTGTGTTCCGTTCGTGACATCGCTGATGTGTATTGTTTCTTCGAATCAGTGGAGGGGTGCTCTCGTTGATCCTTTCAGTTCCGTGTATGAGGGTCCCTCGACGGACTGGCGTCCATTGACATACATGATCACATACGTAGTCGCGGATGGTATTCCTACCGTTGCTTCATCACACGACCGGAATCCTTGCCAGAGGGACCTCGAAGCTAGTAATACTGCTGAGATTACACGTATGGTCTCCTTCATCTACTCACAAATGATCGGGCTCAGGTATTGTTATTGACCAGGCAAATGTCACCTACATTCCACGGACTCGGTTTCGTACATTGCTACACAATTCAATCGCGTCACCGGTTCTCCCACCTTTTTCCAGCACTGTGGTCAAGCATGAGCACGATTCACTATCACCGCCAGCCGCGACCGCCACGTCTAATTGCAGTGGTCCTGACATTGTACTTATTTCCGTGATCACCGCTGCTCCCACTGTCCCACACTACGCAACTGCTTTTCACCTGGGCTAATGATTTGTCCGTAGTAAGATAATGGGAATCCGTCCCTGATGACGCAAATTACCGAATGTCGACAGGTGGAGGTCTTTGGAATTTGTATTCCTTATCGATAGGTACTCATCTATGCTGGGCTCGCGACGCTAGAGCGCAACTGGACCAATGCATTTTCCAAACTTTCGACCCACTCCTCATCCCACACTTCCGGACATCACTTTTTCATCACCACTGGCATGCGACTTCCCTATGACTATTCTCCTTCGATCACACTGCGTTATTCACGCGTGATATTGAGCCAATTCGTGACCATCGCCCATTGGAAGGTTGAACTTCCTTTTCGCCAGTGACCACATCCCTGAGCGAATCCTGACAAGGCTACATACATGACAATACATAAGAAACCTCCTCTTGAAGACGCCAATCTGGATCGCGCCACATCTACTCCCATGACTGGAAGCATACCTTTCGGAACTTTGTTTTGGATAGCTGCGAGACCTCTTCTTAGACTGTGGGTTTGGTTTCCTTCCGTTTCATATTGCTCTGAATGTTTGCTAGTTTCACATGCGTCGCGTGTGGGTATGCCATTACAAGGGTTGGTTGTTTTTCTGCAAGTGCGGCTCGTGGCGCTGGGCAAGTGGTTTTGGTTAGCATGGCCCGTTTTTCCCGAAAGAATGGAACTGATCCATAGGATTCAGAACATCACTTTGCCTAGCTTGATTTTCTCGAGGGCTGCATCCGTGTTGAACGTGGAGAATGATGCTGCTTTGGGTTCGTTGTTTTTCTAAAACGCGCTGTTATCTTATAATTGACGTATATGCACACCCGCACGATCTCTTCAGGGCCGTTGTTGGTGATCGCAGCCATCTACATGGCGATCGGCTTCGCGTTATCTCTGTCTATCAAGCAATTTTTCTGGGTTCCGCATCGGTTTCGGTATGGTATTATTGTCGCAGGAGGTTGGGCGAGCATCGGTGACATGAGTAGGATCACATGTTTCAGATATCATGACATTCTCTGACTGTGGCATCACGGGATAGCGGTGTCAGTCATATTGGACATCATGGCCTCATTCCCCTTCGACGGAGAACACGACCAAGACCTCGCGGTAGCATATAGTGGCGTCTTTTACATTATCTTCTACGTGAGTTCTGCATGGCTTTTGTTCTATACCGCTGAATTGCACCATAAGATAACGTTGTTTACGTGCGGGCGCGAGCTGGTCAAGATTGATTTTACTGGGCCTGATATCGATGACGGGGAAGTGAAGCAGCTACGCCGGGCCAAACGTTGCGAGCTGCTGGTGGGCTGTTTATGTTGTGCGAAAGGCCTTCTCGACATGCCCTCTTCCGAAAACGACGCGGAAGCTGGGCAACAATATGACCTAGAGGCACGCAAGGTGGATGCCTACAGTGATCTAATGACCAGCAAAAGCCTCCTGCCTCAAATATCGTCGCTGGAAGATTCGCAGGCCGTTTCCGCATTAGCGTTGTCACCCACTTTGCACTACGACATGTCGGGTCGACGCGACTTGACCATAGGTGTTGAACTACACATCATACCACCATCCACAGAGAACTCCTCGACAAACCAACCCCGCCCTGTCATGCAATACATGTCTGAGTTCCTTAGATGTCTTTCATCTCCTGTGTTTTCGTCCGTGGTCGTCTCCCTCATCGTGTCTAGAATATCGGTTCTGAAAGCGTTATTCATCCCTAATGTATCAGGAACAAACATTCCGCCAGCTCCTGATGGGCAACCACCACTGGCATTCATTATGGATGCAGCAACCTTCTTGGGAGGTGCCAATGCTCCTCTTGGGCTAATTATTCTTGGATCCGCACTTGCGAGGATGAGTATCCCTCGCAGACGCTGGACTTCACTACCCCTTGGGGCCATTGGAGCTTTTGCTGTCGGCAAGCAACTCCTCATGCCAATCTTCGGAATTCTTATCTGCGAAGGATTTACCCGGATAGGGTTCATTGACCCTGAAGATAAAGTGTTCAGATTTGTATGCATGTTTGTCTAATTTTGTTATGCGCTGCCAGATCTGCTTTTAGCTGACCAGGTCATACTGTCATATCACAGCATCGTATCATGTTTACCCATATCATTAACACAGGTGAGTATCAACAATGATGCCTTTTGTGTGTCTGCTAAATAATTATTTTCAGGTTATCCTGACACAAGCATGCTCTGACACAAGTACAACAGAGCACATTTTTGCATTCCTGCTGCCACAGTACATCCTTATGATTGGGGTGATGACCGTATTGATGGCCTATACACTCAACCTTCTCTTTGGCTGAATGGTCGCTTTTGTGCCCGACGCATGTGAGTACGTACTACTGCACAGAAACACCTAGACTCTTAGATGATAGATCTGACCTTCCTGTGTTGTTGAGGCTGAAAATCTGTATGTATGATTATATTATTAGGGATGACTTGGGATCAGCTTACGAATTTATGTGTCAGTGAATTACCCAGTCAGGCCCAGAAAAGGTTGTAATGAAGCAGGAATGTTGTCTTCCGTCCATTTAATCTGCTCACAGGAGACCAGGGATTGATAGGGCAAGCGAATATCAAATGATTTGTTCTCTCAAAGCGGTCCGGTCTTGTGTACGTACGTAAATTCAACACCGCCTTAGACTACCCAAATCACTTTTGAATTGAAACTGTCACGTCCTGCCAACAGTTGAGGGCTCGACATCGGACACTAGTACTCCGCCTCAGGGGCCCCAGCACAGACCTCTATGCATTGTCACGGTAAAGCCTGACAGTTTATCCTAAGTGATAGCCGACCACATGCTTATTTAATCCGTTCCTAGTAACCTTCACGCATAACTCACTGGCACCAGTCGTACAACACGTCCTGGAAAGACGTCATGGAAGATTGGTGTATCGGCGATCTTCGGAAATCCTGAAAGGAGCTACGATGAGGCGATGATGCGTTAATGGGGAATTTGTTAATCGCCCAGTCAAACTCCTGTCAAGCAAGATATGCTGGCCCTTGCTCAGGGTTTCCATTATCGCAGCTTATAGCACTGGTCACCGATACAAGGTGAAGCGTTCGAAGCAATTGTGCTGGACAGGCTACCATCTTTTTGCAACCTTGGGCTCACCGAAGTTACAGTGAAACAGGACGCACCAGTGGTCTGCTTCTCATGGCGCGAACTGAAGGGCAGGGCCTATCTGATCAATCTTTACGTCTGTGAGCTGGCATTAAATATATGAAAGCACTTGCCGTACTTCAAGCCTACATTTAAGTACCGCACCCTTTCATGGTCCAGAGCAATACTTATCAAGCCTCCCTTTCCACTCACCTGTCCAGATAGAAGAGGGTTCATCTCTGAGCAGACCTCTTCGACTTGTTAAAATCCTATCACAATTCGCCACTTGTACACGATCACAAACAGCATGAGTAGCATCGCTGTCGGCACTCTGGTTTGGATTTCTCTGCAACCGCTCATACGCCTGTAAGGATCCTTTTCTAGATAATTCCTTCCCTTTTTTCATGCTCGTTCTGATTTATTTAGGTTCTTGTGTGTAGGCTGTGGATTCGCGATCACAAAGGCAGGTTTATTTCCCGCCGTAGCAGCTCGTGGGGTGGGGCAAATCATAATAGTAGGGGGATTTTTGATTTGAGGATACACAACTGATCGATCGGCAGAATGCTGCCCTTCCGAACTTGATGTTCTCAACGATTGTACCATCATTCAGCTCATCAAATATTCCTGAACTTGGTACGATTTTCTATCTTTACGGCTGTTCGTTCGTTTTGACCGAGGTTATCTCTAGGCCCTCTTGTACTCATCGCGCTGATCTATATGCTGATCGGCACATTGATTTCTTGGATCATCAAGCAGCTCTTTTGGGTTCCCCACAGATTCCGGTATGGAATTCTCGCGGCTGGAGCATGGGGGAATATCGGTGATATCCGTAAGCTCAACGAAATCCCTTGCCGTACATTCTATCTGACACTTGCTTGCATTAGCTACCTCGGTGACCCTGAGCGTAATGGCCTCAGCTCCTTTCAACGGAGCCAAGGACGAAGACCTTGCAGTGGGTTACATCGCCGCTTTTATCCTTGTGTTTTCTGTGAGTATCTTGGTTACGTATCTGCCTTCGTTCACTACAACATTCATAGATCACACTGTACCCGCTTGGCGGACACCATTGTGTAATGATGGATTTCGATGGTCCTGATTTAGAAGATGATCAAGTCAAGGAGAGGCTGAGCACCAAGCACTCGAAGGCTCTGTCGGGTCTAGCTGCCGGATTCGTGCACTTGAGGCGAATCTCTCTCTTCAATCATCCGCCAGTCAAAGAAATTCATACCGAAGCCGGTCAAACAACCGGCGAAAAAGAGTTTCCTCGTGTGACATCCACACATGACTCGGAGCGCACTGTGACCACATTTAATAATCCACCGGGGCAAGAAGAAATCGGAGGATTAGCATCGGCGGATGAACATTCGCTGTCCATTGAGTATCTGGATCCTATTTCTCCCTCACCCACCGCCGTTCAGCCCGGGCTGCTTATTACTGACGGATCCCAGAAAGTCTCCACAACTATCAATCTTCCTGGCTCTATTGGCGGGCACGTCGCGGTGACGCCTACTCATCGATTCCAAAAGTTTCTCAGTCTGACCTTTGGATTCCTGCAATCCCTCATGTATCCCCCGTCTTTATCGATCATCCTCTCATTCATAATTGCCGTTATCCCTCCATTGAAGGCGCTTTTTGTCTCCGGCGTTCCGGGCACCCATATACCTACAGCACCCGATGGCGAACCTCCACTCGCATTTATCATGAGTACGGCCATATTCATTAGTGGTGCATCAGTACCAATGAGCTTGATGGCCCTTGGGTCTGCTCTTGCCAGACTAAACATCCCGCGAAGCCAGTGGAGTTCTCTCCCTCTCAGTGCAATCGGGACTTTGGCTATTAGCAGACTCGTTCTAATGCCCATTCTGGGCATCCTAATTTGCCAAAAATTCACCCATATCGGACTGATAGATTCCTCCAACAATGTCCTCAGATTCGTCTGCATGTGCGTCTCTTCGGATATTTGCGGCCTGAGTGAAACCTGACCTTGAGCGTTAGCTTCATGTCGTGCTTGCCCACTTCGACCACCCAGGTACTTGTTTGAATTCTTCGTTTTGGCAATAATACCAAACTGCGTTTAGGTCTTTTGACTCAAGTATACTCTGGGACGGGGAATGCTGAACATCTGTCAGCGTTCCTGATACCCCAGTACATGATCATGTTCGTGTCGATGACAGCCGTCACTTCTTTCACACTTCATATTCTCTTTGGATGATGCCCTCAGGCGGGGATAGATGGATGAGTCGGTCGGTAGTTTGCGGGTTTAGATGATGACGGCTGATAAACGAGTGTCCGTGTCTCCTGGCAAGTCGGAAAGAATAAGACATATGTAACATATGATGTAGAGTATATTAGAGCGCCTGAAATTGTATTTGCGACCCCAATACATGCATACGTTGTACATTCGCATGAGCGAAAACAATCGGCACCACTGTCGGTTACACTCACATTGACCTATGAGGATTTTTGGCATCGCATGCTTCAGTTTTCCGCAAGACTTGAACCGTGATGGCCTATTCCAGGAGTTGACAGGTTATTGTGGTATTGGCAGCGGAGCCGTTCCAGCGATCTTTTGAAGATCTTGAATGATCCGGAGCTAGGTCATAAAGAAAGGAATGCAGGAGAAGAAAAACGCCTGCGCGATCTCGATAAAGGTTCGCAATAAGTCTATTTGGTGGTAAGTAGCAAGAAGTCATAATAATTACTAATTGTGTACTTACAGTACACTATCTCCTAATGCATAACGTCGGGACTACCTAGAATCCTTATGCATTAATATATGCATTAGAACATCTGTCACACTTCGTGACATATTGTGACCTTCGCGTGACTCCGCTCAAAGGTGTGACACATTTGCGCGCATCTATATGAAGTATTATCTAATGAAAATACGCATCTATCGCCGTGAAGAAGTTCATCTCGTAAGTGAGCGCGAAAAAGACGGATTTGCTTCAGCAGGTCAAGTGGAAGTGGGGAGTCGGCATTTCCAAACTGGAGGCAGGCTCCTTCAAGCGGCAAGCCGCTGACACAGTGCAAGTGTTTCCGCACGAGAAACCTCCAGTTCAGGTCCTCTTCTTCATCGGACTCGATCTCGATCACCTCGCCTACTCTCTCTGCCAGCTCCTGTTTCACTGCAGCAACAATGGCCTTATTCCCATGAAAATTAAAGCCCCTGAGTGAAGGCTCTTGAAGTGATTCACAATGTGACATTGTGGCATTGCCACTGGGTGTGCATCAATGTGTGCAAAAACTGTCAACCAGTCACTGAGAGTGAGGTTTGGGCACGAGGATGTGCGAGCTGTTGGGTCTGTGGAGTTTGCTGGGACATCCTTGACCTTTGGTTTTTTTAGCTGTCTCTGATAGGGTGCAGGTTCGTCTCGAGGTTTTCTTTCTCGGTAGTCATTGTAGAGTGAGGTGGGCTTTCACGACATCAACACTCCAAATATGTACACTGAAATTGTTATGCCGACCCGAACAAGACTGAGACCCAACCAGCTGAAAGTGCTGTCTCATAATGCATAATGGCCACACAGGTCTATATGATTCAATTTCTCACTGTCCCATAGGGGGATCATCGGAACATTATGCATTATGACATATTGTACTGTACTAACAAACGTGTTGACCTTTGGACCCTATGTACTTAACGAAAGGACCTCCATTCATTGTCCAAGATCTTGAAGGACAGAAGACCTTCATATTTACATACGCACCGGTAATCAACCCATTCGAAGCTAAGGTGGGAAGTGATTGAGTCAAACATGATGTGATGGCGTCGGGGGTTTCAAGTCATCTGCAAAACCACTGAAACGAACGCTTACGACTTCAGTAGCGCACTCATGCGATTGGTGGAGATGCTGAACACATAACCAAAAATGTGTGCTTACGAACGCAAACCCGAACTAAACCAAAAGCGAACTGCTCAAAAGCACTTTGAGAGAGAAACTTCGACCGAGTCGACTTTTTAGATGAACATTGAGTCCTACAAAAAACCAATCAAGACCTGACCAGAGCGCTCTAGACTTGAGATAGAACGTTTCAGAGCTCTATGTAGGTTGACAACACTTTCAGAGGCCGCAAAATGTTGGAGGGAGACGTACGGAATATACGGTGATGACCCTGTCATCACTGTACTTCATAATGAGATGGGCGCTGCGAGCTGACGTGTTCCAGACAACAACCATCAAATACATATCACTGTACACCACAAAGTGCATTGATGCGGCAAACACCGAGAAAACGCGTTGTTAATACCAACTTGCCACCGTCTCGTCCACTCACTGAGTCTCTCGGACGTATTGAGCTCACCAAGTTTGTAACGGCGCACCCACTAGTCTTGAATAAATTAGAACTTTAAACAGCCGACCTGCTCGCTTCAACGGAATTGCTGTCGCTGTCTGACACAGATCAGATTGGTGAAGTGATCTCCGGCCGCTTGATCTGGGCCCAGGCATGAGCAAGTGAGGTGCGCAAGAGGTGCGGCGCGTGTGATCAGCAGGGGATTGCTTTTTGACAGTCTGACTTTCCGGAGGTTTTGCTTTTTGATGCTTCCGCCGGGTGCTTTCTGAGATTGAATAGATTTTCATAATCCGGGGAAGCGAAATGATGTCAACAAACGCCAAGACTATAAATTTCTCAGGAAGCACCGAAGACTCTTTGTACTCCGACCGGGGCATTGCCTCTCCAATGCGGCGGCCGTTTGTTCGTTTGTTTTACAGCGTTGATTGCGGAGCCCATGGTGAGCGCAAACGATCAAGTTGAGAGCCTTGAAAGGTTGGCGTGGCACAAAGTAAATTGGTCGGTTAGAGGCGGGACTTAATCGGAGAGTCGGTTAGACTAGGCTACTAGTGTCTGAGTCGGTTAGGTCATCATTTTGAATTCCGCGTCGTGAGGCATGCTTAGTCATACGCCAGTTTCCCGGTTTCTTTTTCGGTTCTCCCTCTAGATAAAAGCGGGCTTGATTTTTTGTTGGTCCTTCGTGTTCCCTTCAACTTCTTTTCCGCCTTCTGTGACACAACTCGCTCATTAGTCCTCATCATGTCTGACACCGAGAAGGCCATGGATACCCAGAACCACATCCAGAACTATGAGGGGCGGGCGCACTTCAATGCACCTCCTCCCCAAATGCGTATCGCCAACCCTGGTGCACTGTAAGTTTTTCGTGTTTTTCGTGCCCGCCAGCGTTTGGGACTCATTATAATCCAGAGGGTTGTTCTCTTTCGCGTCCACGACATTTATTCTTTCTCTATACAATGTCGGCGCGCGCGGAATTGCTGTCCCTAACGTTGTCGTCGGTATGGCATGCTTCTGTGGTGGTCTCGCCCAGCTTCTCGCTGGTATGTGGGAGTTTCCACGCGGCAATGTGTTTGGTGCAACAGGTTCGTCACTCGTTCACGTTCGTGCCTTTGCCCGCCCGGTCTATCGTTTTATTCCTTGATCCACAACGCGATCGCCGTGGTCATGTGACCTGGATCTTGGAGCTACACTATTTTTGGTCAAGCTGTTCCTGCGCTCAAGCGGAACATTCTGCAATAGACAACGAATTGACATGTATTCTTGATTTCATCGGGCGTTTTGATGTGACAAGGAAATCTAATACTAACCGCGTTTCGTTCGTCAGCTTTCACCTCCTACGGCGCTTTCTGGATGTCATATGCCACTATCTTGATCCCCAACTCTGGCATTCTCGCTGCGTACGACGGTCATGAGGATGAACTTGGTCAGGCCCTCGGCATTTACCTGATCACCTGGTTTGTTTTCACGTTCTTACTCATGTGCGTTGTGATCTCTTTTGGCTGTTATGCAACATCTAATATGTCCCGAATAGGATTGGGGCGCTCCGCCGCAACCTCAGCTTCGTTGCACTTCTGTTCTTCTTGTGTATCACCTTCGTGCTCCTCGCGGTCGGCGCTTGGTCAGGCACTGTCAATCTCACCAAGGCTGGCGGAGGCTTTGGTATGCTGACTGCCGGGATTGCATACTACTGCGGTCTGTCGGAGTTGCTCGTCAAGGGCGAGAGCTGGTTTGTCCTCCCTCTTGGACAGATCAAGCAAGGTCGCGTAGATTGAATGTCGGGTTGATTGGGTACGCGTGGGATAGATCTGAGTCTAACACTTCTTGCTTTGCGGACGCGATAGAGTTATATCACGACTAGGTCTTCTTTTCTATTCCAATTACCCATCTCTATGCATTCCCCTTAAAAGCGGTTACATTCAATATTTCCACCCCACTACCCCTTTGTCCTTGCATACCCTGCGATACCATCCTCCAATCTCACGACGCCTTTCGCACTCCTATTCCTCACGGTCTTGAACCTGTAAACCACTCCTTTGGCTTTGGATTCCCATGTCTCGCGCATTCACCATTTCAAACCTTTTGTTACCGTATTCAACTGATTCGTAATGTTGGCAATGCGACGATTGAACATCTCACCGTTGTGCAATGTGTCATGAATAATGTAGATCCGGTAATCTGATATCAAACTTCCATCATTCGCTGATCATGGTACGGTGGATGGAAGTTTGCGAATGTTTGAACATGAACTTCCTTTTAGAAGCCTTTAGATTGGAGAAGTTTTCCTAATCCCACACACTTCCTAGGGGTATCCTAAAATTAACAATCAATGGTGATCAGTGGAGTTGTACAGCATTTCGGGCGCTTTGGTGACCACAAATACTTATCATACTCCGCTCTCATGTTTCAGGTTCCCCCTGGTGACTGGAGTAGGTGAGAGCAGGCCTTGATGGGAAGGATGACCGCCCTCACGCTCAAATCGGAGAAGAAGCGTGAGGGATACAGCAGTTGAGGGAAGACATGGCCTGTGATACGTATGCAGCAGTCGTTCCAAACATGTGGGCGATGGGGTTAAGGAGTCTCCGTCTACACAAGCCATGTACTCAATCTTATCTAGGCTGTTCTGGGTCCAGATGCTATCTATCAAGAAAGAACGACCGATCTTTCATCTAACTACATAGGGGTACTTAATGTCACTATATCGCAAACATGGGCGACGCGTAAAACCCATTGATACCATTTTCAGCGCATTTGATCCTCTGACGCGACAGATGAAGGGCGCACTGTACGCATGCGTGACCGGAGCCAAGTCGGGCCTCGTTGATTTGAATTGCCACGAGGACTTCTTGAGTCACTTCGACAAAGAGGACGGGGCCGAATAGTGGATGGAGATATCTGTTGAACTTGCGTTGACCTATACCCCTGTCCACTGTTTGCCGAGGTTTAGGGAATACCGCACAATCGAACAGATGGTTGGATGCCCTATATTTCGGCAGTCGCATCCCCCGTGATCCTGGCAAACCCGGGGTGGCCGAAAGATACCGTGACATGGAAGGTAAACTTGAGGGCGGTAAACGCACCGAGGTGTGTATGAGGCAGGATCCTCGAGAGAGATTAGCGTATAGTGCGGAAACACGTCACTGTAAAACAGAGCATCAGTCACAGGTATCCAAAGGGGACGATAACTCACAGTTGACAGAATCCATTGCTCCTGCAAGTCAAGTCGCCGACATTAAAGGAAGAATCTATGCGTGCCTGTTCCGCAGATGAATTTGCTGCCAAGAAGGGAATGAGACTGCATGAACGGCACGAAGGAACCCTGAGAGTCTATCTTCAATGGAATGGACATTCTGTTCGAAGCATTAAGTCCACCCCAACTCGAGTTGCGAAACAGAAATTTGGCTAGAATTAATCCTTGGAACATAAAATCTGGAGCTGGGACACCTAAGCGACTAACCATCCCCTGATCATGAGCGATGTACCTATTGGCCTGAACAGACCCAGAAGTTCTGACCTCCTCGTGGTACCCCGCTTCGCCTTTGAGATCAGAATCAGAATATCTTCGTTAGGAGAACTCACGACGCGTGCCACAGCGAGACAGCCCAGCAAGTTGATGTTGTCGCTTGTCCTGACTTATTATCCAGCGGAGGAGTACGGATTCTTCAGATCTCCCTGGGCACGACTCAGAGGCCGTGGTAACGGATTGACCAAAAAGCTATCGGTAGAAGAGCTAGAGCCACTAGTCAAGAAATCGGGTGGGTATCCCATCCTAGACTGGTGGCTGAGCTGCCATGGTAGAAGGAGGTGGGGCGACGAGAAGGTACAGTGATGAGTGTCGTGTTGTGAGGGGGCATTAATATTGACGAGGAGAGGAATGTAACACATAACTTCAGTGTTGGGAGACAAGCTGAGATACAACTGCTCGACGAGACGCGAATTTATAAGGTGAGATGCGATGCAATATTAATGTGTATATTTGGCCATCTACGCTCATTACAGTTCCAGGTATTGAGATACCACGGACGTCGCGTGACTGGATGATGCGAAGGTCAAGATACCGATCCTTGACCGGTCCGATTTCCATGAAGGCAGGTCTTAAAGCCAAAAGCAAAGTCATTTCGAGCAATTTCTGCAAGATGTGAACAAAGGTGCACATGGTTACTATTATACCTTGGCCGGACGAACCACTCTATTGGCCGGCCAAACCATCCTATCGGGTTTAATTGGTCGATGGTACCCTTGTATCGTTGGCGCGCAAAGTCATGTCCTTGGTCATATTGGTCTTGGTCCGAGTCAGGCCCTAGGTAGTTTGCGTTTGCGCCAACGTCAGTCGTCTGAGGTTGAAACACACTTGTCTCCGTGATCCGACATGAGTACGATCAAAGCATCAAGTACACCGCTGTGCTCAATTGCACTGCCTAATCGTAAGATCAGCCACAGTAGACTTTGACAGTCATACTTATAGCACCTCGGACCGCAGCCCTGCTGCTAGAGTATTTCATCTTCAATTCTTGGTTGCGGCGGCTTCAAGAAAATCAACATCTGACAAATATGGGCGACGCGATTAGAAGCGGATTAGGCACGCGATCGCACGTATGGTCCGGGGCGCTTTACACAGATGGTTCCCTATGAGTCAACTTGAGCCCCATGGCAGGCCAACGGAAGGCACTTGAACGCAATAAGAAGCCCTGAGAATACAGTGACGAATCTGGCCGATTTGTTCGGATGGGAATTCAGAGGGACAGAGATAGAAGGGATAACGTAATATGGCGGGCCAGGGATGGGGAGGGAATAAGGGGGCTGTGGGAGACGCTACCAGCCAATGAGTTCTCAGTGGGTCTCACGAGTCTCTATTTTGGACGAGGCTCAAAGGACGAAGATTCTTTTAACTATGGCAGATGTGGTATTCCTGGCAGTGGTGGTCAGAAATTGATCTACGCAGTTGCAGCGAGGGAGCAGTTTATCCAGGTACACTTCGGGGAGCTGCGCCGTGGCGTAGAACTGAAGTGGACATCCAAATACCGTGCGACGCCTTCAGGTAGACGCTGTCCTGAATAGGTGTCACCTTGAAGCCAACTCTTTAATTGAGTGTTCATTGGAGGCGTGGAAACAAGGTCGTATTGTCATTCCTTTGGCGGATAAGGACTACTAAATGCCAGTGTCAGTACAAGGTAGGCAATTGTCATGGATAAGCTACCATACGTACGCCATAAGCGAGCTCTTGGGGCAGAATGAGTCATCCTCATCGCAGGTGGCCGAGGAGCTGACATTTTAATGACACTTCACTGCTTCTTGGCTTGGTCTGGCGGCTCTCGAAACGTCGGTCATGCCACGAAAATACAGCTGAGCTGACGCACATCTGGGTCTCGATTGTCAAAAGTTAACTCTATGAGAGGTGCGTCTTGGTAGCCGAACTTGTGCTAATACGGAGACGTACAAGGGCAGAGGGGACCCGAGCGGTGCAGGTTATACATCCTCGCGATATCCACGCGCACACACCTTATGACATATTCGCGGTGGCTATTATTTCCATCCATGGCAAGCTGCTGTTCAAAAACCAACCAGATGGCTGAATCAAGCAAGAAACGAGGCATGAAATGGGTCTATATCGGCTGGTATGATAGAAGTGAGTAGCGTGTTCTAACACATAGCGCAGATCATACCCGAGAATTCAAAGGCCCCTGACTCGCCAGCCAACGCCGCCAACGCCAGCCCTGAGGTGCCAGTGGCCTGAAGGAGCTGGCATGGAACGAACCCTATAAGACACGACTCGGCATGAACCGAAACTCCGCTTGCTTTACATTTGCGCGCTTGTTTACTGATTTTCGACAACAAATTTGCGGGTTAATCTCTTTTCTATCTGCCATCATGTCCTCTAACGTGCCCATTGCTCATGGTGATATTACAGCCCCGACTCCGCAGAACACGCCTTTGACCCACGCTCCCATCGCTGCTGGTCTTTCGCGCCCAACAGTTCCTGACATCTCGGAAGATAATGAGCCAGCCGAAGATGAAATCGATGATGCCATTCAGATGACCGGTGCTCAGGCCGCGATGTTGGGCCTTGTTCAAGGTCGCCTTGCAGATCTAGTTGGAAAGAGCTCTGGGTATATCGAGAGCCTGTCCATCGATGTAAAGAAGAGTGTAGAAGCTTTGAAAGGGGTTCAGGTCAAGCAAAATGAGCTGCAGAACCAATACAAGCGCGAATGCCTAGAACTTGAAAAGAAGGTGCGCGATCATTCTTCAATCCTATGTCGTTGTTCGACGTCTCATGTTGCTTTAGTACCTTGAGCTTCAAAAACCTCATTATGAGCGGAGAAACGCAATCATCTCGGGTGCTTCTCAAGCCACCGCGGAGGAGATCGAAGCTGGCACTCGAGCATCTATCAAGGATGATCCATCCTACACGCCACTTCCCACTGATGAAGGTACACCAGCGGCAATCCCAGAGTTTTGGCTCACTGCGCTGCGCAATCATGTCGGACTCTCGGAGATCATCACAGAACGAGATGCTGGGGCACTCAAGAGCCTCATTGACATTCGGCTATCGTACCTCCCTATCGACTCACCAAAACCAGGATTCAAGATCACCTTTATCTTCAGCCCTAACGAATACTTTGAGAATGAAGTTCTTGACAAGACTTACCTCTATCAGGAGGAGGTGGGCTATTCTGGTGACTTCGTGTACGATCGCGCGATCGGCACGGAAATTAAGTGGAAAGAGGAAAAGGATTTGACGAAGGAGTTCGAGATCAAAAAACAAAGAAACAAGAGTACGATGATCGTATTCTGATCGATAACATCTCTCATCATTGTCTCCAGACACAAATCGCACGCGACTGGTTCGTAAAGCACGCCCGACCGATTCATTTTTCAACTTTTTCTCTCCACCTGTGCCCCCACCCGGAGAAGATGAGGAGTTAGAAGATGAGGACCTCGAAGAACTCGAGGAGAAACTGGAGATGGACTACCAAATCGGCGAGGACCTCAAGGAGAAGGTGAGATCCCCGTAATCATCGGAGTGTTGCTGACTAATCATGAATGCCAAAGATCATTCCCCGTGCCATTGACTATTTCACTGGCAAAGCCCTTGAGTATGACGTTATGGATGAAGACGAGGATGACTTCGACGAGCTGGACGACGAGGATGAGGATGGCCAGTTCGATGATGAGGTATGATCGTCCCACCCACTGGGACGTCACCACTGTGGCTCATCCTTATCAAGGATTCTGATTCCGAGGTTGAGTTGCCAAGACGTCGCGGTCCTCCCAAGGGCCGCGGCGGCTCAAGTGCCGGTGCTGTCAATCCCGAAGAGTGCAAGCAACAGTAGGCGAACATTCCATCTCACGCTTTGGGACGCCACCTTCCAAAAAATCTTCTGTCGTTGCATTTGTTGACATGAATTAATACAATCTCATCCTGCCTGTTGTTACACTGTAAACACACCTTTGCCGTGCAACTCTCATTTTTTCTGACCCAGAACTAGTTTTTCTGTCATTGCTCGAATCTCTTCTACTGAGCCTACTTAATCAGGGCGTTGTATATAGGTTCTTACGTAGGTTTGCTTCAAATTTCCAACTAGCATAATGGAACGTAACCAATGGATGTCGTAGGGGCTTCCTCTGTTTGCGATGTACTACATAGGATGTATTTGCATATTTTTGACTTCGTAAAAGATACATTCACAATTTGTTCATTGTACTACGCTTCAGTTGGAACCTCCGCCTGCGGAGTGAGGCGAACCGCATGCCTTCTCTCACCAGGATTGAAGTCTCCAGTCGCGGAGTGGACAGTAACTCGGTTATCCTGCACACGAGATAGGTTCAATCACGAGGAAGAAGCACGCTGCACGATACACCTACCCAAACAACAACAGTGCCAGGTTTATACCTCGCACGAATCTGGAAGTCGGCGCCCTTCGAAATGTGGTCGAACAAGAATTTCAGGAGGTACTCAGATTCCTCCGTCTTGAAGCCGACGATGCGACGTGTGAAACCCTGGTTCACATAGAGCGCTTTCTCCCCAGTCACGGGATGCCGGCGAACGAGAGGATGCTTCACGACAACGGGATCAGCGTGCGTGGTAATTGAAGGTAAGATGACATCTACCTCGGTCTCGATAGGCTCTCGGCGCACAATCCCGCCACGCCTGATGGAGGCTGCCGCTTGCTCGAAAGCGCTGTGCACGGCGCGCAAGCCTTCAAGGCGTTTCTTGAACTCGGGCGAAAGGCGATTGTACGCCTCTACCTGTGATGCAAAAAGCGTATCACCGCCGACTTCTGGCTGCGCTAAAGTTAGTTCCTGCAGATGAGAACAACGGAGAAGAGATGTACCTGGTCCAGAACGAAGAAGAAAGTGGTTCCGGCAGGTTGTTTCTCGTAGGACTATATGGGGACGTCAGGTGAGGGGCTAGCCTCAGCAGGGGAGGTTGTACTGACAACGTCGGAATGCCATTGGGTACGGTTAATGCGTTCCTCAGGTATGACCTCCTTCAGCCTGTCGTGTTCAGTACCTCTATAAACTACAGCCAAGGTGAGAATAAAAGCCAAGACGTCATGACATTAAACACCCTCACCAACATGGAACTCTGGATATCCCTTGACGTTCCCCGAGGTCGGGTGTCTCTGAATTCGTCCAAAACGCCTGAGAACACAACACCATGAGTCCGTCAAACCGTTCAAAACGCGAGGTACCGCACTTGGCAATTTCAATCTGGCTGTCAGGTCCAATATCTTTGAAGTCCTGATCACGGAAGATGAGGACCTTCCTCTCCGCGGCGTACAGAGCGAGCTCATTAAGGCCCTCCTCGCTCAGCTTGGAAATTTGCACGCCGGAGATCTCGGTCCCGAGGAAGGGGCTCAGATGGTCGACCCTTGTCTCGGGTGTCAACAGGTGCGGCTTAGCAGGGTCCGCCTTGGCACCAGGGTCCGTGTGCTCTGTATCCAATGTCAGTTCCACATCTCTCTTGACGTGAAGACATTTACATACCATAGACTTGCGTTGGAGGGAACTTCTCGTTTACGTCATAATAGGGGTAGTAGAAGGGATATGAAGGACCATTCTGTGTGATCAGGCATGGTCGGAACACGATCGAGAACTGCATTACAAGTTGAAACGTACATCATGCTTTGCAGCTGTTAACTTGAGATCGGCAATGTTGTCTATGACAGGAGGTATAATGTCAGCAACTGAAGGTGCCATTGTAACTGATTGAGTAGTTGAAGTATTAAGGACGATACACACAAAACTGTGATAGATGTCCCTTTATATGCTGAACAGTCAGAGGGTGGGACTCCGATGCCTGCGGTTGTCATCGTGCAGACATGCAATCTCGAAGCCGGATGGCTAATCCATTGCTGCAATAGATAAGGCAGCGTGACATCCTTGTTGCGCAACAATAATAATAGGCCTGTTCGATAGGAGATTGGTCAGAAGACACCGCAGCTGAACACCGAACCTGATGAGATGACGGATCATGGCGAACTAAAGGGAGCTAATGGCGCAAAGTGGCACTGCTCTTCTTCCTTAACTGATGGTATTCTCAAAACATGGACTATGGGTGCATTAGTGTCCCTGGCTAGTATGTGTGTGACTAGGAACTGAGTGTATATGGCGCTCAGTCGAAGGCGGCCGGATGGTTTCTGTCCAACTGACTGATCATGTGTGCCTCCATATCTATGGCGTAATCACAAGAGGTATTGTATCGTATATTAGCTCAAAGTTCGCGAAGTTGTCGCGATATTCACCTGGGAAAAGATAGAGACTAACTCTCCACTGCCGTCCTTGACCCTCGGACCTCGCTTCTAAACATAGGAAATCCCTCATGAATAACAGACTGGCGACAATTTTCATACCAGGTCTATCCATTGGTGGTGCGTCTTTCGTTTACCTCAGCCTGGACACTACACAGTTCAGTATTAATATTGAACACTTAGCTTGACAAAATGTATCGACCGGAATGTGAGTGGCCATATTGTGACATTCAAGTAACCCGGCAACCTATTATACCAAGGTTAGTATTAATATATGTGACTACTGTTATCAAAAGACGACGTTGAAATGGAAATACAGACCGGCTTCCTAAGCGGACATATATATGCTAATGGCCAAGCCATAAGCCAAGTATACCTAGTCATAAGCGGAGTATTTCAGACGTACGAGCCTAAATCAATCAGAACGCATTAGGATACAGCAAACACAACGATTCAACAGTAATGATGTTGCATTTACTCTTATCATGCGTTTGGCATCATTCAAGACCGCCATAAACCTCGATGCCCGGCTTCCGTCGTGATATCCAAATCCCACCGATTGATTGGAATCGAGTCCTCGCCTTCTGCTGTTGGAAGTCCAGGGACTACGCAGCCACTGGATTTGTCCATGTAATAGAAAGCAAGCATCTGTCCCATGATACTGATGCCATGGAGTCGTGGTACCGTGGTTATTTGGTCGAGGCTACGAAATCTTTCCCTCATCTGGTTGTCCGCAGCGATCCTGGCCGAGATGTCATTGACATCACCAGGGGGTTCGATTTCGAGGAAAAAGGCAGGGTTGTCCAGGAATATAACAGCAAATGTGATGACGAAGTCATCAGCAGATCTGCCCTCGGGAAGGCTGGGAGCAAAATTTTCTGGGAGGTCATACAATGGATTGACTGTATACGGATGACCACCGAACGCTTCCCGAGAAGCATGCAGTACACCGGGTAGTCTAGTTTTTGACGGTTTTATCAACCCAAAAAATCGAGTTTAAATTGATCCAACATGGTCGAAAGAAGGTGTCAGCTGCGCGAAGGTTGAAACTGATGATAGGAGAGAAAGCATCGTGGACGGTCGTCCGAAACCCTTGTAGAGCTTACCTAAGCGAGCCGCCAAGTACTCGTGCACCGTGACGGGTCGCGCCCATCTAAGTCATACTTATTCCGTCCCACTCGATCTAATTTGCTCAGGCAATCCCAATCTCAATATATTTCAACACTTGAGTTGTTACAGTCCCAAACTCAGCCACGTCCTCGTACAGTCAAAAAGGTCATTCGTCGGCCCGTAGTCCTGGGATACATTACCAGTCCGGAATGGCTCTATCAATGGGGTCTAGATCACAACCTGCACGTCTACGAGGAGAATGGGGAGGTATATTTCTGGAACACCAAGTTCGAAGCCTTACAGACAATCCACCGACGCATCAATGGGCTGCGAAATACCGCCTTGTGCTTGATCATGACAATCCTAGGAATGTCATCATGGCTCTCACTATTGACAACGACTCTCGACCTTCTCCACCCGAGATGGTGGAGCGTAGGAAGAAACTGCTTCAGGCTGCTATGGAGATCACGGAGGAACCAACGTGGCTGTATACCTCAGGATGATGCATCATGGTGAAGTAGGTCACCTATGGTGGGCTCAGCCTCGTGACTCGCAGATCAGGATACAGCTTTCAGGCCCTACGTCTACGAGCGGCACCTTAATGTATCCAGTAGACTGAAGTGCAATGAGGTGATGCAGTTTGTTCGTTTTATACATGTGGCGACAAATAGTCCCACTCAATAACGATTTTATTTCGCCAGTTTATTTTATCCGCGAGATGTCAGACAACAGATAAATCAGGCACGTTATTGAGTGGTCATATTATTTGCCAGTTTATTTCACAATTGGCAGCAAGTTTGGCATTTGGAGTCGTTCAGTTTTGTCTCGGAACTTTTTGCGACGACGTTCGTGAAATAAACTGGCAAAATAAACTCGTTATTGAGTAGGACTAATGTTGCTGTTTTCGCATTGATAATTTAGCTTTGATTCCCCCGCTACTCCAATCAGCTGCAACCATCAAACTCGTGCTCTTTCCCGCATGTTCATTTTTCCATGCCATTAATTCGACCTGAAGATGGGAGAGAAGAAGACTCGGATGCGGCTCCAAGGCCGATCAGGAAGTTTGACTTTTGTTCTCTGAATTGTAGATACCACGGGAAAAGCCTGTGGGACCGGGTTGAGATCATACTACACAGAATCGGGGGGATGGTCTGGGGAGCTCTATTTGAAGTGAAGTACACTCAACCGCGCTTATAATCCTGTTGATCTACTAGTATCTGCTCTAAGCGCTCGTGAATGAGATAGAGGATTTGGTTGGATGCTGGCGTCTCCAAGAGTAGATACGGCGACCATGTTTTCGACAACACCATATCCTCAGCTGTCAATATGCCATGGCGTTCAGGAGTGAGACGCTTGACCGTATTGCCATACCCTGCTACCAGATCGCCCTCATCAAATTTGAAGAGGTCCATGGGGTCGCTACCGGAGCTGTCATCTTCATCGTCAATTTGATCCCTTTGATAGTGGTGGATGCCGTTTTGTTCAATAGCTTGGTCATCGTCTTCATCCAACCCAGGGAGGGGCTCAGCGCCATCAAACTCTACATCCGCTCCTGCAACTCCTACCGTTTCTCGCTCGGCAATCCGATAGGTCCACCAAAATCCCGTAGCTGCGATTAAAATGACAGAGTCTTGGTGTGGGCGCATCCTGAACAGGTTTGCTGCTTGGTAAACAACCTGATGCTGTGCAACATTCATCATTCCAGCAGCATCCAAGAGCGCTTCAGTGACGGAGTGGCAGCGTCTACCAGAGCGCTTTATCTCGCACAGCAATGGAATGCCGACATATGCGACCCTGCGTCCTAAACCCCACATGTTATTGATATGGCGCTGACGCACGCGAGGAAGCTTGCGGGTGATGGCAAAATCTGGCACGAGAGCATGATCGACAGCACACGTAGAACTCGCGATGGAGGCGAAGGTCAAATCACCCATATCCTGAGGTTCCCCAACTTCACCAGGTTGCTCATTGTCCGAGTCGTACCATAAGTAGCACTGGGGATGCACAGCAAGACGACGTGAAGTCGCCACCAAGTCTGCGAAAATCAATCCCCATGGCTCGTACCAGGGGAATTCCAGATTCCTCGGGTTCCACTGCCGGCTGTATGCAGCGGAACAGGACAAGCGAAACTTGCTCTGCGAGGCAGGATTAAGGATGCGACCAGGTAAGCAGAAGTCGATGTGGGGGGCAGATGCGGCCATTGCAAATGAATGCTTTTGGAGTTGTGTGGCAGTGGGAAATTGTTGCGGACCACGGGTACGATAGACACTGATGAGCAGCGATAACCACGATCAGCTCAATTAAAAACTGGTCATGCTGCCGCAGTGCTCACATGATGTTATTAATGTTCTTGAGTGATGTGCAGGTTCCACTTAAAGTTATAAGCAAGGCTGAAGCTGCAACACAATCGAGGGTCAAGTTTCATGCTTTATATCACCCCAAGATAGAATTTTGGGACTCAGCATGATTCAGAATCTCCGCATGTTCGTAGACGTTGTCTTCGCCGTTCGGTCACCGATGCCGTATTCAATATTGTCAAACACATGGGGTTATTCGTGCCACTGCCACGTGAGTCGTCACGTGAGTCTGGTGTTCAAAGGATTGAATTTCCATCCACTTCAGACTTGTTCATCTCGCTGCCTCCCATGTAAGTTATGCCGTTTCTTGCGTTCCACTCACGATTTTCTGATTTGCTCAGGAACTCCCAATCTCAAGATGTTTCAATACCTGAGTTGTCGCAGTCCCAAACCCAACCACGTCCTCGTACAGTCAAAAAGGTCATTCGTCGGCCCAAAGTCCTGGGATACATTGCCACCCCAGAATCACTCTATCAATGGGGTCTAGATCACAACCTGCACGTATACAAGAAGAATGGGGAGGTGGATGCCTGGAACACCCAGTTCGAAGCCTTACAGACAATTATGCGACGCACCAACAGGGCTGCGAAATACCGCCTTGTGCTTGATCCGGACAATCCTAGAAATGTCATCACAGCTCTCACTATCGACAACGACTCTCGTCCTTCTCCACCTGAGATGGTAGAGCGTAGGAAGAACCTGCTTATGGCTGCTATGGAGATCACGGAGGAACCAACGTGGATGTATGCCTCGGGTTGATGCATCATGGTGAGGTAGGTCACCTATAGTGGGCTTAGCCTTGTGACTCGCTGACCAGGATATAGCTTTCAGGCCCTACGCCTACGAATGGCACCTTAATTTATCCAGCAGACTGAAGTGCGATGAGGTGATGCAGTTTGTTCGTTTTACACATGTGGTAACCAATGTAGCTGTTCTTGTATTGATTAGCTTTGATTCCCCCGCTACTCCAATCAGCTGCGACCATCACGCTTGTGTTCAGATCAGTAAGGGTTAGCGCTGTTATCATCTTGTATGGCGTTCCTAGCCCCACATCTAAAAAAAGTCGAACCGGTCAAAACAAGTTGAAAACTTGTTTTCAACAGAAGCCTGTATGTAGCCGAGCGCTTAGCGTCGCCTGAGTATCTCTCCACCAATGTGAACGTAAACTAGGCAGTCTCTCAGATGCAGCAACTGCAGCAGTCCTTGCTTGCAAAAATTTCCGGTGGTGAACATGTAGAGTAGGACTGACCAACCTTGCGAGTGACATGGTAAGTTTGAATGCAATATACATATAGCACTACATTCGAATTCGCGATAGTGTGGTGTTACAAGTCCCATATATGAACCAGCCGCCGATCCCAACCGCCGTCACAGCTTCTGTAATCTACAATCACCTTAATTGAATAACCCCACAAGTCAACGTGGAGCGTATGTATTTAGTACTGTATTAATGCCTACTCACTACGCACCATCCTTAAAGAGAAAAAAAACATAAGACAAAAAATCACCCCGCCACCCAACATCACTCCCCCTTGTCCCCACACGCCGCCAACGCAACCCCAATAGCCTTGGCCACATCATCCGGCGACAACGAGCCAGACGCACTCCGATCATACCCATGCATCGACTCCCACGTCACCGTCACAGCCTCCCCCACCTCAGGCTGCGGCCAATCCATCCTCTCCTCCAAAGCCTCCAACGGTGTCAACGTCCCATCCGAGTCCAGTTCAGGTTCCGAGTCCGGTGACGACGAACGCGAAGAGTGCGAAGATATAGGCATACGCGTGTATGGTAGGTATAACCACTTCGCATCGCCGATATAAACCCGCGGTCGCTCGATAGCTTTACCCTTACCCTTCCCTCCGTAGCTTTCCTCTGGGACGAGAGGAGGAATTGCTACGCAGGGCTCGAGGTCTCTATATGTGCGGATCTTCCACTCGCGTAGCGGCGTTCCGATGAATACTCTTGGTTTCTTCTTCGGCTTCGCTTTTGCTTTCTGTTTCGATTGTCCGTTTGGGGCGCACTGCTTCGAGGGTTGTAGGGGTGGGGCGGAGGCGCTGGCGTCGTCAATGAATGCGCGACCGACACGTTGGCCTTCAAGACCATATACGTGAGCCCAGAACATCGTCTGTGGTGCACTTTTGGGAGGCTCGGGCGTCATTGGTCCGTCCTGAACTTGATCTGGATGGGAATCGTCAGGCACGAGTAAAATGCCTGACTTGGTACGTGATCCCGCAAATCCGCCTCCGCGCATGGAAATATACTCCTCCCCACGTTTTCGCGAGCATATTGAGCAGTTACAAGTACCAGTGCAGATGGGGCAGATAAAATTCTTGCTATTGCGGACAAACGCGATCTCAGGGTACCTGAGTAACCATATGGGGGGTGATGTATGACGCAACACAATCAATGAGGAAAGGATATGAAATCAAGGAGAGGAAGACAACAGACCGCTGAGTGATGCATCGGTCGCAGAATAGTTTCCCGCATGTTTGACGGCCTACGCGTTTGGAACATTGCATTTTGGGTTTGGTATGGGTCCGCCGGCATTGGTGGCAAAAGCTAGGGGCTTCGGGCTCTTCCTCTTCCTGCGGCGTAGCTAGAGCAGGAGGAAGTTTATGGACCTTGAGGGGTTTCATTTCCGGAAGAGGAGGTACAGATACAGCAGGAGACGCTGAACCTGAACCTTGTGACGGCACAAACGACCCATCAGAGCCTTCACGGATGCCCGATCGACGAATCCGTATCTTGAGACTCGGTCGAGCTCCAGGTTGTGCAGATGGACCAGTAACCGCTTCAGCAGTCCACCTCACATCATTCCCAACTTCCAAGTCGTTCAGCTTTCTCGCCGAGCTTGTCGCATCGCCTTCATCCGTGACTGACACAGACTCACTCGTGCGATATTTGATCTGGACATTTCTTCGAGACTTGCCAGGCGTGTTGCCTGAGAGCACTGGGGCTTCCTGCGACAAGGACACCCCTGGAGGTCTGCGCACGTATATGATAGGACCTGCTGGTAGCTGCTTCGTTTTTTTAAGACTTGTTGACGGGGATACGAGAGAGGAAGGTAGTTTGGGAGGCGGTTCACTGCCACCAAGCAGCGATGGATCAATTGTACCTACGCTGCCTGAAGGAGAATCACTTTCGGACGATAGGCTCTTTTGCTCAACGGCATCAGGTGTCAGAGACCACTGGCTTTCCTCGAGTTCGAAATTAGCGTCGAGGTCACGGGAAAGATCAGTGGCGTACGAGGCACTGAACTCTAGTAGGGAAGAAGAATTCGGCGCGAGTTTCGGACTAGAAGGTACTCCGAAAAAACTGTCCTTTGCATCTTCTCGCGTGTCCAATGCTGCGTCAGAGGGTAGCTGCATGGTGTTGTGCAAGAAAGCATGATATGCATTTGACGCGGAGCGAGTGTCCTTGATGCCTGAGGGATACAATTTTGCGGGAGAATCTCCGAGGTCGTTTAAATATTGATCCATCTCCGTGCCGAGGTCGAGGGTTTGATCTCCTTCCAGTGTGTTATAGTGCGAGATGTCATCGTTAGACTTGGACGAAGATGGGACGTTCCATAGCTCTAAATCCTGCTTAGTCCCACCCTCGCGAGAGGAACGCTTGCGTGCCCACTGTTCTGTCACAGACGCTTTGATATCCGGCCTCCATTCAAACAGCGGGGCGAGGACACGAGGCAGGATAGGTTCATCTTCTTTCTCGTCGTTCTCGTCCGGGACCGCAAGACTTTTCATCTGCGCAATCATCTCTGGCAAGCCCTCTTGTAGCCGAGCGTAGTAACGCTGAAGGCGACGGACGTGGATCCAATAGGTATTCGACTGCCATATATTGTCGAAATCCGGTGAAAAGTCTGGTAGCTCGTGGATGTCAAGTTCGGTGGCAGGATATTGAGCGTCCAAGATCTGAGCGGGTACCGTGGACACGCCATCTCCGAAACTTTCAGGGATGCGAGGCTTGTATTTCCGTTTTGGACGTACAGGAGCTGGGGGTGGACGTTCGCGTGAGTGTTCACGCTCCTTTCCCTTCCGACCGAGAGGGGGTGGTGGCGACTTGTTATTTTGAGCGAATGCTGCGGCCAGGGCATGGCTTACTGATGGGTGCTCCACGCCCTGCTGAGGTGCGCTGGAGGACGCTTTGGGGGAGGACCTGTAATCGGCCCTGGCCATGCCCTTGGGAAAGGGTGGGACAGATACACAGTCGAGGATGACGCGTCTGCGACGCTTGCGGGAAGGTGGAGGTGTGAATAGGGAACCGCCTATTTCCAGTGAGGGTGACGGAGAACGGGCAGGACTTGAAGATGAATCGGGTTCGGGAGCTGGTTCAGTCTGAAATCAACAGTAAGAAAATGGTTCGGGATTGATGCAACGTTTAGGTGTACGGTTACGTACAAGCATGTCGTCCACAACCATCTCCTCGTCCTCATTGTCATTATCAATGCTATCGATGGCATTCTTGATAGCATTATATCTCAAAGTGGCGTCGTCGTCGTCATCGTCGTTAGTCAATTCAATAACGTCGTCATGAGCAAACGTTGGGTTTGAGCGAGGGCGTATAGACATGTCGAGTAAAGCCAAGTTAGACTCCGCGGCATAGCGTGAAGTGGGCGCACTACGGCTACTGTGCTGTAATGGAGAAGAATACGATTCAGACTGAATCGAAACGTTGTCCTGTAGGAGAACGAAGAATACGTAAACATGATTAGTTCTGTCAGATGTCATTGATTCAAGACGCGCTCACGGTAACCGAGGGGTCGCGACTATGCTGGAATGGAAACATTGTATCAAGACTAGACGATTGAAAGAGTTCAGGCATATGTGCAGGTGAATGCGTGTCAATCATTGACACGCGCTGAGTGGAGCGTAAATCACAATGAATATCATTGACTCTGAGAAACACGAACATACCTCGATTGAAGCACGCGCAGCAAATTGAGCAACGCGGTTTTTGTCAAATATGTCGTTCATTGAAGATGGTTGATCGATTATATAGCAATCCGAGTCTTGTTCATTAGCTTGTTCAGATGATGTACTAGAAGGATATGATGCAGGGGTGGGATCTAGGTTACTCGACGTTGAGAACGATGTCAAAGGTACATCTTTGGGTGAGCGAGGATGGTATGAGCTGGATGATATATGGCCGTCCCAATTCATGAGCTCTGAGTATTCAGAGCCTTTCATCATCGTCGACCGCGGCGAGCAGCCGACAAAGTCACTTCACCCAAAAAAGGGTGATCGGCAATTCCCGTACATAATGACCAGGCGAACTTTAGTCTTTTTTACTTCCAATCATTGATCGATGATCAGCGTTAGTGGAGGTCCAGTGAAACTTGTTTTCAGCTAGCATATGATGGCGATTAAATTTTTACTGCGACTGGTCTAGGTGGTACCTCCATCGTTAGTTTTCGACATACGCCACACTTCCGCGCCAAAACAGCGATGGGCTCGTGCATAGCTAGCCGTCACATGTTCATACATAAAATATGGATGCCACCTAAACTCGATACCTAAACGCTAGCTTGATGGGTAGCCTCCTTATTCACCTGCACCTACTCGTGTGCAGTGATGACGCCATGTGACCAGACACTGGCACCAACTGGTCCCAGACTCCCAGGAACTCCCACCTCAACCTTGTCGTCCCTTGGAAGCACGCCAGCGATCATGACCAACCTCGATCTCCGCGAGATAGAGGCTTGCTTGTTTGACGTATTCGGTACTGTCCTCAACTGGCACAGCACAGTCACTCGCCAAGTGGCCCGCCTTAGCAAGGAGCTGATTCTCGAAGGTAACAGATCTTCATCCTCGTAAAATGCTCTACCCTGATCGCTACCATCAGGCTCACAGGATGCCGTCGATTTCGCCGAAGAATGGAGAGCTGGGTATTATGCTCATGTGCAAGTCCATCGCTCTTAGATCTTGGTGTCTGGTTTATGACATGCCCGTTCACAGCAAAAGAGTAGCCCAGGGAGGGGAGGGTACTTTCAACGCAGACATCATGCATCGCCAGGTAAGTAACTCGGACTTGAGCAGACTCAAACGTGCGTGCACGTGACTCCCATCTAACGATATCGCAGATACTGGATCATATGCTCACCACCCCGCGCTGGTCTCATCTTACAGAAGTTTGGGTGGGATCCGATCGTGAAGAACTGACCATGATCTGGCACAACTTGGACGGTGCGAATCTTCAGGGAACCTGTATACAAGGCTAGCTAATCACCCCTTAATAGCGTATCAGGACACTATCCCCGGCCTGACAGAACTCAAACGTCACGTCTATATCCTCGCTCTATCTAACGGAAACTTTAAATTACTTCTCGATCTGGTAATTGAGTAACGCAGTACGCATCAGAAATTTTACTTAACTAGCACCACAGGCAAAGAACCAAGGTGTTCCCTGGGATGGTATCTTCTCATCCGAAATGTTCGGATCGTACAAGCCGTGCGCCTCAATCACTTCTACATCTGTCTCTCATCCTAATGTCCAAGCAGAAACAAGGAGGTCTATGAATCTGCAGCATACCACCTTTCTTTGCCTCCTCACAAGATAGCGATGGTCGCTGCGCACAAGTTCGACCTCCTCGCCGCCGCCAGCGTCGGTTTCAAGACGATATATGTCCCAAGACCTGCTGAAGATCCGCGCGAGGTAAGGGAGAGTATGCGTAGCAAGCAGGACGGCGGTGAGGTGGATCTTGTTGTTAAAGATTTTCAAGAGCTGGCGAGGCTTATACGTGAATCTCGAGAAAGTTGATGAAGCTCACAATTCGTACAGACTTTGTATGTCCTTGGCATATTTCAGAATTACTACTTGCCCATTCCCATTACAGCGTTGCAGAGCGAGGCAAATACAGAGGGGTATCGTCCTTAGATATCTCTGTTTGTCATGGGACAATTACGATATCTCTGATGTCCTGACGTGCGCTGACATGTGATGCATGCGATGTCTTTGCACAGATGTTCCTCCAGAGAGAGCCACTTTCACTGAATTATCCCGACTTCGACAGATCGGGGGACTTTCACGAGCCTGCCAAGCGTATTTCCAGCAGCAGAGGATATGCATTCTCGTTATCTTCCCTGCGCATGAGGCTCCTCGGGACTAGGTTGATCTGACGTACTTCGCTAAAATGTACATGTGATGCTTATCTCCCGTGATCTGCGTTAATGCTCTTTTTGTGTTGTGTCAATTCCTCTTCGATTGTGCGCACGCTGCGTATCTAGATGGCGTCCTACCCACATTTCCTCCTACGGAATCACGTTCGTTGTTTCATAATCGTGCAGCATGGCTTTGCTTTGATCTTCGAGCGTTGCTCGTGTTGAATTTACGGGCTGCTATGCACTAGGTTCGAACGTATCCAAGTCATACCCGCTTCGCACCCCTGATTGCAACATAGTGATTCCAAAAGAGCAAGGCGAGTTATTATAGTACATGACTGCGATGTAAGAAAACTACAAATGTGGAAAAAACTTGGTCCAAGCTATTGTATCATATACGCCAGACGGCAGTGATTGCTAGACTCGTAACCATTCTGCCTACGTGCGTTTTTGAGATGTGTGTGAATTTTGCCACTCGAGCATCCGTGGTAGTATACGCCAGGCTGGTCACGAGCCTAAGTGATTGCAGGCTTAGGATCATAAGTACAATTAGTGTAACACGTGCAACAATATACATAAAAGAGCTGATGATTGAAGCAACAATTAAGGAAATTATGATAATCTTAGTTAGAGTGGAAGATGAGTTATCAATGCCAGACCACAAGCCGGAAAGAAGAAGGATAGGTACCGGTCATCAGGCCTCAGGAAAAATACCCTTGACTACACGGAGCTATATAGTCAGTTTAGTACCTGTAGCCCAATGTGTCAAGTACCTACTACACACAACTACATAATCACACGGTTAGCTATATAGCGCTACAGCAACTCCTGTAGTAACCAGCTACAGGTGCTACAGACTACTACAGACTACTACAGGCGCTACATAGTACAACAGGAGTAGCTTATTCGAGCTACAGTAACCAGCTACAGGCGCTACATAGTACAACAGGAGTAGCTTTATTCGAGCTACAGCCAGCTACACACTGCTACTATAGCTCTCACCAATCACGCCAGAACCACAAAACAACGAAATCGAATGTATTCAAGGCGCACAAGCATGCATACACTCGTGAAAATCCAAGGGCCTCCTAAAGTGTCAATCATCACCAACTTCTACACCTTCACCATCCTCCTCTCGCGCTACCCGAGTCTCGAATTCATACTCTCGAATTGCATCGACGAATACATCATCTGGGTGTACAAATCAAAGTCAATACACGTTCATTACAAGTAAACTGAGATCAGGAAAACTCTGAGTACTAACCCCGTCTTGCATCGTGACGCGTAAACCAGCTGGTTTATGTAAACCTGTTGTTGAGGAATGAGAAGAAGCACAAAAACTTGCTGCCTACACACGTTCAGCCTAGGCCTGATGGTGAAGTGCAACGATGTCCAAGCTGCTCACACGCGCATTCATTCGACTGCTGCAGATCGAATTGTGCGCGGCACCAGGCGCTCCATCGGGTCTGCAGCGTCCGACTCTGCACTCTTGTATCTAGGGTTCAGCAAGTGCAATTATGAAGGGACGCCGCAGGGGATGACAGTGAATGCTAGTATCGTTGAAAATTAACAATGTATGCCGGGTCCTCTACTTACTGGTGTGAGTGTATGCTTCTTCGTTTTAGTTATGGGTAGACAAGCCAAAGTCAATATTCGTCCCAAGCAAACCTAGATTACCCAGTATATTGAATTAAGCAGACGCTTATCCAGTATTGCAACGTGAGCGCTTGAGCGTGCAGCTGCTGTATGTGAAACTTGATATAGATACTCAGTCCTCAAAGACCCGGGTGGGCCAGTAGAAGCCACAGACATGAGATGCAATATTTATTTGATCGATAGATGATGATGATAGTATACTGAATCCAATTGGTGCCGAGCATAAGGTTTCTTCATATTCCCACGACGAAGCTCAGTTTGAGCGCTACGGTCAGCACTACAGCTGACAGCCTCATGTACACTTTCCACTTCGTCTACAGACGGTTTACTTAGTCCTCGAGAGTCAAGATGCACCTCATTTTGTTCACAGCTCGCTCTCGATCAAGTCATCTGCACCCCGAGTCGTTCTGGTCTGTCGTCCAAATCGAATCTTGATGATTTTGCACGCGCATGGCTGTGGGCCGTCGCAATGAACCGTTAATGGACATACTCAAAGTCACCATAGACGCCGTATCTGAAGAGATCTCAAGCAGCCACTGCATCCGACGAGGAACCTGTCAATTCCTCGAGCAAGTCGCAAACGAATGTTAGATTGACTTCTGATTGTCCCACTGTGCGGATGCATAACTCGCAAGCCCAATCGTTGACCCCGTTGCTATGCGGATGATGTTGAGCTAAGGAACGGGTGATGACCGAGTATATTGAAGGTGGCACATTCAAGGTCTTGCAGGTACAGGCAAGTTGCATTACTATCTCGGCTGCTGCTGAACCAGAGGTCGACTAGCACGCGCCATGTATTACTTTGGCAAGAGGTACATTTCCACATATTATATCTGCAATATTGCTGATTAGTTGTTTTCCCTAGCATGATCGCTCTCCACCATCTGTTATATCTATCAAGAGTTCACGTATGCAGTGGTAGCCACGCCCTCGCACCAAACCTTTCTGTCCTGCTGCGCGGCATGTTGTACATTCAGGAACATCCAAACTCGTCGAATTTTTGCCGACCCTCACTCGTGAGCACATCGTAATTGAGGGAGTCGAGGCATGCGATTGGATGATGATGATGGCGCTTGTGAACATTGGAGTCATGCTCGAGTATAGGCGAGTGGCATGCTGCGCAAGTGTGGTGGTGTAGATCCTCGCATAGGCGGTGCCATGGTAGTGCGCATAAGAGTCACGCGTGCCCAGAACGCCTGTACGTGTATGGCGATGCCTTGCGATATCCTGTCTGACGTGAATAGCCTCCAGTGTTACCAGTAGAAACTCGTGTGGTCTTCGCAATCCGATCTGGAAGGCCTTGCCCTTCGTCCGTTCAACTTTGAATTCCAACTTCACGACCGCGGTCATCTTGGCCTAATCACGAGGTACGCTGATTGGATTTGTGGAATGTTCGATACCTTGATACGATCTTCGCCACCGTATCCTCGTGCTACCTTGAGCGAGCATCGATTGAATATTCTCTAACAGTGAGCGGTGGTCGATGCTGACATGTGCGCCATTCCCCGAGTATTGATACCGCCGTGGGATGGTGTCGGGCTGTCGGAAAGTCTAGGAACACAGATATTGGATGTACAGAGCGGAGATGTTGAGGCGGACGAAGGTGGGACATCATTAAAGATTTTTCTTCTCTTATGTAGAGACCTCACATCGGAAGGCACGCAAGATATCGATCTAGCTTCGGGAAGAATATTGTAGGAGGCACCGCTCAAGGAACGGAAGTGATATGAACCCACCATTCATCTGGGAGCAGCACATCAGCTGATGAACTTGTGCCTATGCAAGAACTAACCTCGATGGTGTGTTTTGAACACCGTGCCCTCCGTTCTCCCACATAAGGCATATACTCCGGCTGGTAAGCACTTATTGATTTTCCAATGTTTCTCACAAAGCTCACATTCATTTTTGCAGCCGCAGCTGCTTTGGTATCTCTCTCACTGCTCTAGATCCCGCCGAAGGCGATTGGGCGGTGATTTCAGATTCGATGCAGATGGCTGTTGCACCTATTCATGTGCTCGTGACGCGGCTTGAGAAGGTGAGGATCTGCCCATCGATCATCGTTATCCAGGCGCGTTTTCTACACACGGTACACTTCCACGCCAGAAAAACGATAGGCTTGTTCGTGCGTAGCTAGTTATCAAGTTACAGTTGCATGTTCATACATAGGATATGGATGGCACTTGAACTTGATGCCTAACTTAGCGCTAGCTCGATGGGCAGCCTCCTTCAAGTTATCATCCACTCGTGTGCAATGATGACGTTATGTGAATAGACACTGGTACCAACTGATATCGTCTCAGGAACTCCCTCCCCAACCCTGTCGTCCCTTGAAGTACTCCAGCGATCATGACGAGCACCGAACACCTCGTCCTCCGCAAAATAGACGCTTGCGTGTTCGACGTATTCGATACGGTCCTCAACTGGCACAGCAGTTACCCACCAAGTGGCCCGCCTTAGCAGGGGGCTGTTTCTAGAAGGTAACAGATCTTCATCCTCATAAATCTCTATACCGATCTCGTCTACCAGGCACACAGGATGCGATCGATTTCGCAGACAACTGGAGAGCCGGATATTATGCCCATGTGCAAGTCCATCGCTCTTAGATCTCGAGTTCGGGACCGTGACCTGCACGTTGCCACATCAACAGAGTAGCCCAGGGCGGGGAGGGCACTTTCAACGCAGACATCATGCATTGACAGGTAACTGGTATTCAAGCAGACTCACACTTTCGTGCACGTGACCTGTATTTGCAGATATTGGATGATATGCTCACTACCCTGCGCTGGTCTTGTTTTGCAGAAGTCTGGGGGGGATTAGATCGTGAAGAGCTGACCATGATCTGGCACAACTTGGACGGTGCGGATTTTCAGTGAACCCGCATACAAGGCTGGCTAATCACTCCTTAATAGCGTATCAGGACACTATCCTCGGCCTGACAGAACTCAAACGCCACGTCTATATTCTCGCTCTGGTAATTGAGTAACGCAGTACGCATCAGACATTTTTCTAACCAATGACACAGGCAAAGAACCAAATTTTTCCCTGGGATGTCATCTGAAATGTTGGGATCGTACGAGTCGTACGTCTTCATTACTCTTCTATCCATCTGATCCTAATATCCAAGCAGAAACAAGCAGGTCTATGAATCCGCAGCATCCCACCTTTCTTTGCCTCCTCACAAGATAGCGATGGTTGCTGCGCACAAGTTCGACCTCCTCGCCGCCGCCAGCGTCAGTTTCAAGACGATATATGTCCCAAGACCTGCTGAAGATCCACGCGAGGTAAGGGAGAGTATGCGTAGCAAGCAGGACGGTGGTGAAGTGGATGTTGTCGTTAAATATTTTCAAGAGCTGGCGAGGCTTATACGTGAATCTCGACAAAGTTGATGAAGCTCGCAATTCGTACAGACTTTGTATGTCCTTGGCATATTTCAGAATTACTGCTTGCTCATTCCAATTACAGCGTTGCAGAGAGAAGCAAGTGCAGAGGGGTATTGTCTTCAGATATCTCTGTCTTCCATAGACAAAATGCAGACCATTACAATATATCTAATGTCCTGACGTGCGCTGGCATATGATGCATATGACGTCCTGGCACAGAAATTTCTCCTGAGAGAGCTACTTGCACTGAACTATCCCGACCTCGACAGATCGGAGGACTTTCACGAGCCTGCCAAGCGTGTTTCAAGCAGCAGAGGGCATGCATTCTCGTTATCTTCCCTGCGCATGAGGCTCCTCGGGACTAGGCTGATCTGACGTACTTCGCCAAAATATTTATATGATGCTTATGTCCCGTGGTCTGCGATAGTATTCTTTTGTGTTGTATCAACTCTTCGATCGTGCGCACGCTGCGTATCTAGATGGCGTCCTACCCACATTCCATCCCACGGAATCGTGTTCGTTGTTTCATAATCGTGCAGTATGGCATTGCTTTGATGTTTGAGCGTTGCTCGTGTTGAATTTATGGGCTGCTATACACTAGGTTCGAACGTATCTGAGTCGTACCCGCCTCGCACCCTCGATTGCAACATAGTGGTTCCAGAAGAGCAAGGCGAGTTATCATAGTACATGACTGCGATGTAAGAAAACTACAAATGTGGAAAGAACTTGGTCCAAGCTACTGTATTATATACGCCAGACGGCAGCGATTGCAGGCTTAGAATCATAAGTACAATTAGTGTAACACGTGCAGTAATGTATATCAAAATGCTGATGATTGAAGCAACAAACAAAGAATTTCCGATAATCTCAATCAGAACGGATGATTTATCAATGCCAGACAAAATAATGCCGGAAAAAAGAAGGATAGGTACCGGTGAACACATGATCATAAGGGATGCTGCACGCCATAACAGCTGCTCCGTCTGTCTGTGAAACAAAAAATTCCAACCCAGACAATGTATCCCTCCAAACACCATCCCACAGAAACATCCAATGAGAAGTATGGTATGACCATGATACTCACCATATCCACCTAGAGACGGAACCCGACGTGAACGGGCAGCACGGGGGGAAATGGTGACTCTAATGCCCATAAGACTCGTAATGGGATAGACAAGATAGACGAAATAAGGACAACAGTCACAATAAACAGGCACATCTTGTATATCGTCGTTGCTAGAATGTAGGTGAATCAGAACAGCCTCGAGCAAGAATATTATCAACATACTCGTAGGCTAAGTTGCTCGGTGGAGATGCAGTTGTTTTCAAATGAACAGTATAAGGACATCCTACATCCTTAGGCTTCTTCCACCAAAGGCAATAGGTAATGCAGGTCAATGCCGATACAGCCAGAGTGTCAACTTCAAGCAGTGTGATTGGAAGGTTCTGGGTGTAACGGGCGACGAGCTGGAGGACGAACCACACGAGCTGGAGAATGGCAATGCCTTTGGAGAGTCCATCACCTTTGCTTCGATCTTCTATCTCTGTCTCCGTGATGACAGGCATGTCCATGGATCCCTTACGAACAAAGTTGAGAAGTTCATTGGGATGAAGAGTGGCTCGTGGCTTGTCATTGACATAGAGCATGAATCCACCCATCCATGCGAAGAACCCATGCGTCACTGGTCCATTCTGTCAAGGTATCAGTTGAATGTTAGTTGCCGCTGACGAGAGGGTCTGAGCATGTAACCGACCTCGAAAATTGCGAACCGCAGCTTTGGGAGCACTTCCTTCATCCGATTCTGAAATTTCATGAAGCAATGTAGCTGTACTCTCTGACTATATCTCCATGGTCGCCATTGGGCCTGGGCATGTTGCGAACCAAATTCATCATTAAATTTCTTTGCAGCTTGCACGAGCACTGAAAAACTGCCGCGCGGCCCAGGTGATCATGAGTTCTGGGAGCGATCAGCGCCATGACCATGATTAATAGACGACGAGAGGTCATGGCAAGTTTTCCCCTCTTTCATGCCCGGAATGTTCGGGTGGATGGCAGTCCATGCGCACTGCGAAGAGTGTTGCGGCGCAGCTCCATAGGATGTCCCACAAAGTTCTGGTGTCACTGCAGGATGGACAGTCACTGACGTCGGGGGTAGGGATAGAAGTGCCATTGAGGCTCGGTTGTGAAGCGTAAACAAACGGTATGTATAACAAGGATAGCCAAGGGTATGAGGGCTCATGGTGATGTCTAGAGCATACATCTGTTCATTTTCCGCACCTCTCTTGTATGGATCGTGGTCGCATGCATGAGACGTAGTTTAGGGCCCATGCCTCGTAAGCCTAGCATGGATTATCACTGGTGCTGGGAATCATGATGGCACTGTGCACGTTCATGATAGGCTGCGCAACGCTCAATGCATGCTGGTCGGGGACCTTCCGAAGGACGATGTGTTAATTCATGACAAAGTGATAAGAAAAATCTCCGTTAGTACATATTCAAGATCGCAAGCAAACTGAGATAGGGAAAAACGCTTGACGTGGCGGGTAAAACAGGTGGTGTATGTGACCAGTTGTGGAGAGAGGGAAGGAGTACAAAGGTTGGCTACAGCACCGCTACGCCTGCGGATTTGGACCGGAAGTAAGACCACAAAAACGTGTTTAAATTGCTCATACACGCATTCATTTCGACTGAGAAGCCACATGACCAGACGCGTGAGACTCAAGAAAACTCTCTTAGTAGACCCATTTATTCATTTGGACGACTGGAGGAGCTCCACGGCAGGAGTTGAGATGATAATCATGTACTGGTGGCAGGTGCCGAGCGTAAGGTTCCTTCACATTAATATTCCTACGACGAAGGCTCAGTCTAAGCGCTTCAGCGCCGTATCTGAAGCAGCCGCTGCATTTTCCCACGAGGAACTTGTCAATGCCCCGAGCAAGTCGCAAACGAATGTCAGATCGACTCTTCTGATCGTCCCACCGTGCGGATGTATCACTCGAGAGCTCAGGCATTGGCACCGTTGCTGCGCGGATGATCAATGTTACGTCAGGGAACGAGTGATGACGAAGCATATTGAAGGTAGCATGCTCAAGGTCTTGCGGGTACAGGCTTGAAGTTGCATTTCTATCTTTGTTGCTGAGGTCGATACAGCACGCACCGTGCATTACTTTGGCAACAGGTACCATTTCACAGGTTCTATCTGCAATATCGTTGATTAGTTATTTTCCATAGCATGATCGCTCTTCACCATTTGTTATATCAATGAAGAGTTCACATACGCAGTGGTAGCCTCGCCCGCACACTAAACTTCCCGCATTGCATGTTGCACATCAAGAAACATCCAAACTCGCCGACTTCGTTCCGACCCTCACTCACGATCCCATCGTAATTGAGGGAGTCGAAGCATGCGATTGGACGATGATGGCGCTTGTGAACATTGGAGTCATTCTTGACCATGGGCATTCGAGTGGCGTAGGTACTCGCTAGGCAGTGCCACAGCACTGCGCATCAGAGCAGTGCTGCGCCAGAATATGACGGTGAAGGGAAACACATGTACGTGGATAGCAATGCCTTGCGATCTTCTGTCGGACCTAAATCTACCTGAAGAACCTCCAGTGCTACCGATGGAAATGCATGTGGTCTTCGCATTCCGATCTGGAAGACCTTGCCCTTCGCCCATTCGACTTTGAATCCCCACTTCATGGTCATGGCCGTCTTCTTAGTCCAATCACGAGGCACGCTGAGTCGATTTATCAATGCTGATATGATCTTCCCTAGTTTTTCGCCACCGTATCCTCGTGCTACCTTGAGCGAGCATGAATGCAACATTCTAGCCCCTAATAGCATGTGGTGGCCGATGCTGACATGTGCGCCATTCTCCGAGTATCGATACCTCCGTAGGATGGGTCGGAAAGTTTAGGAACACATATTGGAAGTGCAGAGTGGAGATGTTGAGGCGGACCAAGGCGGGGCCATCACTCTCGTGGAGAGACCTCGCAGAAGAAGGCGCGCAAGATATCGATCTAGTTTCTGGATGAGTATTGTAGGAGGCGCCACCCGAGAAACGGAAATGATACAAGCCCACCATTCATCTGGGTGCAGCACAGCAGCTGATGAGTTTGTGTCTATGCAGGAACTTACCTCGATAGTGTGTTTTGAACGCCGGGCCCTCTGTTCCTCCACATAAGGCATATACGGCGGCTGGTAATCACTTATTGATTTACTAATGTTCCTCACAAAGCTCACTTTTATTTTTGCAGCTGCAGCTGCTTTGGTATCTCTCTCACTGCTCTAGATCCCGCCGAAGGCGATTGGGCGGTGATTCCAGATTCGATGCAGATGGTTGTTACACCTATTCGTGTGCTCCTAAGTGAGGATCTGCCTAATTGACTATCGTTGTCCAGGCGCGTTTTATATATACGCTACACTTCCGCGCCAGAACAACGATGGGCTTGACCATGCATAGCTAGCCGTCAAATGAAAGTTGCATGTTCATACATGAATATGGATGCCGCTTAAACTTGATGCCTAAGCGCTAGCTTGATAGGCAGCTTCCTTCAAGTTACCATCCTGCATCAACTCGTATGCAATGATGACGCCGTGCGACCGGATACTGGCACCAACTGATGCCGTCCCAGGAACTCCCACCCCGGCCTTGTCGTCCCTTGAAGCACACCAGTGATCATGATGAGTACCGAACACTTCGACCCATAGAAGCTTGCTTGTTCGACGTATTCGTTACCGTCCTCAACTGGTGCAGCAGTCACTCGTCAAGTCGCCCGCCTTAGCAAGGGGCTGATTCTCGAAGGTAACAGATCTCCATCCTCGTACAATTCTCTCGCCCTGATCGCATACATTAGGCTCACAGAATGCGGTAGATTTCTCAGAAGACTAGAGAGCCGGATATTATGCTCACGTGCAAGTCCGAGTAATACAGTACGCATCAGAAATTTTACTTATCTAGCACCACAGGTAAAGAACCAAGGTGTTCCCTGAGATGGTATCTTCTCATCCGAAACGTTCGGATCGTACAAACCGTGCGCCTCAATCACTTTTACATCTGTCTCTCATCCTAATGTCCAAGCAGAAACAAGGAGGTCTATGAATCCGCAGCATACCACCTTTATTTGCCTCCTCACAAGATAGCGATGGTGGCTGCGCACAAGTTCGACCTCCTCGCCGCCGCCAGCGTCGGTTTCAAGACGATACATGTCCCAAGACCTGCTGAAGATCCACGCGAGGTAAGGGAGAGTATGCGTAGCAAGCAGGACGGCGGTGAAGTGGATCTTGTCGTTAAAGATTTTCAAGAGCTGGCGAGGCTTATACGCAATTCGTACAGACTTTGTATGTCCTTGGCATATTTCAGAATTACTACTTACCCATTCCCATTACAGCGTTGCAGAGCAAGGCAAGTACAGAGGGGTATTATCTTCAGATATCTCTGTCTTTCATGGACAAAATGCGGACCGCTATAATATCTCTAATGTCCTGACGTGCGCTGGCGTATGATGCACGTGATCTCCTGGCAGACATTTCTCCTGGGAGGGCCACTTTCACATAATTATAACTCGACAGATCAGAGGACTTACACGCAATCGAAGAGCTTGTCAAGCGCATTTTCAGCAGCAGAGGATATGCATTTTTAATATCTTGATACACATGAGGCTCCTCGGGACCGGGCTGATCTGACGTACTTCGCCAAAATGTACGTATGATGCTTACATCCCCGCGTATCCGCGTTCATGGCCTATACCAAACCTATACTGCTCTTTTGTGTGTATCACTCCTCGATTTTGCGCGTGCAACATATCTAAATGATGTCGTAGTCACATTCCACCCCATGGAATCGTGTTTGTTGTTACTTTATAATTATGTAGCATGGCTTTGCTTTGATCTTTGAGCATTGCTCGTGTTGAAATTACGGGCTGTTATACACTAGGTTCGAACGTATCCGAGTCGTACCCGCCTCGCACCCCCGATTGCAACATAGTGGTTCCAAAAGAACAAGGCAAGTTATCATAGTACATGACTGCGATGTAAGAAAACTACACATGTGGAAAAAAATTGGTCCAAGCTACTGTATCGTATATGCCAGACGGCAGCGATTGCAGGCTTAGGATCATAAGTACAATTATTGTAACACGTGCAGCGATATATATCAAAGCGCTGATGACTGAAGCAATACCCAAGGAAATTTTGATAATGAAAATCAGAGCGGAAGATGAGTCATCAATGCCAGACATAAAAAAGCCGGAACAAAGAAGGATAGGTACCGGTGAACATATGATCATAAGGGATGCTGTACGCCATAACAGCTGCTCCGTCTGTCTGTGAAACAAAAAATTCCAACCCAGACAATGTATCCCTCCAAATACGATCCCACAGAAACATCCAATGAGAAGTATGATAACATCATGATAGCCACCATATCCACCTAGAGACGGAACCCGATGTGAACGGGCAGCACGGGGGGAAATGGTGACTTCAAAGCCCATAAGACTCGTAATGGGATAGGTAAGATAGGTGAAATAAGGAAAACAGTCACACCCCAATGCATGTGTTATATTGCTCTCGCTAGATTACAGTTTGATCAGAACAATCTTGAACAAGAATATTATCAACATACTCGTAGGCTAAGTTGCTCGGCGGAGATGCAGTTGTTTTCCAATGAACAGTATAGGGACATCCTACATTCTTAGGCTTCTTCCACCACAGGCAATAGGTAATGCAGGTCAATGCCGATACAGCCAGAGTGTCAATTTCAAGCAGTGTGATTGGAAGGTTCTGGGCGTAACGGGCGATGAGCTGGAGGACAAACCACACGAGCTGGAGAATGGCGATGCCTTTGGAGAGTCCATCACCTTTGCTTCGATCTTCTATCTCTGCCTCCGTGATGATAGGCATGTCCATGGATCCCTTACGAACAAAGTCTAGAAGTTCATCAGGATCAAGAGTGGCTCGCGGCTTGTCATCGACATTGAGCATGAATCCACCCATCCACGCGAAGAACCCATGCGCCATGGTCCATTCTGTCGAGGTATCAGTTAAATGTTAGTTGCCGCTGACGAGAGGGTCAGAGGATGTAACCGACCTCGAAAATTGCGAACCGCAGCTTTGGGAGTGCTCCTTTCATCCAATTCTGAAATTTCACGAAGCAATGTAGCCGTACTCTCTGCTATATCTCCATGGTCGCCATGGGCCTGGGCATGTTGCGAACCAAATTCGTCATTGAACTCCTTTGCAGCTGCACGAGCACTGAAAAACTGCCGTGCGGCCCAGGTGATCATGAGTTCTGGGGCGATCAGCGCCATGACCATGATCAATAGACGACGAGAGGTAATGGTAAGTTTTCCCTCTTTCATGCCCGGAATGTTCGGGTGGATGGCAGTCCATGCGCACGCGAAGAGTGTCGCGGCGCAGCTCCATAGGATGTCCCACAAAGTTCTAGTGTCACTGCGGGATGGAGAGTCACTGATATCGAGTGAAGGGACACAAGTGCCATTGAGGCTCGGTTGTGAAGCGCACACAAAAGTGACGCATAACAAGATAGCCAAAGGTAGGAGGGTCATGGTGATGTTGAGGTTGAGAGTATATGTCTGTTCATCCCGCAAGGGCCGCACCTCTCTGTGGGTGTGTGAAACGCCAGGTTTAAGCGCCAGAATACGCTTATGATAAGGCTGCGCAACGTTTAACACATGCTGGCAAGACATGTGAACTATATGTTGATACTCGGTGATGTGACACTTACCTCATGTCCCAAAAGCTGAAAAAGAAACCACGATCGTCCGCTTCTGTAATGATGTGTTAGTTATGACGAGTTATAAAAATCTAAGTCAATACATATTCATCGCGAGCAAACTGAGTTCGGGAAAATTGAATCGAGTAGATACTCACCCCGCCTTGCATCGTGATGTGTAAACCAGCTGATTTATGTCTTGTTGAGAGATGGGAAGGATAGTGCCCGGCGCTAGGCGCTCCACTGGATCCGACTCGGAGTTCTTGCACCAGGGTTCAGCAAGTGTAATTATGAAGGGGACGCGCCGCAGGGGATGGTGAATATCATTGAACATTAACAACCGAGCCCCCTACTTACTGGTGTGGATGTAGTCTTCTTCGTTAGTTATGAATGGTCGACGTAGACAAGCCCAAGTCAATATTCACCACAAGCAAACCTGGGTTACATAGATCGAATTGACTCGTTCAGGATGAGCGTTTGAGCGTGCAGCTGGTGTATGTAACTTGAGACTCAGTACTCAGAGATGGGTGGGTCACCGAAGCCACACAGTGGCCAGACGTGACACTCTAGATGCATTCATTTTGACTGGTGGAGGAGTTATGAGGGGTTCCGCTGGACAAATGAGACAAATAAATTCAATAAAGAATCCAATTTTCGAGCCAGAAAATCTACTTACTGCTTCATGCCAACTTCAAAGTTCACACGCCAATTGATTATTGAATCGTTGTCAAACGTCCAACTTTCCAAGTTTTTGCCGCAATGCACATCGACCAATCTATAAATACCCAAGCAGCCGCAGTCAAGGCCCATCAAGTGATCCATAGTGTCCACTGTCCGTGCGCATGCCCTCATTACTATCCCAGTCGCTGAGCGCTGAGCCACGAGGTTGACAAAGATCATGTTGTTACTTGGGCAGAAGGTTGGATTTCCCTTGTATGTGGAATCAGCATCGCTGATCAGTTGCTCTGTCTCTCAAGAGTTCATGGACGGTTGTAGCCAATCGTTGGAGTGGCGTACTGCGCAACAGAGGTGGTGTATATCCTTGCGTAGGCGGTGCTACGGTAGTGCGCACGAGAGCCGCCCGGCGCCGGTGATGATGGCAGAGAAAAATACATGGACGTGGGTGGCAATGCCTCGCGACCCCATGTCCGAAGCAATATAGCCTATTGAACCTCCCGTGCCATTGAAACTCGCTGTCGAAGGCCTTGCCCTTGCGTGTAGTTCGGCTTCGAATTCCAACTTCATGGTCACGGTCGTCCTCTTTGCCCCATCACAAGGTAGGCTACGTCAGGTTATGTAATGTTCGATACCTTGACACGACCTCGCCTAGTTCTTCGCCACCGTATCCTCATGCTACTTTGAGCGAGCATGGATTAAGTATTCTAGCTCCTGCCGGCGAGCAGTGGTCGATGCTGACATCTGCACCATTCCCGAGTATCGATACTACCGTGTAACGGCGTGGGTCGGTCAGAAAGTCTAGAAACACAGATATTGGAAGTGCAGAGTGGAAATGTCGATGCGGATAGTTCTCGACGCAGGCGAAGGCGAAGGCGAGGCGATAACTGATGGCATCATTAAAAAATAGACAAAGGTTGAGAGAGCTCGCAGTGGCAGGCGTGCAAGAGATCGATCTTGATGACGCTTCGGGGAGAGTATCTTGGGAAGCACCGTTTAAGACGGAAGTGATACAAGCCAACCCTTCGTCTGGGTGCAGCTGATGAGTTTGCGCTTATGCAGGAACTAACCTCGATGGTGTGTGTTGGATGCGAGGTTCCATACCTGCATCTAATACTCACAATCGAGGTCATGCCAGGGACATGCTACGTTCCTCATATGACATGGAACACCGGCTGGTAAGTACTTATTGATTAACCAAGATGTTCCTAGCAATGTTTACATTTGATTTCGCAGCTGCAGCTGTTTTCGTATCTCTCTCACTGCTCCAGATCCCGCGGAAGGCGATCGGGTGATGATTCCAGACTCGATGGAGATTCTCGCTCCTGTTCATGTACTCGTAACGTGGTTTCTGAAGGTGAAGATCTTCCTAATCGAGCGTCTGTGAGTCTGGTAACTGACTAGTAAGATATGACTGGTGACTATTGCTGAGATCGCGGTCATCCTGATATGATACATTTCACCGCATTGCATAATTCTGTGTCGGTCGTTTTGTAATGCACTGGGCTCGGGCATACCCCGCAACGTTCCAGTCTCCAGAACAAGTCGCACTGATGAGATCATGTCCGACTCGACAGATCGGGAGGGTTTTTATCTGGATGCGACCCATCCAACTTCTTACTACTTCTGCTTCCGAGCACATTCATGCTGAATCGACGTGTCGCTAGATGTGCTCCATGACTGCCGTACTTCACCCTTTGTGAAGGGTCATTATATCGATGTCGTCGAAGGCCTTCTTGCCAAGTACATATTTACCTGTGGTGGTGGATATAACTTCTCCATATTATCCCTGTCTGTGAGTCCCCTCAGGACCCTTCCGAAGTGCTGTAATTGGGGAGCGCTGACGAACGTCGCCAAGATGATCGTATGATACTCACATCCCCTGAGCCTGCATTCGTACTGTTGTTTTTGCGTTCTTCACTAGTAGATGTTGTAATAACATTTCTTTCACGCGAAGATCATCGGACATTGCTCTTAAAGCGAAATGGCGTGCTGGTGGATGAACTGGACCTCCAGTTTCGACGTCGTGATCAGAAAAGCCAGGCAAGTTATCATATTTCATGAATGTAACATCAGGAAACTAGAAATGCGGAACAAACTTGTTCCAAGCTACAGTATCGTATACGCCAGGAGGCAATGATTGTAAGCTCTGCATCATAAGTACAATTAGTGTAATGCGTGCAGCGACGTATATGAGAGAGCTGATGCTTATAGTAAAGACCATGAAATATGCGTTATAATCATCTACAAAGGTCAACCAACTGCAATAGCAAAACAGGATATAAATACATAGTGGTATACACAGTACCGCAAGGGAAGCCCCATGCCATAATGTCTGCTCCGTGTGTTTCTGAAACGAAAAATTCCAGCCTAGGCAGTGTATTCCTCCAAAAACAATCCCGCTGAAACATCCGATGAGAAGTGTGATTTCGCCATGATACTTACCATAACCACCTAGAGATGGAGTCCGACGCGAGTGGACAGCTCCGGAGGAAGGTAGTGATCCAAATCCCATGACACTAATAACGGGATAGACGAGATAGAAGAACCAGCCTCCACCACTGGAGAATGATAAATCTGATTTGCTAGAATAAAAGGGAAATGAAATACTTTCAAACATTGAAGAATGGCGACATACTCGTAGGCTAAGTTGCTTGGCGGAGATGCGGTTGCTTTCCAATGAACAGCATAAGGGACGTCCTACATCCTTGGGCTTCTTCCACCACAAGCCATAGGGAACGCACTGTGAGAGCAGCTACGGCCAGGGTGTCGATTTCAAGCAGTGTCATCGGAAGGTTCTGGGCGTAACGGGCCTATCAGCTGGATGACGAACCATGCCAGCTGAAGAATGGTCACGCCTTTGGATAGTCCATCACCCTTACTTCGATCTTCTATCTCTTCCTCCGTGATGACAGGCATGTCCACGGATCCCTCATGAACAAATTGCAGGAGTTCATCAGGTGTAAGAGTGGCTCGCGGGATGCCATTGACGTAGAGCATGAATCCACCCATCCACGCGAAAAACCCGTGCGTCATTGTCCATCCTGCAAAACCATTGGTGGAATGTGAGGTACCGCTTAGCAAAGAGTCTGAGCATGTAACCGACCTCTAACGTCCTTTGCGGCTTTGCGAGCACTAAAATACTGCCGCGTGGCCCAGGTGGCCATGAGTTCTGGGGCGATTAGCGCCACGACCATGATAGATAGACGACGACAGGTAATCGTAAATTTACTCTCGTTTATACCCGGAATGTTCGGATGGACTGCAGTCCACGTACAGGCGAATAAGGTCACAGTGCAGCCCCAGATGATGTCCCACAAGGTTCTTGTGTCGATACTGGATGGAGAGTCGCGGACATCGAGTGTAGAGATACTGGTATCATTGAGGCTCGGTGCTGAGGCAAAAACAAACGGGATGTATACTAACAGGACACCGTAAGATAGGAACCGGAGGATCATGTTGAAGTTGTCTAAGAGCGTACATTTGTTCATTTCGCTCCTCTCTTTATGAGCATGGCTGTATCATGACTTGTCGTGACGCACCAGCGTTAAGAAGCCTCAATAGTAAATACTTGTACCATGAATCACGGTGAACGTAACCGGCCAAGGGAACCCTAGATCTATGGCGCTGAACACTGCAATCAATGCTACTGCGGAAGTATGATGCGAGGAAATGACTCAGTGTGCACTATGTGCAATTATCGCTGCAACTCACTTGCAATAATTCTTGCACCTAAATGCAAGTGTGCTTGGTTTGGGTGGGGTATGGGAATTTGTACCGTAGTGGACTTGAACTTGGAGGCTCGAAAACATCGAAATTTGGTTCAATTAACGTGCCATCCCCTTGATTGTGACCTGGAGAAATTGACATGGGGGCGGTTCTCTGGCTTTGACCAACTATACGTGTCAGCCAACCTGCCATCGGTAACATTTTCTTTGTCCGAGTTAAGTACTGGCTCTGGCGCTGAGCTTCAACACCCGTCTTCTTGCGGGCTCCAGAAAGACAGGTTTGGTAGCTTTTTCCAGTGGGCGTGACGCCCAAACCGTGAACATGTTTCCAAGGGACCCAGGACCAACTTGCTGTAGACACAAGTCCAGGTAGAAGTTCGAACCAAGCCGTATTCGATAGAGACGTGATGTGGATGCACAGTCTCTCAATAGGCGCGCATTTCGAATTTCCGACTTCCCATCCCAACATTTCCAACGAACGCTCCGAGTCGGCGCTCAATTGCATTATTTCATTCACAGCTCACTCTCGATCATCTCCAAGACTGTTTTCTATGCATACTCGCTGAGCCTACTATATCCTTGTTCCGATCTCACCAGCTGGACGCTCAGGTTGATAAGCTTGCGCGCGTATCATATGGTGGCGGCGGCGCCGGCAATGAACCGTCACGAACATGACTGAAAGTCGCGGCGCTTTCCACAGACGCTAGCTGAAGATCCGAAGCGGACCTAGCATAGTCGCATCCCTGACGCCCGCATATCAAGCCTCTTTGTCCTCCTGCACGACACTGCATATTCAGAAACATCTGATTCGACAAATTTTCACCCACCCTTGCTTGACAATGCTCGCAACCGCAGCGAAATCCGGGGAGTCGAAGAACGCGAGTGGATTGTTATGCTCCACTGCCTGGCAGATGCTAGGTGACAATCATAGAATGCTCCTGATTACTACTCTTTGACACCTCTCCTCACAGGAAGCTTGCATAGTCAAACATTATAGGCTAGTGCGTGAACAGAACAGCTCCGTTTTGAGTTGCCTTGATTAGCAGACTCTTGCGCAGGATTTGACTCTGATGATGAATGCAGTGACACGCTACGATGATGTTTCGTTATATGACAATACAATATCAACTGGTATTTACTCTTGAGTCTTGATTAATCAAGACGTCCTTCCCACAGTGGTTTTCATATCTCTCTCCCTGCGCCAGATGGCGGTGATTTCAGCGCCAATCATTCTCTCCCCTGTTCATACACTCTCGATACAGTTTCTGAAGGTCAGTTCCATGCCTAGTCGAGCATTTGTGAGTTTGACGACAAGCTAAGGTACAATCTGCTAAGACCGCAGTCATTCTGACACTCAGTAATACTGACAGGTGACATCCCGTCGCATTGCATCCCTGATGAAACTAGAAAACCCTGAAAACGAGCAAACTCACTAGGGCATCACCTGTAGGGTGTTCAATGTCATTTTTGTCAAGCACTGACCCGAGCTCTGGCATACCCACTCACAGAATTTCCCCCACTCGCCAGATCGGGAGCGTTATTACGCGGGAACGACTCACCCAACTTCCGACCACCGCTGGTTCCGCACATGCTCACGCTCGAGCTCGTGTAGTATGTAAGTGAAATGGCGGCCTGCTATTAGGTTCGAACTTGCCCGAGCCGTGTTCGCACCTCCGATTCTGATAGAGAGCGACCAGTCAATCTATCATAGTGTGTTACGGCGATGTAAAAAAAACTACAAATGTGGAATAAATCTGATCCAAGCTACTGTATCGTACACGCCACTAGTAGGAGGCAATAATGCTAAGTCCCGTATGATAAGTACGACTAATACAACACGTGCAGGGATGTATATGAGGGAGTAGATAACTGCACCAGCTGCATAGTAATATATGATAATACTTCGTACAAGAAATGGGATTGTGATTTCCTGCCGCGTCGCATCAATAACCCGCTTCTTGCGCAGGCTATGTTTTAAGCCGAACACAAGAGCAAAGAACAACGGAGCAACCGCCCCCATCGCGGCGGAAGCTAAAAACCATAACAATTGGTCTGAGGTCAAGTCCGAGGCCGAGTCTGAGTCCGGGTTTGTCAGAAACTTACAGCCCAGTAAATGTATCGATCCGAACGCCGCCGCACTGCAAGCTCCAACGAGGACTTGGATAACATCATCACGATGCTCACCGTAGCCACCTAGAGTCGGGACCCGACGTGAATGGGCAGCACCGGGGGAAATGATTATGCCCATTCCCATGGAACTCAGCAGGGGATAGATGAAACGGAATATAAAAGGAGAACAGAATCCATTGGAGAATCTTGAATCGGCTTCGCTAGAATGCAGGCGGATCAGCACAAATTCAGGTAAGAATATCGTCAACATACTCGTAGGTCAAACCGCTTGGTGGTGCTGTTGGTTTCCAATGAACAATACAAGGACGTCGTACATCCTTGGGCTTTTTCCACCACACACAATAGGAAAAACAAATCAGTGCAGTCACAGCGAGGGTGTCGATTTCCAGCAATGTGATCGGAAGCTTCTGGACGAAACGGGCGATGAGCTGGAGAACGAACCACACCAGCTCAATGATGGCGATGGCTTTGGATAGACCATCATCCTTGCTTTTGTCTTCTATGTCCGCCTCCGTGATGATAGGCATGTCCACGTATCTTTCACGAACAAAGTGTAGGAGCTCGGTAGGCGTAAGAGGGGCTCGCGGTTTGTCATCAACGTAGAGCATGAATCCACCCATCCAGGCGAAGAATCCATGTGTCAATTTCCATTCTGTGAAGGCGATGGTTGCATATCAGTGCCTGACGGAAGAGTCCGAGCATTTGACTGACCTGCAAATTTTGCAGGTCTTGGAGCGCTTCGACTTTGATTATGCCTTCCATCTGATTCTTGAATGTCACTGAGCAACATAGCGGTGCTGTCTGGTATATAGTCGTCGTGGACCTGGGCACGTTGTGCACCAAAGGCACAATCGTTGAAGTCCTTTGCAGCTGCACGAGCACTGAAAAACTGCGCTGCGGCCCAGGTGATTATGAGTTCTGGGGCGATCAACACCATGACCATGACGAGGAGACGACGAGAGGCAATAGCAAATTTCCCGTCGCCCACACCCGGAATGTTCGGATGAACTGCAGTCCATGCACATGCAAATAGAGTTGCAGTACAGCTCCAGATAATGACCGGCAAAATTCTGGCGTGGGGGCAGGTTGCACAATTGCCGCTGGCAGCATCGAGTGTGTGGACACTGCTATCATTGAGACTTGGCAGTGAAGCGTAAACAAACGGAAGACATAACAGGACAGCGCAGGGCAGGAGGGTCATGGTGAAGTTGAGAGGAAACGTTTATTCATTCTGCTGTCTTTGAGGACATGGCCGCGCGTATAATGCATGGATGGCATTGCATGACACGCCAGGTTGAAGCACTAGCGCCCATACACCGGAGCCACCATAATCACCAATGGCACAGGGCATCTAGATGTATATGCGACGACAGTGACAAGGAAATATGAGATCTTGATTCTTGAAACATACATTACTGAACATGTGTCAGGCTAACAAACTTATGGAGATGAATGAATTGTCCCACCGTGGGCTTGATATAAGGTGAAGCGAGGTTGAAACGTACGATACACATGTGCTAATCCGGTTTAAAGGACGGTCGAGACTCTCTGTCAGGACACGCTTTAGTTCTCTGCCATTAGTTGCTGCCTAGCGTACTTGAGCTTTGAGGCAGGACTGATACGACTTCGTTCGACCGCAGCAATACCCGAATGTGCGTTGGTTCGCGACCATGGAAGCCTTCCATGTCAGATTACGAAGAGTAAATGAGAGTATCGCGAACGTCAAACACCGTTTCTGTCGCGAAGTTCAAGCATGCAAGTTTATCAAACAGGTTGATCGCCAGTCAGGTGGAAACGAGCACAGAGGAGGTTCCATAAATTTAGACGGCATGCATTCAAGTTGCCACTGCATTCGCTGGCCAGGGGTTTAGGGAGGACATCTATTATGACAGGTTTAATGGGGGCTGAGGGTGCTTAATTTCGTCAGGCTAGTGGCATAATATAGAAGGAAGACAGTCCTTCCTTCTTCAGAGGGTGGGCACTGGGCAAGTGATGAGAAGGGTGCACACGGAAGAAACCGGGAGCCTCGCAAATGATCACATGATGGATCGCGCTAGTCTATACAGACGAAGGCAAGTGTGTAGCCTCAGCCAATTTCATAAATTGCTCTTACTGGTGCTAGAACACGTGCGGACGCAGGGGAGCGGGGCTTAATGCTATCCTGTCTAGACTGGATTCAAGTACGATGATGGTGCAGTCCGTGCAGTCTAATTAACTCAGCGCCATGAATGAGAGCCTGCCAGAGGAGGGGGTGTAGCCGAATGTACCTCTGAAACTCGTCTTGAGTTATCACAACCGAGGTGCGCCAACCAGGACGTTCCCATTCTGTGCTTGAACCGTCGGTCCCATATGCGTGGAGGGGGAGGCATGTTGGAAGGGGACAGCAATATGGGCGCTTCAGCATTATATACGCTCTCCAGGGTGATTTGGCCGCAACAGGACTGTGACCGTCAAAGTCTAAGGAAAAAATTCAGAACCAAGATCAAGACTCGCAGCGCATACGAGCGCAGGCGCGAGGGCGTCTTTGAAATGGCCGGTCTTGGTACAAGTCTAAAGAGACTTCAGGTCTTTGGTCTTGGTACAGGTGGCGATGCTCTCGGAGATTGAAGACGCCGGCGTCCCCCGAGCATGGCTGACCATTACACACCCGCCTTTCCCGCCAGTCACATCTCTCCCGCCAGTCACATCACGCCTCCACCCGCCGCCGCCGCCAGGCGCTGTATCTCAACGCACGGGCCATGGACATCACGTCCCTCTTTGCTGCCATGCAGCAACAGGGTATTTGAGTAGCTCATGCATGGTTCGAGTGGCGTCTAAATCGAGGATGCCATTGGCATCACCTCCAGTGGCGGGCGGGCACAGAATAGCATTCCTGACAGCTGGCGGGCGGCGGGCAGCACAGAGGCGGGATGAAGGGTACTATTAATATCCTCCCTTAGGTGAGCTGCGGTGGTTCAACTCCGCTTGAAGTCGCCGAGCTCGCCGAGGGGTACCTAGACTTTGTACCGAGACGTCTGCTTAGACTTGTACCCAGACCGGCCAGAACTCTGACATTCACGCAGGCGCAGGGTAGTTACTTTGGGTTGTTGACTGTGCCTGGAAAAGATATTGCAGCTACTCGAGCTGAATTCCAATTCTCTTTGGAAACCGGCGGAATAGATGGGAAAGCTATACTTTGGAATGACTGTATCCAGATAGAGTACAGATAAAAGAGTCAACTATACCCAAACTGCATACGAGCAAGTACATCTGCCTAGTAAGTCCAAAAAAAAACATTGTGTATAGACAGGCGACTTATCCAACTTGAAGTCCAGATAGCCGCGTCCGGTCAATTTCTCGTTTGCGCAGTGAATGATAGTAGTACGCGGCGAAGAAAATATTACAACTACTAGTACATCGTGTATCGTGACGAGCCTAAACATTTGTAGCGAGAAGTACTAAAATCAACTTTCGTGTCGAGATGGAGTCCGAGTCAGAAACGTAAAATTCGATACCATCAAAATGATAGTCGGACCTCCTTTCATCCACCATTCACCCCAAACATCTAACAATAGTACTAGGAGTTGCTTGTCCGATCTACCGACCATTCTTGGAGTGCAGCTAGCCACGGTGTTTCCGACCAGTCCGAGTCAGCGAGGAGGAGGCTGAGAGGCGGGACGCCGCTTGCGCCTGGGGCGTCCACAAGAGAGACTGGTCCCTTCTTGCAATTTAGCGTCATCTGACACCGACGACTCGGACTCCGAGTCAGAGGGTGAATACGAGAGATCCCATGTGCGTTTGGTGGGATTGATCTGATTCTCGTGCCAATGTTTGTATCGAGCGTAAGCGGTTGCGTCTACCGAGACATCTGCTGCTATGAAAGCATCTTTCCAACTGATTGGAAACACTACTTCGGCTTCCTCTAGGCTAGTAACATCGACAATCGTACTGATGTGTTTGGTGAAATCGACGAAAGTGTCCCTGATCCTCTCCAACCCTTGTTGGAACATTTTCGTGACAGCGTCCATGCGGACCTCAGGGTACAATACCTGTATAGGGATCAGAGATGTCCGATCATTTGATATCGAGAGGAAACTTACACCGCGTGCCATATGGTCATTATCGTCTTGATCAAGGTCTATCTGTGTATCACCGTCTTGCTTCACCCACACAAAGAACTCCACTAAGCTGAGATGACACCAGTTGTGATCCGCGATGTTGATGGATTCGCAGGGTGGGAAACTTTTGGTGATGAATTTGCTCCGAGGAATGGGTGTTGGTGACTTTAGGAGAGTCTTTGACGCAACAGAACCTATCTTCGGACACTCGTAGGCCTGAGCCTCATGGACAATCCCTAAGATGACCATATTGATCTCAGGATGAGCATCGATTGTCTTCTTCATCTTGTCCATGATGTGGGACTTAGTCTTAGTCTCTGAGCATATGCACTCCCCGATGAGTGGAACCAACAACTCGGTGATAGGTCTCTCCGCTTTCGTCAACGTGATGGAGATATGCAGCGTAGCCAATATGTCTTCAATCTCCAACGGTAGGTTCATGTTAATGGCTGGACAAATGACGTCGTGATCATAAGGAAGATGTTCGATCGTGCAAGCAAGGGAGTCTCTGATATTTATAAAGGGTGCTTCGTGAAGGGGACTAGGTATGTCGACAAAGAGGAGGTGCTTGCTATAGTCGTAAGTCAGCCTTGGCTCCCAGTTAGTATATCACTAGAGACAGAAAGAAGTTCAATTAAACGCGCCTGGGCTTTATCCGGCCCATTTCTTCCAGCACATGTTGTAATACTTCGTATTCTCGCGCATCAACACCGTGGAATTCCTGTAATATGTGGTAAGTGTGGGACTCTGCCCTTGCATTGGCTCAGAACGCTATCACATACCATGACGCCAGTCTCTGAAGTCCTTGCAGTTATTTCCTTCAATACCTTTCGCCCATCTTCGAATATCGATCAGAATAAGTCGACCCTTGGCTCTCATGAAACGTACTTGAGGTAAGGTGATGATAATGGAGCTTATCATCACGTAAAGGATTTGTGGCGACCATAGCCGTAGTAGAGGCTTGCAGTGGTTTGAGTGGTTTGTTCTCTTCAGTCTCGCGGGTGCCAGATGGTGAGGATGTTGAATGGATGTACGGTTCAAATCTCTTTGACCACGTGCGAAAGCGGAGTGCCAAGTAGACCTTGAAAAAGAATGAGGGTCTGGGACTACAAGCTTAAGTACTAGTGTAGTCTGGACGTCGATGGTCTTCTGACTTTCTCTTGTTGGCGCTTCGACGGTGTATCGCAGTGTATTTTACAGTCGTCCAGAATCCAGAGACTAAGCTATCATACAAAGAGTATAATATATGCAACTAATGCCGTTATGACAGATTCGACGAATGTTGGAATAGACAAATAGATCAGCGCGCGCTCCACTCTCTTCTCTGTGACGCAAGTCGAGCGCTCAGTCGAGTAACCTTCATCATCCGTCGATTCCTCCTCGCTCATTTGGGCCTCTCCTATATATCTTGAGTATTAGTGAAGTACGTTTAGCGAGACGCATAACATACTGTTCCTTTGCTTTTGTTGGCTTCCTTCTGCTTATTATCAGTCTGAGCGGACTGTCTTTAGTAAGCCACACAACGCATGCTAAGCTGAAAGACTTTACGTACCGGACCTGACGCAGACGACGTACCGGTGGCTCCATTGCTGGTGGCTCCATTCGCACCTGACTTCGGAGTCTTTATGATAGGCACTTCCTTTTTCCCCTGCGGTTGCGTGTCTTGGCGGTTAGTGGTATGCATATTGGGAGTCAAGTTGAAGACATCATTCAAGATTCGTTCCAGCTCCTCATCATCTGCATCAGCGGAGGTCGGGCTACGACACCCGCCCTCCGCTGCGCTCCTGATCGCACGCTCGCGAGCCTCGTGTATCCCGAGGACAGTGTGCATCTTCAGCTGTTCACCCTCCTCGGTCGACATTCGGCTCGGCCGCTTGCACAGAAGCTTGAATGCAGGCAAGAGCAGCGATTTGTCGATCTCGTACTTGTCATAAGTAGTGATCTTCTCGACGGGTTCGATGTCGATGTTTTGGAGCTCGTCGACGGCGAGTTTTTTCATCTCTGGGAATTGCCAGATTGTGGAGAGGTCGAGTATGACGAGCCAGTGGTCTTTTGGCATGCGTTCACGTCTGTATGTTCTGTGTACAGTGGTTAATTACAATGCCTGTGGGACATAACAGATGCTTACCGATTGTACCAGACCCAGAGCAGCTTCTCAAAGTTGGCGCTGGTTACTTGCTCGAGTCGGAATGCGCTGGAATCAGAAGTTCCATCTCGGGGAGCTTTTGCAAACTCCTTGATAAAAAACTGCGATTCGCATTCGAAGAAGTGCCTATGGACGCGAAAGAGAGTATCCTCTACCTGTTCGCATGTGGTGATCAGCGCAAGCGACACGCACAAAAGATGTGGCGTACGAGAAAGGTGATATTACCATCTTTAAGGTAATAATCTGGATGGTGGTGTACTCGGGAAACACCATTCTGAGAATGATTTGCCATGGTGAATACAAGTTCAGCGATAGTTGTGTGTGACGATGGTATCGAAGCTGGTCGAAGTTCGTAGGGACGACGCGACCATTTTATGAGGCTCGAGCGCTTAAAGGCTACCACAGCCACTCTGATGATAAGCCAGAACACGCACTCAATCCTGTAATCCTAGGATTCGGAAGCCTCGTGTCCATTGATTTAGGCAGGTACACTTGGAAATGAAAGGCGATTTATGAGCCGTTTCGCGGCCGGGGCATATCCATTGAGCCTGATACAACAATATTACAGCATTTCGTGCACAGGGACGCCTACAAAGCGAAGTCTGATGAATCAAAGATAAGATAGCCTGAACACGAGGTGATCGTGTATGGTCTGGTGACTCTGGTTCATTCAATTGCTGCGGACTATTGCCTTGAAAGGACGCGCTGATCATTTGCTTCCCAGACAGTTACGATGTGAATTTTGCGAGAGAATGGTCAGAATAAGGAATAAGATACACGCATACCTCACGGCCGCCACAGAAATATGTAACAGATGGTAAACATGGACCTGTGCAGTACAGCCTTGATATTCTGAAGCCGAGAGCATCAAATCGCAAGGAAGTAATTGCTGAAAGCGGAAACCGTGACTTATCGTCCAAGTGAGGAGCTCCCTCTGTCTGTCAGATTGACATGACCTTTAAATCATCTGGTAGAGAGTCTCAAGGAGCTCATGGTAGCAAAATCTGGCGAAGATTTAAACATGACAAGAAAGAATCGAAAGGTACACCACCGGCAACGCCCGGTAAACCTTACACAGAATATTATGTAATGATTGGTTTTCTTCTCCCGCTGATTCTATGCTGTCACGCTTTATTGACTTCTAACTTGCTTTCAACCATGTTCACGCTGGTCCCTGGATCGACGCATCTTTGAACATCCTTTATAAAAAATACGGCTCACTGCACACGGTCCACCATATCGATCTTCTCGAATTATCTACCCGATTTACACTTAAGATTTCCATTTGGAATTGGTTAGTTTAACATCTCCACGTCTTCTGCGACTTCGCTTCTGACGCGATTGTTCTGACGATCGTAGAATAGTACTCAATCTTCCTGTGGTCTGCCCTGGGTATGCGCCCAGCTCAGGAACACCTTTGGACCTCGCCTCCGGTCTAATCTCTCGCAAAGGCGGCACAACACCGAATAATGAAGCGCCACCATCGCACAATGCCATCTATAACACGAGCAACGTTCTAAATAGCCCCTCTGCTTCAATTGTGCGTCTGCAGTATCGACGCTTACACGAATTCGGCTTCTGTGGGGTGTCCCAGTAGTGACGTGTGTTTAGGCATCGAAACGGACGGAAGGAGTGCAAGGTCAAGACTGGATCTCGAGCCCCTTACTGCATGTATCGCCATACGAAGCGTACTCAGATGCTATCGTAGTCACATTTCAATGGAACTGTTCGCTGTTCACACTATACTCATTTGGCAGCCTTTCACTAGGTCATTGAACATTGCTCGTGTGGTATGTAAGTAAAATATCGGCTTGCTATTAGGTTCGAACTCGCCCGAGCCGTACTCGCATTTCCGATTTTGAGAGACTAGTGATACCAGAAGAACCAGGTAAGCTATCGGGGTTCGTTGCGGCGATGCTAATAGAACCACAAATGTGGAATAAACTTGGTCCAGCCTAAAAGGAGAAAGCATACTTGCCAAGAGGTTTGATTTCCACGGATTCTACCTGCGGTATCGCGATTAGTCGACATGTTCTATCTGGCCATCATGTGTACAAGTCACTGCACGAAAATCACTCGATCGGGAGCGCTATCACGGGCATGACCTAGCCAACTTTGAACCATTGCTGCTTTTGCGCATGTTCACGCTAGATCAATGCATCGCCGAATGAGCACGACTAGCGTGCTTCATTTTATGGGAAATAACATCATATCAATGTCGTCGATGACCTGCTTATACCAAGCGCGTTTATCCTTGGTGAAGGATATGCCTTCCTGATATAATCTCTGCGCACGAACCGCCGAGATCTCTTTCAAGGCCGCTGTAGTTGGAGCGGACTGCACCGCTGGATGCAAGTACATTGTTAGGGTACTCACATGTATTCATAGTAAACTATACCAGCACTGCTCTTTTTTATTACTCCTCGATTGCATGCGCGTACGCCGCGCATCTAGATGCTGTCTAATCGCATTTCGATGAAAATCATTCGTTGTGAACTGATACTCGTGTAGCAACTCTTCATTAGATCGTCGAGCATCATGATTGCTCGTGTGGTATGTGAGTGAAGTGACGGCCTGCTATTAGGGTTCGAACTCCCCCAAGCCGACTGACTTTGATCCTAGAAGAATGCAAGTTATCATATATAGTCCGTGCTACGATGCCATGAAACTACAAATGTGGAACAAACTTGGTCCATGCTATTGTGTCGTATGCGCCAGGAGGCAGTGATCGCAAGCTTAGCATCATAAGTACAACCAGTGTAACACGTGCAGGAATATACATGAGAGAGATGATAACTACAGAACAATAGACAAGATGAACCGAAACTAGGAGTGGAAGTAGAACAACTAGAACTAATACTAAGGCCGCAATCGTGATCCGTCTTCGGACCAGAATCAGGATCCAAATTAGGATTACAATCCAGATCTTTTCCAATGTCTCGAATACCCAGTCCAAGTCGTCGCAAGACTCGATGCGTATCCCGACATAGATGACAATAAGCCCGGTAAAAGCACCTACCGGTGCACACATCATCACGAGGGAAGCCACACGCCATACCATCTGCTTCTGCATACCTCTGAGGCAACAAATTCCAGCCCAGACAATGTATCCCTGCAAACAGCATCCCACCGACACACCCAGTGAGAAATGCAATCATACTACGATGTCCACTGTAGCCACCAAGAGCTCGAATACGATGAGAATAGACAGCACAGTTGGAGAAGGGGTCCACAAGATCGACAAGGGATTTGATCAGATCATTGAACACCGAACCTGCCTCGCTAAAATACAGACGGATCAGAGCAATTTATGGCAAGAACATTGACAACATACACGTAGGTTAAGCCGGTTGGCAATACTGTTGCTTTCCAACGAACAATATAGGGACGTCCTACGTCCTTAGGCTTCTTCCACCAGAAGCCATAGGCAATACAGGTCAGCGAAGTCACAGCCAGGGTGTCGAGTTCAAGCAGCGTTATTGGAAGATTCTGGACATGACGTGCGACAAGCTGAATAACGAACCACACCAGTTGAAGAACGGCAATGCCTTTGGACAGTACGTCACCCTTGCTTCGGTCTTCTATGTCCGCCTCCGTGATGTCAGGCATGTCCACAGACCCCTCACGAACAAAGCGCAGAAGGTCATCGGGTGTAAGAGTAACCCGCGGCTCGTCATCGATGTAGAGTATGAATCCACCCATCCATGCAAAGAAACCATGTGTGATTGTCCATTCTGCGAAGGCAATGGTTGCACGTTAGTACCTGTCTGACCGAAGAAGTCCGAGGATGTAACTGACTTCTGAGCTCTACAGGTTCTGGCGCGCACAGATCTAGCCATGCAAAATACATACGTATCAATTTCCATCCTGTGAAGGTATTGGTTTGTTAGTTGCCACTGACAGAGGGGTCCGAGCACGCCGGAACATGTGACTGACCTGTAAGCTGTGTGGGAGCGTTTGGACATCGACTATCTCTTCCATCTGATTCTGGAATTTCATCAAGCGATGTAGCTGTGCTCTCAGATATATCTCGATGGTCGCCGTGGGCCAGGGCAAATTGTCCAAAGGCATCGTTAAAGTCCTTTGCAGCTGCACGAGCACTGAAAAACTGTCGTGCGGCCCATAGAATGATGAGTTCTGGGGCGATGCACGTCAAGACCATGATGTATAGACGACGTGAGGTAATGGTACGTTTCCCCTCGTCCATACCCGGAATATTAGGATGGATGGCAGTCCATGTAGCTGCGAACAGAGTCGCCGCGCAACTCCAGATTATGTCCCATAACGTTCTGGTGTTACCGCCGGATGGAGAGTCGCCAGCATCGAGTGAGTGGATAGTGGTATCATTGAGAATTGGCAGTGAGGCGCAAAGGAAATGGAATGTATAACAAGATAGCCAAGTGTAGGCAGGGTCATGGTGAACTCGAGGTGAGACGCCCGTTCATCCTGCTCTCTCTGAGGGCATGGCTGCATATATAACACATGGGGCGCCAAGTTTAAGCGCTAACGCTAGCGCCGCCTCGAGGCCATCATGATCACCAATGGCACAGGGAATCTATTAGATATGTAATGCCGTACATGTTCAGTGTGGAAGTTTGACAGGGACGATGAGACATGAGACATGCAATTTATTTGGACTCCTTAGATTATATAGCAATCAGGACGAGCATCATCTGATCACCGGCGATCACCGGGGGATGCTTGGCAGCTTGACGCGCACAAGTGCTGTGCTAGGTGCGACTCAGTACGGTAGAAAGCGGTCGTTCCCCTTGAGTTATGTGACAATGTAAAGCAAGTCAAGTCAGAGTTCTTGACACGTAAGTAAAGTTAAGTACCCACTGCACCGACACTGCGATCCATTATGTGATTGCGAGGCTCCCGTGCGCACCGTTCCTCATTGTCCAGCACCCTCATTTAATCAGCATCCTCCCTGCAAGCGCTGGTGAATGCAGGGCACTGGTCATGCACGCTGTGTATACTCGTGGAGCCTACTCTGTGCTCGTTCCGGCCTGGCTGCATCAACACTGTTGATGATAGGCTTGCATGCGTGAACTTCGCGATAGAAATGGCGTTCGGCGTTCACGATACTCTTATTTCCTCTTCGCAATCCGACGTGGAAGGCCTCTCCCTTCGCTCGTTCGACTCTCAGTCCCTACTTCACGCCATGCTTTTCAAACTCCAGGGCATGTCTCAGCCGACGCGACCATAGCAGTCCTCCAAGATCATGTTGTATAGTCATTGCGGATGGCTGGCGGATGGTGTGTATTACGCACATTTACCTGTCTTGATTCAGGGTCTTGCCTCAAGGCCAACACATGGTCAGCACGAGCTCCACCTGTTCGTTCTATACAGTAACGTACAGAAATTGCGACGTCAAGGTGGTGGTTGCAAACAAAATCGTGCTGCGGTCGAACAGGGTCGTATCAGAGCTGGGTAGGAGCTAATGGAAGAGAACTCAAGTGAGTCACGACGGAGAGTTCAAGCCGGATCGATGTGTATATGACTCGTATGTTTCAACTTCACTTCACAGTTTAGTATATCACACCCGGGGATGTTGGAGTGGCATTTTAGTTTCCCGTAGGTATCCAATAGAAGGAAGCACCGGCAACGCCCGAAGTAGACCTGCTTACAAATCATTATTGGTTCTCTTCTCCGCTGGTTCCATGCTGTCAAGTTCGGGACTGTCGCGGTTTATTGACTTCTAACCTGCTTTCCCCCATGTTCACGCTGGATCGACGCGTCTTTGAACCTCCTTATACGGCTAATCATATCGATCTCCTCGGATTTTCTCCCCGATTTGCACTTGGGATTTCTGATTTGCTGACTCGTCAACCTCTCCATGTCTTCTGCGGCTTTTCTTCTGACGCGATGGTCTGATACGATTGTCGAACAGAGATGCGGTTTGGATTCTTTCAGACAACGTTAACGTGAGGCCTAACCGAGTCGGGACCTGGTTTTACGTGCGGCGAACTTGTGGCTATTAGTGCATTTTTCTTTCGCTTTCGTGCACTACTCCCCTTAAGCATGTCCTTTATTTTGTAGTCACTACTTTGCACTCTCTAAGCTGAGTTCTCGGTGCTAGCACGACTGCTCCACCGATGACGCCAACGCCAACGATTCTCGAGAGTCAGTGTCGGTTCCCGCTACGTCTTCCGACTTCAGCACGCAGGTTTCATCCTATGGGACGCCTCTCTCACTAAAGGCAAACGTCTTTGCAAAGTATGTTGTCGCTCTTCTTTTTCTTCATCTGTGTCCCACACTGATATCCGTCAATAGTATGGAGAAGAAATATGAAGACACGTCTAGTATTACTGCTTTCGTCGGATTGTGGTAGGTTTTCTTTTGCATTGCTGGCCGTGTACGTTCCTGGATCAAAAGTTCCCAGTGCTGATGAGTTGTTCAACTCAGCTGCATAACTCATGGATGCGTTTACATGTGTCAAACTTCCTTTAGCTCCTCACGGAGGTGCTGCTACAGTGCCCGCAGATGGTAATAAAACACATTTTCGATCCGAACGTCCAAAATGCAGGGACCGATGCGCATATATATATCCTGCACAGCGGCTAATAAAGCGCATATATCTATCCCTCCTTAGTCTACATGTGCGCAATCGCTCGCTGGTCTCCACACAGAGCATCCTCTCCCGACCATGATGCATGTGCTCAGCCCACGGGCAGAACAAATTACGTCGCATCATCTATGGGATGCCACGATTCCTGCGCCCATCTCTGGACTGCCTTTGGACCTCGCCTCCGGCCTACTCTCTCCCAAACGTGGTGCATCGCCAAACACCGAAGCCTCGTCTGTCATTACAACATTAAAAACTTCCCCCACCTGTCTCACACCCTTCACCACTGCCCAACGCCATCTACAGCAAAAGCGACGTTCCAAACAGCCTCTCTGCTCCTCTCGTTCAATGTCCATCTGCGGTGTCAACTCTTACGCTTAGATCTATGAATTTGCATATTAGTGACGTTGGTTGGGTGCTGAAATGGACGGAACGAGTGCTAGGTCGGGATTACATCATGAACCCTTCCTGCATTCAACCTCGCGTTTAATACGCCGCGCAAATCTATCTGTCTTCTTTGAGCTGTTCTCGATGAATGTAACTGTGCATGAAGATCTGAAGTGGTCCCAGCGTCGTGCTTTACTTTGTAGTACTTTACACTGTCTAAGAGTTCTCGGTGCTAGCACAATTGCTCCCCCGATGACACCAACGCCAACATTTGCAACGCTGCGTGCGCTCATGGGCGACGCGCTAGATGATATACATCGCATTTTTCACAATCATCCACGCCCCGGGCCCCATTCCTCACACTGTTCATCCCCAACATTCCCCGATTCTTCAGAGCCAGTTTCTGTACCCGCCACACCTATGTCATTCAGCACGCAGGCATCTTCCTATGGGGCGCCTCTCTCACCCTTGTCCAACCTTCGGCACGACTATCCTTCGCCAGCCTTCCATACATATCCTCCTCAATGCGAGCATGGTTGTAAGTTGTATATTTCGTTTTCATTTGGCTTATTGTTTGGATGAATTTCGCCAGCTAATTAGCTTTCTGACATTTTTCCACCTTCAGTACATCCTTCCCACAGCGAGCCCGTCATCGCTGACACCATTGCTCAAAGTGATCCGGGTAATGGATTGAACGAATGGCCTTGCGTCACGCCCGAGCTTTACCCGGGGTATGTGCCTCATCTTTCCTAGCTTGGTGGCTGGGTACTGATCGCCGTCTTTGATTTGATTTATTTTGTTCTTTCCTGCTCATACTATCTTCATTTTAAAATGCCCCTTCATGTCTTCCCTCCACATATTTTTATATTCCCCTCCATTTCCTGCCCCGTGCGTCCCTCTCGTGAACCAGATGCCCCGACAAAGGCGGAAGGAAAGGCACTCCAGCTAGAGGGCGTGCATATCAAATACATTTCCCTCGTCGTCACGCACGGGCGGCCTTCAGTGTGTGGACTTTGTGGTTAGGTGGGTCCGATCTCTAGTCGTCCGATACAATTCTGTCCTCCGCTTTAATATACAGTTTCGTCTTTCTATTTGGACGTTTGAAGATTCCAAATTATTCTTTTCCAGTCAATACTTGAAATGCATCCCGTTCTTTAATTTGCATGTTGTTGAAGTGAATCAGCTGGCAACTTTCCGCCCCTAGCCCACCCCCTACGCTTGCATCACGTTCTGCGTAAAACAGCCCCAAACATCTTTGCATTACATCCGTTGATAGCCTCGAAAAAGAAAAATGAAGATACCTTCAGCTTTGCCGCTTTCGTCTGATCGTGGTGCGTTTTCTTTTGCATTTCATATATGTTTCTGAAGCAAAAGTTTTCAGTCCTGACAAGCTGTTCAAGTTAGCTGCGTACCAGTTTCCTTTCACATCTCCCTCCAGACTGCAGTGCAGCATATCTGTCCCGAATGTCTAAACGCGTCACCTAACTTGTCATGAGGTTCAAATTTCCACGGATTCTATCTGCAGTATTGCTCATCATATGCGCATTGTAGCCTGACGTCCGCATACCAAACCTCTGTACGTCACACCACATGGTCAGGGGAACTTGACTGGACAACTCATGCTCGTGAACGCATCGAAATCGAGGGAGTTGAAGAACGCGAATCATTGTGTCTGATAGTGACTCAATGATCCTTTCGTCACAGGAAGCCTACACAGTCGAACGTTAGCTGGTTGGTGCGTAAACATAACGCTCCATTCCGAGTAGTCTGATTCGGAGTCTTACACCTGATCTAACTCTGATGGTGAATGCAGACTACGATGAAGATCAGCTTCGACTATATGACATACAATATTGACTGCAGCCGGTTTTCATCTCTCTCTCGCTCTCCAGAGGCGATCGGGTGAAGATTCCAGATTAAATGGAAGACATGTCTGACTCCTGTTCATGTTCTTGTAATGAGGTTTCTGAAGGTGATGATCTGCCTTCTTGAGCGTCTGCGAGTTTGATGACTGACTAGGGTACGATATGGCTGGTGACTGCTGCTGAGATTGCATCATGCTGACACGGTACATCCCACCGCATTGACAATGCTCATATGTCACATGTGCTCATACACTATATATCAGGACTGCTCTTTGGGTATGTATCATTACGTGCGCGTACCCAGCGTATCTAGATGATGTCAGGTCACATTTCGATGGAACTGTTCGTTGTTGACTGAAAACTCATGTGGCGGCCTTTCATCAGATCACCGAGCGTTGCTCGTGTGGTATCTTGTAAGTGAGGCGACTGCTATAAGACTCGTCATATAGTCCGGCGATGTAATGAAACTATAAATGTGGAATAAGTTTGGTCCAGGCTACTGTATCGTACGCGCCAGGGGGCAGCGATCGTAAGCTCATGATCATAAGTACAATGAGTGTAATGCGTGCAGCAATATAAATGAAAAACATAAGTATTTCCAAAGATGTCAATATTAATGGTTGATCATGCCCCACATCGCTCAGCCACATGAAACCCACAAAGTCTTCGAGAAGGAGAAATACCACTGTACCTACTATCACAAGGGAAGCCGCGCGCCATATTAGCTGCTCTGCATGTCTCTGAAACAAGAAATTCCAGCCCAGACAATGCATCCCTCCAAACACCATCCCACTAAAATATCCAGTGGGAACTAAAATGAGCCCATCAGTGACCGAACCTATACCATAACCACCTAGAGATGGAACCCGATGTGAATGGACAGCATGGGGAGAAATGACTTCACCAGCGCCCACAAGATTGGTCAAGGGATAGATGAGACATGCTAAACGATCATTCCAGGTTCCACTGGAGAACATTGAATGTGCCTTACTAGAATGCAGATGAATTAGAGTCATTTCAAGGCAAGAATATCGACAACATACTTGTAGGTTAAGGTGCTCAGCGGTGATGCAGTTGCTTTCCAATGTACAATATAAGGACATCTTACATCCTTAGGCTTCTTCCACCAAAAGCCATAGGCAATGCAGGTCAGAGCAGTTAGAGCCAGGGTGTCGATTTCAAGCGGCAGTTATCTGAAGGTTCTGTGTGTAACGGGCGACAAGCTGGAGGATGAACCAAGCCAACTGAAGAATTACAATGCCTTTGGATAGTCCATCACCCTTACTTCGATCTTCTATCTCTTCCTCCGTGATGACAGGCATATCCACATATCCCTCAGAAATAAAGTGCCGGAGTTCATTGGGTGTAAGAGTGCCTTGTGGTTCGTCATTGACATAGAGGATGAATCCACCCATACACGCAAAGAACCCATGCACCACTGTCCATCCTGTGAAGGCATCAGTTAGATGTTAGTTGACACCGACTGAAAGAAGTGGGCACGTACTAAGCCGACCTCTAAACTTTGAAGGTTTGAACCCGAGAGCGCTTGGACTTTGACTATATCTTTCATTTGAGTCTGGGATGTCATCGAGAAATGTAGCTGTGCTCTCTGATATATCCCAATGGCTGCGGTGGGCCTGGGCACACTGTGAACCAAAGTCACTATTGAACTTCTTTGCAGCTGCACGAGCACTGAGAAATTGCCACGCGGCCCAGGTGATGATGAGTTCTGGGCTGATCAACGCCACGACCATGATGAATAGACGACGGCGCATAATGGTAAGTTTCCCCTCGTTCATACCCGGAATGTTCGGATGAATTGCAGTCCATGTGCATGCTAATAAGGTTGCACCACAGCTCCAGATAATGTCCCACAAGGTCCTGGTGTTACTGTAGGATGGAGAGTCGCTGGAATTTGTATGGATACTGGTAGCATTGAGGATCGGCAGTGAGGCGCAAACTAACGCGATGTATAACAGGACAGTGCAGGGTAGGAGGTTCATGGTGATGATGAGAGCACGGTACTACGCCTGTTCATCCTACTCTCTTTATCTTAGTAGGGGAGTGGCCGTGCATCTCATTGCATGACACGTCATGTCAAAGTACAATTGCCATTAAATCGCCGAGGATAATGGATTGATGTTAATCACCAATATCACAGCCTGAAATAAGGCTAAGCACGAGGAAATTGATGATCCAGGCGGAAAACGAGCCGAACCACCGATGCACGTGCGTATCACCGTCATGCGGGTACATTGCTCTGGCTTTCCATACTGCACGAGCATGTCAATTTGATGAAGACCAGGATAAATCATCGACATACCACTGAGATCACTCGAAATAACCGAGCTTGAAGCAACACCGGCAAAGCTACACGCGAAACCTCAGCGCTGCAGCAGAACCGCTCCTGCCTCGATCGAGTATTAAAGTCAAGTAGACAGGGAACATCAGAAGTTCCATCAGGCATATTATGTAGTCTATCAATCGAACACAGGCCTAAGCGCAATGCGATCATCGGAAAAGCCTGTGTCTCAAATTTCAATGAGCATCGGCGGCGGCGCCTCCGCCTCGATCGCTGGCTTGGCCCACCGAGCGTAATAGCTCATCTAGGGTCTCTTAGCACTCTACTGTCAGAGACGAACGTTATCATTGGTAAATGCCAGAAACAGATAACTCAGAAGTGAACAATTTATGTCGTAAATGGCACAAACAGGTAACTCGCCTCTCTCATCCTGGCTGCTCCCCTCAATGCTTGATCCAACGCGCCGCTTTCCTCCTCCAATGTGGGATCGATCGCATCACGCACACCTCCTCGCTCTCGGTCATTGGGTTATAATGTCACAATGATGCGGTAAATATGGTAAGAGCAATGCGACTCTAATTAGTAATGAAAACCGTGACGCAAAACGCAAAATCCATAATGCAGTTGACACATTAGTATTTTGGATACTGTTAGGATTGTTGGCGGGACTTGTGTAATAGCCTGTGCTTGCCTACCACGTCATGTATTTACGGTTACCGGGACATTTCGGAAGTCGATCTGTTCATCTATATTATTATTAAGTCGCGCTTTGTGTTGTGGATGTGGATAACTTAGGAACGCAATATGTGTGTCGATATTCCGCAGGGGCCAGCTGCAACGACACCCTAGATCCCTCTCTAACGTTTCCACACATAACTCGCAAACACATTTTCCGCATGCTCTGCGTTTTCGAGGAGCGGATCTAAGAATGCTGATGCTGTGCGTGGAGAAGTGAGTTGATGAAGTTTGGAGGAGATGTAGTTGGCGGAGATGGATGCACTGCGGATGCACCCGGATGACTGTATAGTAATATTGTGAGATTGGTCGGATAAGAATTGTCAATGGTACAGAGAGATTGGTTCATATTACGGTTAGATTGGATGTGTACGCGCAAAGAAAAGCGGAGCATACCCCCCGCGTGTCGTTATTAGGCACTTGAGCGTGTTTGATAATTGGGTGGGCAGTCATGCTCGCACCTCCGATTTTGACAGCGACCCAGATGTTGAACCAGGCAAGTTATCATACTCCGTTACTGCAATGTAATGAAACTACAAATGTGGAATAAACTTGGTCCATGCTACTGTATCGTATACGCCAGGAGGCAGTGATCGTAAGTTCAGCATCATAAGTACAAGTAGTATAATACGTGCAGGAATATATGTGTAACTGAAGAGGCCGCCGAGACCGACAACATACAAGAAAAAAAGAAAAATTACAATGAAGTAGATCGCCTCTTTGGTTTGTATCATCCTGTCAAATCTCTGCTTCCACCAGGGCAGCATGCCTTCCCAATCAAATGTTTCTACAGCAAACATTGTAAAAGCATATGCAGGCGCAAATGCCAACAGGAGGGAAACCACACGCCATAATACCTGCTCTGCGAATCTCTGAAACGATAAATTCCAGCCCAGACAATGCATCCCTCCAAACACCACCCCACCGAAACATCCAAAGAGAAATGTAGTAATCCTACCATGATGCTCACTGAAGCCACCTAGAGATGGCACGCGGCGAGAATCGGCAGCACGGCGGGAAATGTATACTGAACCAACTCCAGAAAGACTCAAAAAGGGGGAAAGCAGATCTGACGCTAACTGATTGGGGTCGTGGCGGCCTGGGTGGGTGGATCTTGAATCTGCCTTTCTAGAGTGCAGACGAATCAGAGCGATTTCTGGCGAGAATATTGATGACATACTCGTAGGTTAAGCCGGTTGGCAATGGGAATGCTGTTGCTTTCCAATGAACAATACAAGGATGTCCTATGTCCTTGGGCTTCTTCCACCACAAGCCATAGGCGATGCAGGTCAGAGTAGTCACAGCCAGGGTGTCGATTTCAAGCAGTGTTACTGGAAGATTCTGGGCATAGCGGGCGACAGCTGGATAACGAACCACACCAATTGAAGAATGGCGATGCCTTTGGATAGTACGTCACCCTTGCTTCTGTCTTTTATGTCCGCCTCCGTGATGTCAGGCATGTCCACAGATCCCTCAAGAACAAAGCGCAGAAGCTCATCTGGTGTAAGAGTGGCCCGCGGCTCGTCGTCGATGTAGAGTATGAATCCACCCATCCACGCGAAGAATCCATGCGTCACTGTCCATTCTATGAGAGCAGTGGTTGTACGTTAGTCCCTGTCTGACCGAAGAGTCCGAGCATGTAACTGACTTCTAAACTCTACAGGTTCAGGTGTGCACAGTTTTACCCACGCAAATAACCTACGTATTACTGTCCGTCCTGTGGAGGTTTGGTTAGTTAGTTACCACCGACAGAAGGGTCCAAGTACGCCGAACATGAGACTGACCTCTGAGCTTTGCAGCGTTTGGACGTCGACTATGCCTTCCATCTGATTCTAGATTTTCACCAAGCAAAGGAGCTGCGCTCTCTGATATATCTCTGTGGTGGCCGTGGGTCTGGGCAAGTTGTGCACCAAAGGCATCGTTGAACTCCTTTGCAGTTGCACGAGCACTGACGAACTGCTTCGCAGCCCAGAGGATCATGAATTCTGGGGCGATCAACGCCGTGATCATGATGCCTAGACGACGAAGGGTAATGGAAAATGTCCCCTCGCTCATACCCGGAATGTTCGGGTGAACTGCAGTCCATGTACATGCGAATAGGGTCGCAGCACAGCTCAATATGATGTCCCACAAGGTTCTGGTGTTGTTGTCGGATGGAGACTCGCTGGAATCGAGTGAATGGATGTCGGTACCATTGAGAATTGGCACTGAGGCGCAAAGAAACGGAACGTATAACAAGATAGCCAAGTGTAGGAGGGTCATGGTGAAGTTGAGATGAGACGTCTGTTCATCCTGCTCTCTTTTAAGGTGTGGCCGCATGCATAATGCACGCATACCATTGCTTATCGCGCCAGGTTTAAGCGCTGGCGCTAGCATCACCTCGAGGCCACTACGATCACCAATGGCACAGGGAATCTATTAGATATGTAATGCCATACATGTTCAGTGTGGAAGTCGGACAGAGACAATGAGACGCGAGACATGTAATTCATTTGGACTCCTTAGATTGTATGGCAATGAGGACGAGCATCGTCCGATCACCGGGGGATGCTTGGCAGTTTGACGCGCACGAGTGCTGTGACTTGGTGCGACTCAGCACGATAGAAAGCGGTCGTTCCCCTTAAGTTATGTGACAATATAAAGCAAGTCAAGTCAAGTCAGAGTCCTTGACACGTAAGTAAAGTTAAGTACCCACTGCACCGACACGGCGATCCATTATGTGATTGCGAGGCTCCCGTGCGCACCGTTCCTCATTGCCCAGCACCCTCATTTAATCAGCATCCTCCCAGCAAGCGCTGGTGAATGCAGTGGCACTGGCCATGCACGCTGTGTATACTCGACTCTCAATCGTCGCTTCACGCCATGCTTTTCAAACTCCAGGGCATGTCTCAGCCGACGCAACCATAGCAGTCCCCCAAGATTATGCTGTATAATCATTGCGGATGGCTAGCGGATGGGCGTGTATTACGCACACTTACCTGTCTTGATTCAGGGTCTTGCCTCGAGGCCAACACATGATCAACACGAACTCCACTTGTTCGTCATATACAGTAACGTACAGGAATTGCGACGTCAAAGTGGTGGTTGCAAACAAAATCGTGCTGCGGTTGAACAGGGTCGTATCAGAGCTGGGCAGGAGCTAATTGAGGAGAACTCAAGTGAGTCACGACGGAGAGTTCAAGCCGGATTGACGTGTATATGGCTTTGGAGTGGCATTTCAGCCTCCCATAGCCAATAGAAGGAAGCACCGGCAACGCCCGAAGTAGACCTGCTTACAAAGGATTATTGGTTCTCTTCTCCCGCTGGTTCCATGCTGTCAAGTTCGGGACTGTCGCGGTTTATTGACTTCTAACCTGCTTTCCCCCTTGTTCACGCTGGATCGACGCGTCTTTGAACCTCCTTATACGGCTCATCATATCGATCTCCTCGGATTGTCTCCCCGATTTGCACTAGAGATTTCTGTTTTGCTGGCTCGTTAACCTCTCCACGTCTTCTGCGGCTTCGCTTCTGACGCGATTATCTGATGATTGTCAAATAGAACGCGTGCTGTTGAGGTCTATCTGACAATGAATCTTCCTCTAGTCTGTCTTGAATATTTAATATGTCTCCAGAGGGTCAAAGTTGTAGCACGATTTCATCGGACAGGGCATGTTCAAAATACGATTTGGATCTTTTCAGACAACGTGAGGCCCAACCGAGTTTATTCCTGGTTTGACGTGCGGCGAACTTGTGGCCAGTAGTGCATTTTTCTTTGCCTTTCATGCGCTACTGTCCTTAAGCATGTCCTTTACTCTGTAGTACTTTGCACTCTCTAAGAGCTCTCGGTGCTAGCACAGCTACTCCGCCGATGACACCCACCCCAACATTTGCAACGCTGCGGGCGCTGCATGCGCTCATGGGCGACGCGCTAGACGATATACATCGCATTTTTTCACAATCATCCACGCCCCATTCCTCGCAATGTTCATCCCCAGCATTCCCCGATTCTCCAGAGCCAGTGTCGGTGCCCGCCACACCCATGTCTTCCACCTTCAGCACGCAGGTGTCATCCTATGGGACGCCCCTCTCGCCGTCCAACTTTCAGCACGACTATCCTTCGCCAGAACTTCCATATGTATCGTCTTCACCTGCTGAGAAACTCGCTGCCTGCCCGGCGGCAAGCGCTGCAGCAACAAGGATCATTGCTGCTGCTGGCCAGATTACGAGCATCGTACAGAAGCCATTTCTATTCATGTCTGATGCAAGCATGGTGGTAAGTTTCATTTTTCGTTCTCATTTGACTTATTGTTCGGGTGAATTCTACCACCTTTGTCATTCCGACAGGTGTTTCGTTCTTGCGTCGTTATGTACTATGTAGCATTCTGACACTGTTTTTCACCTCCAGTACACCCTTCCCGCATGCTTGCGTCTCATCGAACATTTACACGTCGTTGAGATTCTACGCGAAGCAGAGGACGAACGCCAGCGATTCCTTTCCGAGCTGCGTATTATCGCAGAGCTCCAGTCCCAGAGCGAGCCCGTCATCGTTGACACCCTAGCTCAATGTGCCCCAGATAAGGGATCGAACGACCCAAACGAATACTCCGCTAATGACCTTGTATCACGCCCGAGCTTTACCCGGGGTATGTACTCACCTTCCCTAGCTTGATAGCTGAGTACTGATCGCCGTCTTTTATTTTTATTTCTTGTTATCTCCATTCATACGCCATCCCCTCCCTTTCCTGCCTCGGAACCCTGTCACGTGGTAAAATTGAGCAGATGCTCCGACAAAGGCAGAGGAAAAGGCACTCCAGTTAGAGGGTGTACACGTCAAGGACATTTCCCTCATCATCAAAGAACGCACGGGCGGCCTTCGGTGTGTGGACTCCGTGCGGTTAGGTGGGTCTGATCTCTAGTCGTTTGACCTACAACTTTGTCCTGCTCTTTGGATGTTTTAAGATTCCAAATGACTCTTTCCCAGTCGATAGATACTTGAAGTTCGCCCCGTTCCTCAATCCCGCTTATCGTTGAAGTAAATCAGCTAACAATTACCCACCCTTAGCTCACCCCTTACGCTTGCTTTCAACGCATCACATTCTGCGTGAAACAGCTCCAGACACCTTCGCACTGACACGTGTCGTTAGCCTGCTCGACAGCGGGAAGAACGTGGCAGACGTCTTTGCAAAGTACGTTGTCACCTCTCTCTTTCTTCCTTCACCTACAGTACGTACCGAAACTTACATCCGTTGATAGCCCCGAGAAAAAATATGTAGACACGTCTGGCATTGCCGCTTTCGTCGGCTTGTGGTGCGTTTTCCCTTGCATTTCTGGACATGCAGATATCTAAAGCAAAAGTTCTCAGCACCGATGAGCTGTTCAAGTCAGCTGCGTACCTCACGGAGGCGTTTACAGGTGTCCAACTTCCTTTAGCTCCTCCTGGGAGTGCTGCTACGGTGCCTCCAGATGGCGATGAAGCGTATATATCCGTTCCGGGTGTCCAAAACGCGGGGGACGACGCGCATATGTCCGGCCCTTTAGCGCAGCCTATGCCTATATGCGCCCCATCGCTTGCTAGTGAAGCGCATATATCCGTTCCGGATGTCCAAAATACAGGGACCGATGCGCATATATCCAGCTCTCTAGCGCCACCTCAGCCTATATGCGCCCAATCGCTCGCTAGTCTCAATTCGGGGCGTCCAACCCCTACTTCAGCAACGCGGACGTACCCATATCTCCCTGAAGTTGCGACGGTGACCCAAGCACTCCCAAAGGTAGAACAAACCATGTCTCCTCGTTTATGGGATGCTACGATGCCTGCGCCCATCCCTGGACCACCTTTGGACCTCGGCCCAGGTTTACTATCTCCCAGACGCGGTGCATCACCGAACACTGAAGCCTCGTCTGTCATCACAACACTCAAACTTCCCCCGCCTGTCCCACATCCTTCACCATTGCACAACGCGATCTACAGCAAGAGTGACGTTCCAATCAGTCCGTCTGCGCTCCTTGTTAAATGTGCATCTGCAGTGTCGACTCTTACACTTGGGTCTATGAGCTCGGCTGCTGTATCCGAGGGGAGGTCGCCCAGTAGTGACATGGGCTTGGCCGATAGAAGGAGTACTAGGTCGGGTCTGGATGTTGAGCCCCTTCCTGCATTCAACCTCGCGTTCAATACACCCGTGCCCTTTTTCGAGTGGCTAGAGGACGGCGGACTGGACGCACTTGGTGGGAATGGCGTCGGGGCAGGGACAGTTGGTAATAGTGTGTCAGCTGAAGATGGGACCGTGGAGAACCGAGCTGGACATGTGAGGAATATGAGTACACAAAGCGGTCGTGAACCGCGCAAGTCTTTCCGCCTTGAACGGTTTTCGCAGGCAATGACTGGGACGAGTGGGTGGGAGGCGCCTGGGGCGATCCTGACTGGTACGTCGCTATTCATGCTTATTTATTTCGTTTGTATGTCTGAGGTTGTATAATTTCTGACACTCGTACCTCCAGGCTTTGACTGGCTCTCCCTCCCACGAGGTTCGACGATAGTAGACGTTGGAGGAGGTATCGGAAGCACAACGATGATCCTTGCGCGGGCGTTTGGAGGTAGTCCTGGAAGCGTGAGCAGCGACGGAGCTGAAGATACCTTGGAAAACATTAGCTTCATACCCGACGACTTGACCCCACGTAAATCCCGGAGCGACCTCAAGTCCTTCGCCTCACGTGGCGATCTCAAGTCCCACACCTCTCGCGCCGATCTCAAATCCAGGGTTTCTCGCGCTAATCTCAAAGCTGCGCGTTCTCATGCTGATTTGAAGCTCCAGTCCTCTCAGGGTGAGCTCAGCGCGCGACAGTCAATTGTAGTTTCTTGTGAGGACCTGGACATGCAGTTCCGCTTCATTGTCCAAGACCGTCCTGTGGTCGTCGGACTTGGACTTGCCGCATGGCGTGCACAGTGTCCAGAGATGCTGGAGAGTGGACAGGTTGTGTTTCATGGTAAGCACTCCACCCAGAAATTTGACGTGTTTGGCTCATGGTGTTGTCGACAGACCACGACTTCTTCCTCCCACAACCTCCGCTCCCCTCGTCAGATCCCACCCCGTATCCCGCAGTCTATATACTCCGTGTTGTCCTGCATGACTGGCCTGACGCTCGTGCACGTCATGTGCTGCTCAACTTGCGGCTTGCAAGCAGCCCAGAGACGAGGCTTATCATTGCGGACCACGTCCTTCCATTAGCATGTGTGGACGAGGGCGTCCGTAGCGCAAAGCACGAGCATCAGAAATCCGAAGGCGAGAAATGGACGCTCGATTCTGTTCTAGCGCACCTTGAGGGCGCACATGGCACACTGGCGCCTGCACCTCTGCTTCCAAACTTGGGCAAAGCAAGTGCAACCCCTTTTTCGATGGACATCATGGTACGCGCGATGATAGTCTATTGTCTGTGCACGACGGGATTACTGACTGGGCGGCATAGATGCATATCACTTTCAATGGCAAGGAGCGCACGTTACGTGAGCTTTGTGCGCTCGCTCTGTCATCTGGCTGGCGCATCGCACGTGTGACATACTCAAAAGGTTCCCATTTCGGGCACCTTGTCTGCGAGCCTGTAGATATACCTGAGGATGCATTCATGATCCTCCCGGAACGGCCAGCCTCCGATCCTGCGATAGATTTGTCGTTTGTCTGTGCTGAGCCCTCAGAGGACGACGTTCATGAAGACCCGCAGACCGCCCAAGAGATGTATGCAAATAAGCTGCCGTCACCACTCAGGCCGAGGCCTATCTCGACGGCCATCCTACCACTTTTGCCTTCTCCCATCCTCGAGCGCTCGTCATCACGGTGCGGAACACCAACGTTTGGATCCCGCGTGTTCCTTCCACGTCCTGACGAGATCCCGTCTCCCAAGTCTAAGTCATACAGTCTTGGTAGACGATGGCTCAAGGCGAGAGGCCTTGGAGTTCGCAGCGTAGTCGAGAAGCAAAAGCGCCGTGAAGAAGGCGCTCGAAAAGCCGATGAACACGATGACCAAAGTGGTCTATATGGATCTCCACAGCACGCCCGCGTTTGGTGGAAAAGGGCGCCTCTTGCTTCCCCTGTGGCAGAAGAACGAGCTGGTGACGCGTCGACGTCTCGCAGTCCACTTCGTCTTCGCAGGGGTACGATAACAACTCCTCCACAGCTGCAGAGCCCACGCATTCCTACGCAACTCAATTTCCCAGCGCATCGTACGACTCCTAGCATCCAGTCCAACTTCCAAAGCGATGGAAGTTCAAGTTCCCCACGATCAAGAAGGCCAAGTGTAGCGAGTCTCACTCGCAAGCTCAACTTCTCGCCTTTCGCGCGGAGACCGAGCGTAGTGGATATCGCTACGCAAAGGAGCAGTGAGACCAGCGCGAGCCCGCGGTCAGCGACGTTCGAAACCGCGCATGTCCAGCCTGCAGACCTGGAGAGGAAACTCAGGCATCAGCCGAGTTCACCCATGATGCAGAAATATTATTCCGATGGCGATCGCGAACACAGTGTCAGACATCATCCCAGTACTCCTCACTTGAAGGGTTGGTCTAATCGCACTGAAGAACCTCCGCCCTTGCCTACAACACCAAAGGTTATACCTGATGATGGTCCATCCACAGGCAGCGCGCATCCGCGCAAGTCAAGTCTCCTAAGCTCCCCGATGTTCGGTGGGAGTGCATCTAGTCTGTCCACGACGACCTCGCGTCAACCAAACCATTCGATTTTGTCAAGCGCTCCGTCTTTGATACGCGCACCCAGTACGCCTACGGAACCCACAAGCCCGAAAACAAAACGTCAGCCGGGTACACCGAAACTTCCCCGGAGGCTTAGTATACCTATGCTCCGCCGCAAGCGCAGTCGAAGTGCTGAAAGGGGTGCTTAGACCGGTGGTGGAGGACTCGTCATGCCGGGGAGATACCTGATACCGGTGCGAAAACTCAGTTTATAACTCTCGTTCATAGTGTTTTTCTTGATATCTCGTCGAATGCTGTGCGTTGCGCATATTATAGTGATTACCGCTCTTTTTATGTGTTTATGTCCTCGTTGCATCGCAAAACCTAATGTCTATATCGTACTTATACTCTTCTGTACGTTTCACTCTGGAGTAAATAATCAAGCCTTTAGATCTTAGATTCTAGCACGATTCGATACCTTGCTGTGCTCGGGTAGCTCATGTCAGGGGTCCGCTCAGTATCTCAGTATATTGTGCCAAGAGGGTCCGTAATGTATGTACAATGGTAAGCACAGGAATTGCATAGTGGAGTTGTACTGGATGACATATATGTTTGCTTGAGTCAAAAGCTCTAACATATACAGCTACTCTACATAATTGAAAAGTCCCTTATCTTTGAGCCCCGGAAAAGTGGATGTGTAAATGCAAATGAAAAAGTGGATTCTATCAGTACTATTACTTGCAGCCGTAATCGAACGTTGTTCCACAACGACAAACCATATGATTACAGCCAGCGATCTTCTCTATCAGATGGGAGCATCCTGGGCATCTTGCCCAACCTGATGCTTGAGCGATATCAAGCACTTGTTGCGTCGCTGCGTCAATGACGCAGTTATGATTTCCAACCCCCTCGTACTTGGTACGGCATTTTCCACACGTACGGGTGGAACAACTTGGGGCTGGACAGTCGTACACCTTTCGTGACGACTTTTGGTGGAGTGCACCAAGAAAGCGATTGCAGGATGGTGACGAGCAATACACCCGATGCATCGTTTTCTTTTCCCGGCCCTTGAGCCGGAAGTCCGCAATTAGAGCTTGACTGACGTAGCGTCGCACTTTCGTGAAGGGTATGTTCCTGTGACAGCACCGGGGTGGATACAGGGAGTCGTCACGAACTGATGACTGGAAGAGGTGGGTGATGCAAGCAAGGTCGAAGACATGCCCGCATGGGACTGGGATTGCGGCTCCATCTATAGGATCTCTGCAAATGATACAGATGGGTCTGACTATTTGTCAGTTACTATAGTCTATCCTCGTTGGCCTCAGGTAGACTCACGGTTCCCCCGAGGCACCATCGACCTTCTTGATCGATTGTCTTGGCATGTTGTTTTAACTGCTGACAGCTACTTGAGTTCCCAAAGGATGTTTAGTAGCCAGAGGAGACTATGTCCCCCCTTCGTATATGCAACTGAAAAGGCTGGAGGAGAAAGAGGAACGAGAAGGAATGCTCAGCACTTTACGCCTCGTTGCCTCCGCATGGACTCGATCACCCCTAAATGATCGTGAATAACGAAATAAAGATAAGGAATCTGGTTTCAGAGCGCTCGATATCAGGAGTGCGAAAACACGTTCTACGCGTTGATAGTTAAATACAGGAGTAATCGGTTGGACATCAGGCCGTTGTAAAACCTTCGTTGGATCGACCAGACCTGCGCTCGGGGAAAGAATTGTGTGGTCTAGGGAGTGTCCTGGGACAAGATATACATTGTAACTTTGTACGACTTACCATACATGATCGCCGTAATCGTGATGGTCACCGGTCACTGCGGGGGTCGTGTCTGCCACTGATTACATGCGGTGAGACCCCGAGACTGTCTTTCAGTTTAGACGCCTGCCACCCCGCGGGGTTGTCCCACACACAGGAGTGTTTTTGGGTGGATGACACTCCAGATACCAAGCTGCCACCAAGCTGCCACCAAGCTGCCATCAAGCTCCAGGCCGCACCAAGCGCGCTCACAGCAGAGATGTATTAAATGTCCATTTATGGCACTTTGGGTCAGTACCCCATATCGGACAGCACCATACAGGGAGTCTGCTGTGCATGTAGCCATCGGAAGTATGACACGCGTACAGCACAGGTGTTGGTTTTTCTACCCCTTCATATCTACGTCTTCGTGCAGTAGAAACACATGGCACAGCATCTCCAAGTCGTGCTCCACCGTAATCTCATTTCCGTCGCGTTGCGTCCAGAGGACGATCAATGCCCCACCGATTAACGTACATGGGATAACGGGCCTGGCAAATCCTACCAGCCCAATCAAAAGTCGAGCAGCATGAAACGAGTCCTTGTCGCGTCTTGTCCGCTGTCTCGCACAAGGAAGTTAACATCACGAAGGTCGCCATGAACGTAGCCGTCAGCATGGAAATCATGGATAAAATCGGTGACGACTTTCTCCAGCAATTGACGGTCCCAGACAGCCATCTCGCTGAATTGTCGATATGAGCCGGTTCGTTGCACGAAGGGATCCTTATTTCAAGGGCTTCCATAACCACCATTTCCCGCTCACCGGGTAAACTCTTGTAGGCGATAAGTTCAGGGGCATGTCCCTTGCTGGGACAGAACTGGTGGACTTCCGGCAAACACCGCTTGACGAACTTGATACATATCTTCCTGCAATTTGCACTGTTGACAGTTTTCCTGTAGAAAATGAGTTTGTCCCTGAGGCCTTGAGTCTTATCATACGAGAAGTTGTGAGTACCTGTCGAATCTGAATAGTTCCGTGGATACGGACAACGCAGAGGCGAGTCTTGGGGTGGAATACAGATTTTTGAGTTTAGCCATAGCAATTCTGAGAGCTCCGAAAGTACGAGCTGCCATGGCTTGCATAGAGCGGTCTGTTGAATGCCAAAACAGCGGAATTATCGGGACCACGACATTGGACTGGACCTTGTTAGTGAAAACGGAGCCAACGATGCCGATGCAGGGACCTGGTTCTAGTCAATAGGGTACCCTAGGAATATCAAATCGACTTACCGAAGATGACGATATGGAGACAGGGAAGGATGAATCGGAGCCGCGTGATTTTGTCCTGAGTCCCGTTCAACTTTTTAAGAAACTTGCGGTAACAGTACGTTGCTTCCAGGAACGGTTCAGCACCGCCATCTCCAATCTCATTCTTCCCCACCACTATCACCGACGCGAACTTTTTGGCCATGGTATACTCAGGATCGGTCAAACATGATGTCGAACCAACCATGGAGGGCTATGCCGTAGGACTCGAGCACTTCACCGAATATATTCATCCGGTCGTACCCATCAGAATGGAAGGAACACATGATATTGCACATCGCATCCGAAAGGTCCCTGACAGGGCGATTATCGTCGCCAGTCAGTTTAAGTTGTGGACAGTCATCCACGAACTGGGCAAAGATAGGCTCTAGAAGGGTGACTGGAACAGGATCCTCAGCTTCACGAGGACGACTGCAAAGGTATTCTACCTTGTTCCGCCTCTGCTTTGTGGAGAATGTGACCGGCTTTCCGCCAATCTCTACGGCCCTCTTGAGGTATGTGCGTCGTTGATTAACAATCCGGATGTCTGACGCAAGCGGTAATCTTGACGAGAAAGTGATCAGTATGGAGGAAATGGTGCCAATATCGATGGGCAACTCACCTGCGTTTCGCTCTTTGACAAAAATATGTAGATGCTCTTCCTGGAGAAGATCAGAGAAAATCTGATGCAAGGGAGTTCATGGTGATAGCGGTGGTTTAGAGTCAAGTAGGAGACTCTTAAGATCGTGCTCAAACATGTCGGTGAAAGGCAGTAAAACTTTCCAGACTTGCAGAACACCGGGATGTACATCGCGAAATGCAGGATTCTTACCCTGGAGTGCTTGTCTGAGGTCAGAAACAAGGTTCGTGCTTGCAATCTCAACTGATATAACGCAGTTGGGGTCTTCGCCAAAGAACAAGCATTCGAGGTTGAAATTGGTCTTCGGGATGGCCGCAGACGCTAACGAGAAGGTGAGGATATAGATGATCGGCAGAAAAGCTGATAACTCGCCTCCTAGAGAACGTCGCACTACGATACGAACATTGCTACCCCTAGTGGCAACATCGAACACTTTAGACAGTCGGATTGACGGTGTATCGAGCTGGACACGACCTGGAACATCAACCACCAGCTTCCTAGGCTCGATATCGACCTGCCAAACATCAGATCATATCAGCATTGACGGATCTTGGGCGATCGCTCACCATCCATATGTGGAGAGAATGGAGTCAACGTCATCGAATAAAGGGGCCTTCTGCTCCTTAATAGCTCTCTTCAAATTGCCGACGGTCTCCGTGCTGGAAATTTTGATATGAAAGACATGCTGGCGGTCATTTCCAGAGACCCAGCAATGGAGGTGGAGCGTGTCGGACATGATGGATTCCTTCGCGGCTGAGACGCGGTGAGTAACTTGCACTTACATAATGGTGGCGGTGATGACGCCACGTGCATTCGAATAACAACAGTAATCCCGACCTAGCTTCAGCGTCGTTCCAAGCATGAAGGACTCGATAGGCAGGCCCATCTGACCGCGTGAAGTTGCAGTCGAAGATGGCCAAACTGAATGTCCACACGGAGTCCACTTTATCTTCGTCAGCCGGTTGATGTTTTTCACAATCATTTACGAACTGGGCAAAGATAGGCTCGAGAAGGGTGACTGGGACGGGATCCTTGGCTTCGCGAGAGCGAAAGGTACTATTCCTTATCCTGATCCTGCTTTATGGAGAATTCAACTAGCTTTCCGCCAGACGACTGAGTCTCTACGACCTTCTGAGGTATCCGAGTCGTTGATTAACAATCGGGATGTTTGAAGCCATCGGTAGACCTGACAAGACAGTGGTCAATATGGAGGAACGAGTGCACTCTGATAGATAACTCACCTGCATTTCGCTGTTTCACCACAATATGTAGGTGCTCTTCCTGAGGAAGATCAGAGAAAACTTGGTGCAATAGAGTCGAAGATGATAGCAGTGGGTTAGAGTCAAGAGGGGGATTGTTTAGATTATGCTCCAGTGAGTCATCGAAGGATAGGGAAACTTTCCATAGTCGCAGATTGGCGGGATCTACTTTGCATAACACAGACCTCTTATTCTTGATTGATCGACTGAGAACACTGACGGTCTTCGCCCCTGCAATCTTGACCGATAGCATATAGTCAGGGCCTTCGCCAAACAACAAGCAATTGAGCACGAGTTTTACTGGTCGAGCAGTCAGTGTAGGAATGACAATATTGATAGACAACTCACTGGGAGGTCGTCGTTTGACAACGATATGTAGATGCTCTTCCTTGGGAGGTTCGAAGAAAACTTTGTACAATTAATCGCAAGGCAATAGTGGTGGCTGAAAATCGAGTGGGAGACCGTTAATATCGTGTTCAAATGTGTTGTTGAAGGGCAGGGAAACTTTCCAGAGTTGCAGACTGCCGGGGCCTGCATCGCGGAACGCAGGACGCATATTCTTGAGCACTTGTCTGATGTCAGCAACAGTCTTCGTGCTTGCGATATTAACCATTAAAACAGAGTTAGGGTCTTCACCGAAGAACAAGCAGATGAGTTTGAGGTTGGTGTTCTAGCCGACAACTGACAGTCGAGCAGACGCTAATGAAGATGAGCATATAAATTATCAACAGATATGTTGATAGTGACTCACCTCCGAAAGAACGTCGCACTACGATACGAATATTTTTACCCCTAGGGACAACATCGAACACTTCGGACAGTTGCATCGACGGCATATCGAGCTTGACACAACCCGATTATCCGGCCCGACATCAACCTGTCATAGTATCAGATAATATCAGCCCATCAACAGACCTTGCTCGATCACCTACCAACCATAGGTGGAGAGAGTCGGGGTCAATATCATCAAATAAACGAGCCTTCTGCTCTTTGATGGCTTCCTTCAACGTGCCAACAGTCTGCTCGCTGGCAATTTCGATATCAAAAACACGCTGGATGTCGTCCCTAGAGACCCAACAATTGAGGTGGGACATGTCGGACATAATGCATTTCGTTCGCGGCTGAGCTTAGCTGCTGGTGAACATGCACTTACATAATTATGACGTCACGTGCATTTCCGGTCTGAATGTCCAAACGGTCCACTTGTGGAACAATGAAAACAAGTCCAGGCGTGTATAGGAAACATGATGAGTTGGGTTAGAACGATTCGTCGTGGTTGTTCTCGAATCTACAAACCAGGCAACAAGGAGAAGATCAGGAAGAGAAGAAAGAGGGGAAATACCAGCCAGAATCGACGGGAAGATATTCACGCTGTGAAACTCTTGTGAAGGTGCCAGCTTGAGCTCGACGCAGGAATGATCATTGGCCGAATGGTCGGAACTGACCAGTACAGATATGCACTCAAGTCGGCGGAGAATGCTAGAGAAGAGAAACTTGCATATGACTCTGTGACGATCGCGGTACAACATGCACAGCACCATCCATAGTCAAATGCAAGTGTTCGACATCCTAGTACTTCTTCCGTGCACTTACACGGCCAAATGCGGGGCCTTCCTACCACTGCTTCGAGTAACATCTAGGGGGTCGGGCGTTGTCAGCGGGTCATGTAGACGATCACCTGAGCATGATATGAGGTCCGTAGAAGATCCTGGTGAGCATTTGATTGGAGCAAAACTGCAACCAGTGGGTCTTCTTGGGAGTGCCGTTTTCGATCTTTGCCCCGCATTGTCTCTATGAGTTCATGTTTGGTAGCCACATGAATCAGAAGGTGTGCACAACCGCCACGTCAGCGTATTTCTGATGCCCAGGAAGTGAATGTCGGAGATTTCAAGACACGTTGAAGGATGCTCAAGTTCATTCGAAGAAGATGTTTCTGTGCACGTTATATATCGTCGCCATGTCGATGGAAATGTCCGCGATTGCACCTGTAACAGCCCATGCTTCGGGTGTACGAGCATGTAGAAAACGTTGGGGGTTCGAATGCAGCTGGAAGGAGATCTAGAGAGAAGTTGTGTCTTATCTCGCTAGAGCCTGAGAGAACAATGAACACACATCTATTATATATTCCCACGGTCCGCATGACGTTCATCTCCTTCGATTGATCTTCCACTACCAGCTGGCTCTACGTACTGCTGCGCTTGTGCTGCGCATTCTCCAAAACCAGTACACTCGATCAGAACGGGCGATCAATTGATAGTTTGAACTTATCGATGGACTCGAAATCCACGACTTTCTCCTTGTGCCTCACGGCTCGGTTTCTTCCTCCTGGTCAAAGTTTATTCAGCTGTGGTCTGGTACCCTGGTAGGAGGGTTTTCAAGATGCTCAGGTTAACGCCACGACTAAACCGCACCAACGGAGCGCTGGGGAACTCTATTTGATCCGACGACTTGATAAACGGAACTTGTTGTCGACGGGCTTCAATACTAATACGTGTATGCTCCGCTTGCAACCATGTGCTTCTCACCTTTTTTTTTTTTTGATTCATGAGGCGGAAGCGAGAAACACGCACTGGAAGAGGCAAACTTAACCCAATTCAATTTTAAAAATCATAATGAAACGGGATGCACAATGGTAAGTTATCATGCTTATTGTTCCTTGTTCTAATTCGGTCCACACAACAATCCTATAAAAAGCCAGTCCCAACGCCCCTCTCATGGTCCTTCGCTCTCTGTGATACATCAAGCTCCTTTGTCTGTGCATCACAATCACGGTGATCGCCTATTCAGCAATCACTTATTTGAACTCTCGCTGAGCGAGTCTTCTTGTTGTTAACCTTTATCTTCTCCTTCTCTTCCCGCCCTTCCTCATCTCTATCTTCTTTTTTCGACATCCGTTTACGTTTCACTCATCCACTATGATGCTCCGAACACTTGTCCAACTCCTCCCCGCCCTCGCCATCTCCACTCTTGTCTCAGCTCATGGATTCGTACAACAGGTCACAATCGACGGCACCGTCTACAAGGGCAATAACTTGAATGTGGAGACCCCTGCTGCTTCTATCATCCGTCTTGTCAGCACAAACAGCCCCGTAAAGGGTGCTACAAACCCAGCCATCAATTGTGGGCAAGACGCTCAGTTCGGTTCCCTAGTCGGAAATGCGAACCCTGGCTCTCAGCTCGAGATTCTCTGGGTCGGCGGAACAGACGGCACATCTAACGTGCGTAATTTTATATTTTGTTGCAGATCGGCAAGTAATCGCGAATGTACAGTGGCCTCATAACACAGGTCCGCTGATGCACTACATGGCCAAGTGCGACGGTTCTTGCTCTACATACAACTCGACGAATGCCGAGTGGTTCAAGATCTCTGAGCTCGGTCTCGAGCCCAACGGCAATACCTGGTACCAGGCAAGCCTTAGTCAGTACTGTTCCTGCTTTGCCTTACTTGCGCTAACATGGTTTGCAGACTCCCGAGCTCCCGCAAACGTGACGATCCCGAGCACCCTCGCGCCCGGAAATTATCTGCTTCGCGCGGAGATTATCGCTCTCCAACTTGCAATGTCAGAGGGAGGTGCTGAATTCTACCCTGCGTGCATTCAACTCCAAATTGGCGGTGATCAGACTCAGGGCCCGACTTCGAGCGAAGAGTGCACATTCCCTGGTTGCTACACTGATACTGATCCCGGTATCCTGACGCCAAATGTGAGCCACATTTCTAATACTTCGTTCGAACATATCATTGATTGCCGCACAGATCTACAACCCTCCCATCGAGTACACGTTCCCTGGTCCTGCTGTTGCAACCTTCGCGAATACCGGCTCGAGCTCTACTCTGTCTTCCCCTACTTCCGCATCGGGTTCCTCATTCAACCCTACATCAACGCTTGCTAACGGCCCTGCTTCCACTGTTATCGCTTCCCCACCATCCACCACGTCGAATTCAACAGCAACAGCAACAGGCACGTGCATGCTTAGTGCCCGCTCCAAGGAAGATGCTGTCAAGCGAAACAGCAGGACCAAGCGGATGCACAAGCAGAGACTCGTCCGTTCGCACTAAATGCGATCATTACGAGATGGCCAAGGTGGGCTTGACGCCCCCTTTCCTCACGACCATCATAAAATAAGGCTTGAAGCCTCATGGCACTGCGTGCCTCATCACACGACATCATTGATTCGGTTATCCACTCCACGATCTCTTTAACTCACTCTCGCTCACGTCTACACTCATTGCGGCTTCTTTAGAGCCAATCACTCTCCGTTTCGCATACGTTCGTTCTGCTTTGTGGATACCTTGTCCATTTGTGTTTAGGCGCCCATCTGGGATGGGCCCTGTCCATGTGTGTGGCCATGGTTATTATGACATGCATATTATTAAGTATAAATACACGGGATGTACAAAATTCTTGAAGCAATGTATTGATATGTATAACGCAATGGTTGATGCGTGGGGCACCCAACATCGATCTATGATGTATCCATTGGCACACTCACCCCGTTTCGCTCTTGTTCTCGGGGGTAAAACGGCTGCGGCGAGGATGTGCATTCGAAAGGAGATGAACGTAAGTACATCAATCATCTCCTATCGCTTGTGCGCAGCTTCTACGCGCCTGCGGATAGGAGATCATATGTGCCAACACGTTCGAGCAGGTTCCACCACGGCACCTTCTATTTTCAACAACCCCAAACAAACTCAAAGGAGTCCAAACAAGCGCCCCGAGGAATTAGGATTACAACGCTTCGGTTATCAATATACCTTGCGCATCCTCGCGTGTAGATGTTTTGAATTGACATCCCCTTGCAAGCTAGCTGCTGCTATTTTAAAATTTGCATCGCCTGACCGACACAATAAATATCATGATGTGTTTCAATTTTCACATTTTCATGGCTTGAGACTTTGAATCGGCGAAAGCTGCAGTCTGACTCGTGCGCATCGACGCCTGTGTACCCTGCCAAAGATCTGATAATGATCGACATAGCTACCCAAGCCGTCAGTTCGGTGTTGCAACTTGCCACCCCTTAGGTGCGCGTTGACGTGTGTTTAATCTGTATCGTGTGGACTTTGAACGGATTTGATTAGCTGACTACAACTAATGCAACTCAGGTATGTATACTAAGGAGCTCTTCAGAAGGGAAAGGAAAGAACACGGGAAGGGGAGGTTGAACGTAGGTATGTAAACGTTCTTAGTCACGTGCGTTGTCGATTGTCATGCTGTGCACTTCCCTTCGCTCGGATTCACTCTCACTTCCATCGTCAAAGTACTTTTGCTCGATTATGACTTGTGAAAGAGCCTTATGCACCAGGCGGTCGCCTCCAAATTGTTGATGGCAGTTTTGAGAGCTCCGAAAGTACGAGCTACTATCTCTTGCTCCGAGAGTGTCAAATGCCAAAAACAGTGGAATGATTGGGACCAGGACGTCAGACTAGACTTTGTTGGTGAAAATGGAGCCAGCGATGCCGATGCAGGGGCCTAGTTCTGGTTAATAAAAGTACCCTAGTGATGACACATCAACTTACCGAAGATAATGGATACGAAGGCAGGGAAGGACAGATCGGAGCTGCGTGATCTTATCCTGAGGATTGTTTGACTTTGCAAGCGACTTGCGGTAACAGCACATTGCTTCTGGCAGGAACGGTTCGGCACCGACATCTCCGATCTCATTCCTCCCCGCTGCTACCACTGACACGAACTTTCCGATCACCAAATGATAGTCACCAGCATAGAGGGGTATACCATAGGAGATGGAGTCAACCACCTCCCTGAATGTCTGCGTGCGGAGACGATAGTCCGCGTGAAACTTGCACATCTCATACGAAAATTCCCGGACAAAGCGATAATCTTCATGAGTCGGTTTTAGGTCTCCACAATCCTTCACGAAATCCCCAAATACAGGGTGGAACAGGATCCTCAGCTTTGCGAGGACGAGCGCATAGGAATTCAGGCTCGTTCCGCCGTTTATTCTCAGAGATCAAGGACAGCACTGCGACAGACGACGGAGCTTCGGAGGCCTTGTTGAGACATGTGTGTCTTTGAGTCGCAATCGGAATGTCTGGCGCCACCGGAACCAGTCGGTGGTCAGTATGGAGGAAATAGTAGTAATGTTGATAGATAACTCACCGGCATCCCCATGTTTGATAACAATACAAAGGTGCCCTTCCTCGGGAGGATCATGATGAATCTCGTTCTAAACGTTGCTTAGGACTCGGAGGTGTACCTTGGGCGTACCTTCGCCTTCCATTTTCAACAGCGTCAAACAAACGCAAAGGAGCGCAAAGGTCCAAGGAACCACCCCGCTTATTCCAAACATAACTCGCCGAGTCACATATCCATGCTTGAAAATATTGAGCCCGTCTCATCCCTAAGGCCTAAGGCCGGAGATTGAATGCATCCAGGGCCCATGTAACGCTTGCAAGTTGCTGCTATTTTACCATCCACATTGCGTGGCTACCGAAGTCCGACGTAATTATCTTCATGACTTCGCCAACCGGTGAAAGCTCCAGTCTGACTCCTACACCACGACACTTGCCCGTGAAGATCTGATGCTAGTCGTCATAGCCACCCTCGCCGCTAGTTCACCGCGTTACCACCCCTTACTCGGACGCATATTTAATCATTACCATGCGGGCTCAACTAAATCACGAGGTTCATTGCACGTCGGGTATGGTATTCGAGCAGTTACTGATGAAGCAAATCTTGCTGCTGACCAGTCGATCAGATAGGCAAAGGTCTGGTACACAGGCTGCACTGTTGCATGTATCTTCCATCGGAACTTGTAGTATGCTGGCAGTTTTCTGTAGGTATGTCAGACTTACTACTCTCATCAGACACGTGTGGAGAGCATGTTGAATTACAAGTAGGCGCATGATGGCGTGAACAAGGGGCCGTCTCAGTCGATGAACTCACAGTTTACGGTGCATGCGCCTCGCTTCCACTCCGGATAAAGACCCTTGGCAACGTGCCTTTTAGCAACAAACTCGACCTTTGACGACATCAAAAGCTTCTTTATAGCGCTTTTCGCCTTAAATCCCTCGCGGAACGTCGGTATCCACTACCCTACCATCTCCCCATGTCCCGACCGTTGTCTTCCACGACTTACTCTTCCCTTGATCCGTCTGAGCCCGCACAAACCATCGACAACTGCCAAACGTTGTGGGACATACTATCGACCACCGCTCTAAATAGATGCTGGCCTGTGTTGATTTGCACCGGTATCTGGTCGTCCGTACTATGCGTGATTAATCACTATACCCATGGACAACTATCGATTCAGCCGACTCTCATCACCGTGTAAGGTGCCTCGACCCCAGTAAATAATTGACCAACTCTTGTTACAGATTTGGTACCGTTCTAGGTTTCGTAATATCTTTTCGAACGACCTCCAGCTTTGAACGTTATAACGATGGCCGAAAATATTGGTCCCAAATTGTACTCAACTGCCGTACCTTTTCTCGAACTGTCTGGTTTCATGTCCCAAGTGCGCAAGTTCGTTCTTCTTCGCCGGATTGTTCAAAACAGATTCCAGATAATGCTATATCGACTCCAACGACTGATCACCCCATATCTGTTGAAGACATGGAACAGGACGAAGCCAAGACCTTGATTGAGAAGAAGACTGTGGTGAATTTACTCGAGGCTTTCGCCGTCAGCGTCAAGCATTACCTACGAGGAGAAGACGGAATTTTCTATGATGATCTTCACCCGCTTGTCTCCTTCATCTCACCATGCTCTTACTCACTCCCTGCCATCATCCCTCCCGCAAATCCCCCAGAGTTGCACCGTAGGTCGACGCATGCAAGCACACACTCTCACTATAGTCACAAAGTACCAGCATCCCCTGGAACGACCCAAGCGCCTGCATCCCCGTCCCACCTATCTGGCTCAAACCAAGTTCCGTTGGCAATCATTCCTGAAGGTACATCGCAACCTGCCATGACACCTGCAACACAAGGCATGATCGACAAGACCGAAACGCCTTACGATGAAGAATCTATTCGGCCCGCGGCCATGCCACGTGTGCACTCCTGGCGAAAAGCATTTCCATTCTCGTTCTTTTTTTGGGTGTGGGCAATAGTAAGGAAAGATGTTGGCCGAGCTGTTGAACCGAATGATGCGCGTCGAGATTTTCGTTTCAACAAAAATAACGTGCCTTTGGAAATATCTTTGTATTTGGTACGTATGCCTCACCATGCGCGGGAAACTCAAGACCTTATTTCGTTCCTTACAGAGTTCTTACATCTCCGCACTGCAAGTTCGTAAAACTGTGGATCCCCCGACTATAAGTACGTGTTTATTGATATTTTTCTTCGCTGTTACTGATAATTCCGTACGCAGGTTTGCTTTATACAACGCTTAATCAGCTCATAGATGCCCTGACTGGGTTAGAAAGGATCCTTACCACTCCAATCCCTGTCTCGTGCGTGATCGCCAGACCCTTTCCGCCTATGAACTCACTCCCTAGTACTCAGTTACTCATCACACCTGTGGATGGTGACACTGGTTTATTGTACAACTTTGGTGTGCAGAGATGTTTCTTTCCTACCCGCAGCCAGCTGATGTCTATACGTAACAGCCCTTCCAACTGTGGTCCACACTTAAATGGTTAACCATTCCAGCGTCTATAATTGCCGTAAGTCGATTCGCGAATTTCCTTGCGTTGCCGTGTCTCATTTGACTGCCCAGAGCTTTATGTTCTTTGGCTTTGTTGTCGCTGGCGAGGAAATTGAGAGTAAGTTCTGAAGCTAGGGTGATACACTCGTTTATTTAACGTCTCATCTCAGATCCATTTGGCGAGTTGCTTCATTCTCCACGACTGAGATTAATCTTATTGTCATCTATTCAGGCTATGACAGGAATGACTTGGTGCGTCTGTTTCTTTAACTCGCGATGCATATACTCACTCAGGAATAAAGAATATGGATTATTTTGTCCACAACATCATACGTACGCGATATTTATCTTCGGGTTGTATTCGTCTCATTCTGTCCTGTCAGGGAAGGAGCTTCGTGCTATTACAGCCATGCCGCCTCCAGACCCTGCGATTTGGGCATTTTCATCTCGGAATGATTTTCTAAATCTAGGGACACTTTCAGGAGGCACCGTTCCGAAGGACTTTGAAGCCCCATCTACCTGGCTTCACAGGGGGAAGAGTGAAATCCTCACAGCTTTACATGGGTAGGTCGTGTAGCAAGTTACGCGTGACAAACTCACATCTCTGCAGGGGTGGAGGCACTACCAAGGAGGCGCGCTGAGTCGTGTACGCTACTCCGCGCAATCAATCTGTTCGAGGAACACATGTCAGTGGGGCCTGGGGAGCCTGATGAGTTGGAATAGGGTGGACAGATATTCTAGCCATGTCCGGAGAATAGTACTTATTTTGAATCTTTGATCCTGTGTCGGCTTTTACATAAGTATACCGATTATTGCACAGGTGCTTTGTAGTCGCCCAGCCGCGCAGATATCACCACTCTCTAGTTCGCGATGATAGCAGGAGATGTCGAATCGGTCTTACGTACTTGTATCCAACTTAAAGCCGATGGTAATGGGAGTCAGAACATTCAGACCACGCGACAAGAGTCCGTATTTGTATTATCTCGATGAGCTACAGAATATGGTTGCTACAGTTTCGTTGTTGGCTTGGTTGTGGTTATAGCAAGGAGCGTGTAGTTCAACGCATAGGGAGTTATACGTTTCCACAAAACCAACAATTATTCATGAGATTGGACTAAGTACATCGCAAATATAACACGGTACCACAATTAACTATCCAGACGTAACTTCTCTGTTAATTCACCCTTCGGCTCCCAAGCGCCCTACTACACAGTAAAAGACCTGTGTTTGGTACTGTTACGGAGAAGTCAATTTATCACTGGCGTCAACATGGCTATGCACGACCTACCCATACAAAACTTTGAGAATATCCCTCTTTCCCTTGTCAAGCCAGGCAGACGGTGTTTCCTTCGGACTGCCCTTCAAATGGGTCCCAAGAAAATCGTTCTCGGCTGAGAACGCCCATATGGCTGGGTCTGGGGCCGGCGTGCCTGTAATAGCATGAAGTTCCTTCCCTGGACGGACGGAGTGAGAGGGATAAACTTCAGACAGAAATAAAACTTACGTATGATATCTTGCACAAAATGACACATGTCCTACATTTCTTGATGAGTCAATACATCTCCGGATGCGAAAATAAACGCACCAAGTCATTCTTGTCATAGCCTATTATGAGATAGATGACAATAAGACTAATCTCGGTCATTCAGAACGGGACAACTTGCCAAAAGGATCTAAGACGATATGATGAATAAACGAGCGCAACATGCTAGCGTCAGAACTTACTTTCAATTTCCTCGCCGGCAACGACAAATCCATAGAAAACAAAGCTCTGGGCAGTCAAATGAGACAAGGCGACACAAGGGGATTCGCAATGCAACTTACGGCGATTATAGACGCTGGAATGGTTAACCATTCAAGCGTGGACCACAGCTGGAAGGGCTGTCACGTATAGCGACATTAGCTAGCTGCAGGTGGAAAGAAACACTCTTACATACCAAAGTTGCACAATAAACCATTGTAACCATCCAGAGGTGCAATGAGTAACTAAGTGAGGAATGAGAAATCACAGAGGCAGCAGAGGTCTAGCGATCACGCACGACACCGGAATTGGAGTGGTAAGGATCCTTTCCAACCCAGTCAGGGCATCCACGAGCTCATTGAGCGTTGCATAAAGCAAACCTGTGAGCAGAATTATCGGTGATAGTGTACAATAGTTACGGAAAAACGTACTTAAAGTTGCTTGGTCCACAGTTCCACGGAATTGTAGTGTAGAAATGTAAGAAGTCTTTAAGGCTCGGAATGAGGCCCCGATAATTTCCGTGCATGGTGCGACATACGTACCAAGTACAAAGATATCTCTAATGGCACGTTATTCTTGATGGAGGGACAATCTTGATGTGCAGCCTCCTCTCCAAGCTTGCATGAAGGTTTCTTTAGAATTCCCCAGAGCCAAAAGAAAAACGGGAATGGATACGCTGATCGCCAGCAGTTCCTAGGAGGTGATTCGGCGGGTTGGAGAGACTCTTCATCATAAGGCGGTGCGATGGTTTTGTTGGTGCTGTTTGTTCCGAACGTTTGATTGGTAGGTCTTATAAGAGGTTCAGGCACGGCCGCTAAGTGGTTCGGGGAAGCAGGTGCTTGGGTTGTTGGTCCAGAGGATGCTGATGCATCGCGACTACGATAATCGATGTTCAGCCTACGGCGCAACTTTGGGTCATTCGCAGAAGGGATGATAGCAGGAAACGAGTAATGGCATGAAGCGAGGAAGGGGACGAGTGGATATAGATCTTCATAGTAAATTCCGTCTTCCCCTCGCAGGTAGTGCTTGACGCTGACGGCATATGCCTCGAGTAAATTCACCACCGTCTTTTTCTCAATCAAGGTTTTCGTTTCGTCCTCTTCGATGGTTTCAGCAGAAATAGGACAGTCCCGTGTTGGAACCGAGATGGCGTTATCTGTGATCTGATTGAGCGACCCCTGCCAAGAAGAAGAGAACATGTGCACCTGGGATATGAAACCACACAGTCCGAGCAAAGACGCGGCAGTTGAACACTATCTGGGCCCAGTATTTTCGACCGTCGTTGTAGCGGTCAAAACTGGACGACGTCCGAAAAGATAAGACGAAACCTAAGACGGTACCGAACCTGTGGCAAATATTAGTCGAAGATAATTCCACTACCCAGGGCACCTTACACTGTGATCAGAGTCCCCTCAATGGACAGTTTTCCATGAGTATAGTGATTAAGCACACATAGTGCGGACGACCAGATGCCGGTGCAAATCAACACAGGCCAACATCTACTTAGAGCGGTGGTCGAAAGCGCGGCCCACAAGACCGAAAGCGTATCCCACCATGTTAGGGATTTGTCGATGGCTGACGTGGGATCAGACGAGCCAAGTGTAGCAGCGTCAGTCTTGGGCATCGCAGGATAAGACATGAAGAGACAGTGAGAGCGTCGCTTTAAAACCCTTGCAGAAGCTCCGAGTTTAATAAGATATAGTCTTAAAGCGAAGAGAGACCCGCATTTCTCTACACGCGTCTGATGGAGTATAATTAACTGAAAGGCGCCCACCCATACTACTGCAATGTGAAGATTGGTTTTTGGAGTAAAATTAGCATGGTTTGGACAGAGAATCGGGATACATACAACTTCGCTGCCTTCGTGCACCGAAGATCTTAGCATTTAAGGTGATAGTGAGGTGGTGTAATTATAACCATGCCTCGTGCATCCCACATGACAATGCACATGATGTTAAATGATTTGTGCCGTTCATGTACTAGTAAGCCCGGTGATTGTGGGGGCGCAACAGGTCTCCTTTCAAAGCAATTTCGAAGAGTATGTTTGAGGTTGTTGAAAACAGAAGGTTGTGCCAAATGTCTGTAAACAACGACCACTTGCAATTGCAACTCGTGTGCATCCCTACAGATATTTCCCGTGGCCCACCAGCAACGATTCATCTAGATCTCTCTCAAATTTGTTCAAGTGCAGATGAAGCATGGACCCGAAGTGACGATGCGCCTCGAAACACAAAGCTGTTTGCAACTTTTAAGTTGCCTCGCTTGTTTGAGTACGCTCCTACGATCGAGAATTCTAAGGACTGTGTTACAGACGTCACTTAATTCCCATTACAAACTGCGGAATACCGGGCACTTGTTCATCCCTACTTCCTCTCTCCCAACTATGGTTTTCCAGTCCTAGCGAGCTAATACCTTACCTCAAGATAATTAGCCATATCAACTAGCAAGAGGGTGTTCCGGGAGTTCCAGCAATGCACGAATTGCGCAGATAATCTAGTAACTACAGTATATGCTCAGCAGATCTTCTCGACTAACCAGTCTACCCTTTGCTCATAGATGGGCGTACCTGACGTCTCCATATAAGCGTAAGCAAGAGATGCAAAACCTGCGCAGGAAATACGGACATCACAACCTTGTTCCAACGTCGAGAGCCATTCTAGCGCTTCAAGTCTCTACGTCACCGTAGCACGTCAAGTCTCACCGTCACCGCAGCGCACCAAATCTCCCGTCACTGTAGCACGATCAACACGCCGCACCCCTGCAGGACCTCGAAAAGGACGAAGGGTGGGTGGGTTTCAGGAAGAACGAAGATGAGTCTGGTCAGATGCACTTTATGGAGCTACGTGGTTCTTGAAGCGCTCAGCGAGGCCAATCGTGATATGCACGAGCCCACTGTGACGTATCAATAGACCGATCTCTTGCCGCTTCAGGTCCCTGTCAACTCCTCCCCCTCAACGTGGCATGCGCTTGTTCATTAATTCATGGTATCTCGGTCGCTATGCCGGGGGTTATACGCAAGGAAAGAGCCGAGAGCGATAGGAAAGGTAAATAACCGAAAGCGAGGAAGAGAGTGATAAGCTAAAATCGATCTTCCTTTAGCTTATCACACTGTGAGGTGTCCTTTTACAATATTCTTGCTCTGCGCATGAGAGCAGTGCCATCCTGACCAGACCTCGGACCCCAACACATACTCAGTTTATTCGTACGGAGGATCTGGGTTCCCGTGCCAAACCCCTCGTTTTTGTCCGGCCTGGGACTTTCGGATCCCAGGAATTTGTCTGGATTGGGACTAGGCCATCCCAGGGTCTTGCACCATCGTGTTGCCTACGCAGAAGAAGACGGACATTGCCGACGGGCGGTGGAGACAGTGGTATGCATTGGGCTCGCCATCACCACGCAGGGCAAGGACACGTAATGATGGGTGAATCACAGGCGCGCTGTGAGATGGTGAGGTCTGAGGTATTTCGAAGGAGTATCAAAAACAGCATTGTTTACCATGGCATTGGTAGGCTGATGTCCGGGATGATTGTAAGTACTTATCATCACTTGGGGGGGTATTCTAATAGAGGGTTGGCATGATGCAACTAGCAGAGGCAAGACAAGACTATTTGGCAATTCTCGTAACAGATGGTGACTAAGTACTGGCATACACCCGACTATCTGCAGATGCACATTGCTCCTCCTGTTGGGTGTCTCATCACCCCCACCTCTTCACATCACGTTCAGCAGTCATCCTTCATAGTTATTGTACGCGGACAAGACTTATTCCCATCTGAAAACTTTCCATTCTCCTGATGCCATCGCTAGCACGTCAACCGAGAACAATGAGGAGTACAATATCCAGATAGCACTTACCGTGTAATAATTACAGGATATTACTGTGCCATCGCTAGTCTCGCCCCCATAATTAATCTGTAGATTGTAACTGCCGGCCTGTCAGTTACTTTGTTCAATGAAGACGTGTGGGTGTGACGCACATGCACAATGTGAGCTGGTTTACTGGGTAGCTATAGTATAGGTTCATGACACTACCATCGACCTTCACTGTGGCTGGACACTGTACACACGCATTGGCACCAGCGAGGAAGCTGAGCAGCGCAAAGATGATGGAGTGTGAAGTAAACATGGGAAGGGAATGCAAAGCCATAGTAGTAGGCAGGTGTTTTATAGGCTGAACCTTCCAGTGCGAACATAAAGGGGTTGCTACTCGTTAGGCGAGAAAAGTTGAGCCAGAATGCATGATCATCTCCGCAGACTCGGAGGGAACTATGAACGTCATGACGACAGTGGGGTCGGGGGCCCACGAATGAATGACCGGTTCCTGGGAGGCCTTGGCTTCGCGTTGCTCGTCAGATACATATGTGCACGCTCATCGGACGTTGTGACTTCCCAAACAACGCTCTCCGTAATATGACCATCCTGGAATCGACGAAACTCATCATGGCCACCCCAATATAAGGGACCGTACTGGACAAATTGTTTTTTCGCTTTTGGCTTTGCGAAACTTGACTTGAGCTTAGATGTTGGAATGTCTTCCGCGTTACTATGATGTTTTGATTTTGATTTTGATGTGTTGAGCTTGACTTTGATGTTGAGCTTGACCCTCGGCAAGTGCCGGCAGAAAGTCCAGCGTCCACATCGCCGGCACACTCAATAACTATGTCACCATGCACGTTCCCCGCATCCACCCAACGCCAAGCCCCAACGACAATGTGCGTGTTGGACTCTGGACGTTCGGACGACGGACCGGGTGGAAGCCTAGCGACGTCAGAGTGAGACATGACGAGCGCAACCAGTCCATACAGCGAGACGACGCATTGACGTCGGCCGAGGCTGTCGAAATTAGTTTCTTTTATCTCTATGCCATTCGTCATTTACCGTTACTATACTGACTTCGTATAAAGTGTTGAGTTCATCGTACGGGCATCTCAGTTTCTTCTAGACACTGAGATGTAAGCCGTTTATGCTTTTCTTATTACTATACAGATCGCTAACGAAACGTAGATACATTGTTTTCTCAGGTACTTTACATTGTGCTATGCCAGTTTCTTCTAGACACTGAGATATACATTGTTTTCTCAGCTCTTACTCCGCTCCCGCTCAACTGTGATCACCACAGGTTATGAGCCCTGTCATGGCTATGGAACCTGCACTGCCCAGTACCAATTCAACGTTGTTCAGTGTCCCGAAGCTAGCCGAAGATGGTAGCAACTGGATCACCTACAAGGAACGAATGCTGACTGCCATTGGTGCGAGAGGATTGATGCGTTATGTTGACGGCCGAGCAGTGAAGCCTGCCCCGTTCAAAATCGATCCCGATACGAGCAAGCTGTTGAAACCAGACGGTTCAACACCTACAGAAGCGGATATAGAAGAGTTAGATAAAAGGAACGATGAGTACTTTCAAAAGGACTCACTCATAAGGCAGCAGATGTTCAGTATGATCATGGATTGACTCCTTCTGCGCGTACAGAAGCTCGAGGGCGCCACGAAGATCTGGGAGGAGATCTGTGATATCCACAAAGGCAAAACCGAACTAGTCCAAATTGACCTTCGTCGACGTCTGCAGGATATGAGATGTGAGGAGAGCGGAGACGTGAAGACTCACTTTAGTGAGCTCCTCCGATTACGCGAGTCCCTTGCTAGCATGGGTGCCGACATCGAAGATTGCGACTTCTATGCCATAGTACTTGGCTCCCTTCCCGAATCATATCGTCCCTTGCTATCGTCGATCAACGTAGCGGCTAAAATTGCCCAGAAGCCCCTTACCCCCTACGAACTTATCAGCGTCGTCAGTGAGGAGTATGAGCACAGATTACTTACAGATCGTCGCCCTATGAAAAAGGGCACCAACTCCGCGCTATCTGCTAAGGCTGGCCAGAATAAGCCCCGAGGATCGGGCAATTCCACCCAAACTGACCCCAACATTACCTGCTTTAACTGTGACCGTAAAGGTCACTATAAAATGGACTGTTGGAGGCCAGGAGGCGGGAAAGAAGGTCAAGGGCCTAACCAAAAGAAGAAAGGGAATCGCTCACCAAAGCAAGCCGCTAACGCCGCAGCGCAGAACGAAACACCAGATGAGTACGCCTTTGTGACATCAGACTTAGCAGCTGTAGCAAAGCAGCTCGACGTACCACTAGACTGTCGAGGCGCCATCATGGATTCCGGCGCGACTTCCCATTTCTGCCCCGACCGTTCAAAATTCACCAACTTCGTGCCGATTGCCCCGCAGGACGTTCACACTGTGGATGGATCTGCCATTAGTGCTATAGGAAGGGGTGATGTGAGGATAGACTTGCCTTTAGGTGATAAGCACACATCGGTAACGCTGAAAAGCGCACTCTATGCGCCAAGGATGGCCTTTACACTCATTTCCACGAATCGGATAACCGCTGTGGGCTTAGCTGTTCATTTTGAAGGGAAAATGTGCAGGATACTCTCACCTGGGCCAAAGCGCAAGGTCATAGCAGAGATACTGCAGGTGGAGGGTCTCTATAGCGTTGTCAGTCGTCAGACTGGAGCGAGCAAACACCGCAAAAGGGAAGCTTACCATTTGCGAGTTGCATCGCGTTCTCGGCCATATCTCCCAGACTGCAGTTAAGCAGATGGTCGAGAAGGGTCTGGTTGAAGGAGTGGAGTTGTATCCGTCATTGACGCCCGAATTTTGCAATGCGTGTACCAAGTCTAAAGCCACCCGTCAGCCATTTCCCGAAGAGTCGAAGAATCGAGCGCTTACCTATGCCGAAATTGTCCACACGGACTTGTGGGGTCCAGCGCAGACCGCGAGCCTAGGTGGCTGTTCCTATTATATCAGTTTCACGGACGACTTCTCCCGAGAGACGAAGGTCCAGTTCCTGAAGCTCAAGAGCAAAGCACTTACCGCGTTCAAGCAATATGAGGCGAATGTCTCACGTCAGCACCCTAACGCCCGCATCACTAAGCTCCGGTCGGATCGAGGCGGCGAGTACCTTAGCGCTGAGTTTAATAAGTACCTGCAGGAC